AGATATATATACTTTATATATATAAAGTTTATATATATAAAGTTCACAATAGAAATTTATATATATATATATATATATATATAATCTTCAACTAGGGATTTTCCGCTAGTATATTAACATATTAAACATAGGAGCGACGTTTCGCCCATCGAAATAACATGTTAAACGTCATGAACTCTTGACCACGTAGGGCCTACATGTACTGTATATAGGTGTGTCTATAAACACTCCCTACATGAACACAATTAAAGCCAATTTGTTTTAAATTCGAATAAACATTTCTTCTCACTATAATGGCTTAGCCTACATGAGGGAAGACCACCGATAATGAGTACAGGGAGAGGGATACAGCTCTCCCTCCAATTAAAGACCGCTTTAGGACCGGAGTTCCCATGGTCTTTAGGTCTAATTAGAACAATCAAGATAAAATTGTTAATTGGGGACCACAGAAAAGTGGTTTTTAAATGGAGGTGGTCTTTAATTGGAAAGGTCTTTAATTAGATGGAGACCTGTATTTTGTTACTTACATGGTATCCATTCCTTATGATGACATAATTAATGTCGAAATATTGAATCCCGACACGATGGCGTGCATGTCGATACTTGGAGTATGTATTATACTATGGTATCCATATTGTTTGTTGCAGTAGTAGGCCTAATAATGCAAATGTAACAGAAACGGCAGTCTCTTTAAAAAACATGATGTAAAGTTATATTAAAATACTAAGAAAAAATAAAGACAACGTTTATTCTATGTCTATCTATCTGCTGCTTCAAATGGTTAATATCATTGTTAGCATATGTAGCGTAATCTTATTTTATGGGGAAAAAATGTCTAAAATACAATGACCGAATGAGGGCGCTATGATTCTAAACGCTACCTATTTATTCCATAAACTAGTGTCATCGTCCACCGGTCAGCATTTCACCTTTTGATTATCTCTAAACCATGCTTTTATTTATTCAGATATCAGTCAATTGCCTATTTGCCCACACGAATTACCCAGAAATCGTCCTCAGAGCATTCAACCCATTGTAGGATGACCATCAATTAAAAATCAATGTTCGATTAAACATTGACATTTAGACGAACTCTTGCTCAGAAATGTTATTCTGATATATTTTCACAGTTGGACAATTTTTCTAGGAAATATAATTAGCAAAATAGACTCTTTGATAATTTTCTATTTAAACTTCAAGAAAAGCTATTAACATTGAGTTTTGAAAATTAAAATTCAACATTTGCATTCAACATCTTTTGTTATACGAATATATATGTATTGTTCTGTCAATTTTTTATTATTTTAGATTATTGAATTTAAGTGTTTTGTGAAAAGAGGTTATTAAAATTTCGTTTTAAAATCGAAATTTCATGCTTTATGGTTCTGGTGTCATTGTATCTAGTACCTCATCAAACTTTCTCTGTATTATGTAATCTAATGACACTTTCACTGTAAAATTATTATTAGGCCTATTTGCTTTTAATTCAACTGAAAGTTAGAATAATTTTTTTCTTATGAATTAATAGACGCATAAATAACATTACTACATACAGTAGCGGATTCAAGGGGCCCAGCTAGCCCGGGACCCATATTTTTTTAAAACTATTTTTAAAAAATAGCAATTTTTTGTATTAAGTCTGAGAGTGCCATTTCTGGCCATCCACAGGTGCCTTTATCATACATTTCTTACCTAATCCCGACCATGGTAGCCCCATCTGGGAAACTCCCTCTCTTGTCCCCATCTATTTCGAATTTTTAATAATTAAAAACTGATATTGAATTGTAAAAAATGATTAGTAGACACTAAAATTGAATAAAAAGCCTTAGAAACCCCTAAATTGTCATATTTTTCGGGGAATTCCCCCTCCCCCACCTCACCTCATTGACATCGGACACCCCATCGGGCAAATCCTGGCGCCACGCATGACATCCAGTAATCACAAATCGACATTCTTTTAACACATCCATTATTTCATGTTTGTTCACACCTTACAAGGTACTTATGTATATAAAATATATCTTGCCTTTTTAGCAATAAAAGAATATAATAAATCACTGACAGGAAAGGAGCTGTAATTTGTGGTTAAGACGTTTGCCTGCCTTCCAATCGCAGGGCCCTTGTTCAAATCAGGACAATGTTCTCACTGGATTTTTTTTTACAACTAACAATTCAATTAAATTCTTTTTTTGACATAAAATGCACATAACAATATGGTCATATAAACCAAGACAATTCAACAAACAAACAAAGGGAAAATTACACAAACAACATATCACAAAACGTTGAATTAAGTCTGATAAAATTATAAACCAATAGGTTTTCTTAAAAGGAAAGCTTCTTTAACAAAGGTAGATAATGGTAAAATAATATCATAATCAGTAGTGCTCATTATGTCAATAAAGTTCGGGAGTGTTCGATCGAAACGCATGTCGTCATTTAAATCATGTATAAACTTGAGACGAAGATGGTCATCTACAGTTACAGTCTGTAACTTCACCTGAGTTACAGAAGCGGCAGTCTATGTTCGGGTGGAGTTGGGGGAAGCGTATCTTCCTCTTTCAATTCCCAGCGATATTCCAAGTTTACAAAGGGCGAGATCGCATTCAAAGGTAATAGGTATGGTTCAAGCCTGTAACGTTTTTGAATTTGCATTAAGTTTTTAATTTAGGTTGTTTTGTATATTTTTATATCATTGCTTATTACATAATGTTTCGAGCTTATTGACAATAATTGTGCCCATGAAGTTTGCACATGTTAAGACCATTGGAGACTGCCAAATGTAGGTTAGGCCTACATTTGTTAACTTAAGTAAAATTTATACCCGTAGACTAGGTACGCACGTTAGCATTCGATTGCGTAGATAAACGCCTATTATCGCATTAATCACAGCACACTAGATCCTTTTTAGCACAAGTCATTTAAATGTCATCAGTATTTAGCTGAGAGTTTCAGCAGGTGAAGTAAAATCGGATAACTACCAAGCTCACCTCGTACAACATTATTTGTGGCTTTCTTATTCACCCCCAAAATTGTTTTACATATTTTAATCTAGAGCTTCACCTAGTACCTTGTCGCAAAACTGTAAAATTTCATCATTACTCAGCCCACATTTCACAGCAGTATCATAACGTAGTCAAAAGAAGAGAACGAAAAAGCTTCAATGTATCACAGTAGTCAGGGGCGGATTTAGAAGGGGAGCGCTCCCCCTTTTTTTTGTTTTTGTTGGAAAGTAAAAAAAAAAAAAAAAAACGCCTCACGGGTTATTTTCGGGCGTCTAGAAAACAAAAACTCCGCTATTGACAGTATAACATTAAACGTCATAACCTCTTGACCACGTACATAATAATAGGAGTGCTTAATGACCTTAATGACGCAATAAACACCCCCTTAATCACATTAACACACTTGAAGTCACCTTTTTTTTTATTATTCGAATAAACATCTCTTCTCACTTTTATGGCTAAATGATGGAAGACCACCCATGAGTACAGGGAGAGGGATACAGTTCTCCCTCCAATTAAAAACCACTTTTGGGTCGTCCGGGGTCCCGTGGTATTTAGCAGCTTTGTTCTCTAATTAGAACAATAAAGATAAAAGAGATTTGTTAATTTGGGACCAAAGGAATGTGGTCTTTAATTGGAAGTATCTAAAAATAGAGGGAAACCTGTATCTTGTTACTTACTGGTACCCGTATTGTTTGTTGCAGTAGGTAGGCCGACTAATGCAAATATAACAGAAATGGCGGTCTCTTTGAAAACATGACGTAAATTCATATTGAAGTACTAAGAAAAATGTCAAGACAACTTTTAGTCTATGTCTATCTATCCGCTGCTTTAAATGCCATAGTTAATATCGTTGTTAGCATAAAATGTAGCGTAATGTTATAAAAAAAGTGTCTACAACACAGTGACCGATTGAGGGCGCTATTATTCTTAACGCTACTCTAACTAATTATTCCATAAACGATATTCATGATTGCATATTTGCTCTCTAGGGTCATCGTCCACCGGTCTGCATTTCAGCTTTTGATTATCTTTAAACCTTACTTTTATTTATTCAGATATCAATCAGAATTGCCCACACGAATTACCCAGAAATCGTCCTCAGAGCATTCAATCCATTGTAGGATGACCATCAATTAAAAATCGACTAAAGGTTTGACTAAAAATTGGCATTTTAGACGAATCCTTGCTCATCAGAAATGAAATTCTAATATTTTCACAGCTGGACAAGTTTTCTAGGAAATATAATCAGCCAAATAGGCTCTTTGATAATTTTATATTTAAACTCCAAGAAAAGCTATCAAGACTCAATTTATTATTAACATAAAATTAAAATTCAACATTTGCCATCCAACATTTTACCATATGAATAATTATATGTATGTATTGTTCTGTCATTTTTATTTTTTTATTGTCAAGTTTAAGTGTTTTGTAAAAAAAAAGGTAATTAAATTTTTGCACTACAATAGAAATTTCATGCTTTTGTATAATGTTATTGTATCTAGTACCTTTTCACACTTTCCCTGTAATATGGAATATAAATGATACATTCACTGTAAAGTTATTTGCTTTGAATTCAACTGAACGTTAGAATAAAATATAATTTGCTCATGAATTCTGATTGTTCAGATATTACATTTGTTTGTCCATTACTAAACATACAGTAATCATAAATTGACATTCTCTTAACACATCTATTGTTTTATTTTTTTCACACCGTACAATGTGCTATGTATACAAAATATATCTTGTATTTTTCTTAACAATAAAGGAATAATATAATACATAATACTGACAGGAGAGAAGACATTTGCCTTCCTTCCAATTTAGGGCCCTGGTTCAAATCAGAACCATGTTTTCACCAGATTTTTTCTTACAACTAATAACGACTCCACTCTAAGCCTAATTTTTTTAGAGAGCGATTCCATCCTGTAAACATCGAGTAACTCGCTATTGGATGAGAACAAAAAATATGTTTAAAAAACTAAATACCAGTAAGCATAATGAACGTTAAATATATTTAAAAAAAAATTTTTCTACAGAAAACAAAGAGAAATCAAATTTGATTTAGGATTTACAGTCTGTAATACAATTTGCAAACAGCCCTCAAACATTAAATTAAAGCAATGAATTTCTTATTTGAAAGTCATCAACTTCCAATTAGTCACAAATCAAGGCAATTCAGTTGTTGCTCAGTCACAGACTTTTGACTATTCTTAAAATGTCAGGCATAATATCCAAGAACAGTATTATTCATAACTACAGCAGAACCCCTCCTTTGGGACACCCCTATTAAGGGGACAATTTTCAGGCACTAAACAAGGGAAGTTTATCTTTTCACACTAAAGCCAACCTCTATTCAGGGGACACCCATTTTAAGAGGACAGCTACTGTAATTTATATGTTGATAATTGCAAAGTAAGAGGTTCTGCTTGTTCTAATTTCAACAGAAAGTTATTAACATTAAATATAGAGTAAAGCAATCCAAAACAATGGCGTATCTAGGAGTTTTGAAATGGGGTGGCTGATGGGGGAGCATGAAGGTCTTGTGGGGAGCTTGATGATTAGGTAAGGGGGAGGGGGTGTGCTAGCTTGCAAAATAAGGTAATTTCAGGTGATTTTTAACTACTAGAGCGTGATTTCTTTGGCGGGGGTGCAGGTATTTTTTGGAGGGGTATATTTTTCCCGCGCACACCTAGGTAGTCCACTGATCAAAAAACAGTATCAAATTGTCTTGTTCAAGTTTTTGGTGACAAGAAAGTGCTTGGGCCACCACAGCAGATCCAGGAATTCAAAATACAGATGGTTAGTAAATAACTTATTTGGTTTTTATAAATGAGCTACTCAATGTAATAATTAAGTTTTTCTGACCGACTGCATTTCTTTAATATAATTTGGTATCTTCCCATTATATTTTTCAACTAAATAAAAAAAAAAAAAAATATTAAGTGAGAAGGCCTATGGATGACTTACCTGTATAATGAATTGAATGAAAACAGAGAAAGAAAAAGTATTCTACATTAAGAAATATTTGTATATATTGTTAAAAGCTTTGTAAATTCTTGATCTATAAAAAATAATTAGCAAATGCAATTGCTCCACTGTAAATAAAAGTTTCATCTTTTGAATTTGTATAAAATTCATAATTCTATCATATTTTTTAGACAGTTTTGATCTGGTCATGTGATTTGTGATGAAATACAAATGAGACATTAGTTTGCCACGCCCCTTTCAGGATGACATCTGTCACACCTCGCTTGTCAGCACAATGGTTCCACTGAGAAAGGTCGCTGTTACAATCGTTTATTTGTTGAACTTACTTGTCATGCGTATCACTCAGCGTGTCTTCGTTAAGCTTGAATAAATGCCGCAGGTCCTCAAGGGAGAAGTGTCGTTCCACGTCATCCTCGTTATCAACCACGCAACTACTCAATGCCTTCTTGTGCGCCTGCCTCTGCAAGATCTTTTCTTCGATTGTTCCGGTCTGTTGGCGGAACGTGTAAAGATTAACAACCGAGTAGTGAGTTTCTGATATTATATGTGCTAATTTGACAGTTCCCAGTGGGCATGTGGGTAGGTCTTGATATATTTATGTAAACATATTTTTAAGATCATAACATAAATCTACATGAAATGTCTTTATCAAGTTCATTAAGTTTACTAATTGATTGACGGTCTCAAAAGTGTTTCTGTCAACAGTAAATTCTATGAATGCTGTATGTATAAATACTCAGAAATGTATTACAATGTTAGTAATGTGGGTGTATTTGAGATAAACATTGATGAAGTAAATCCAAAACTGATAAACAGAATTAATGCAGGTTCCCAGAAAACCAGTTCCTAACAAACTAGAAAGGGAAAAAACAGGTGACTAATGAACCCTCAACCAATCTGCCTTAAATTTCGCACGCTTCGTTTAACTAGTGTAGAGCATGTTCCCAGCAATTGTACACACCAATATCTGAAAGGCATGGCTTGCTGAAGACTTTTAGACATGAAGATTCCAATTACAGAATGTCTTCTTTCAGGCTCCAAAGACAATCAGGTGAACTGTAAAGCTCTCAATTATGTATGTTGGGCAGATTCATGACAAACCTTCACAAATGGGGCTGCTTTACATACCCAATGCAAATGTACAACTAAACATCAGACAGTGGACTTCGTCTACTGCTAACAGTGCTTTAGACTCAAGAAGATTTGGTCATATATAAAATACAAAAGTATATGAAGCAATATATGGAGTGGAGTTGAATAGCTTAGTGGTTAAGACGTTTGCCTTCTAATCCCGGGGTTCTGGGTACAATTAATGTGACAGCAGGACTTCTTCTCATGCCTAAGAAACAACTCTACTCTCTAAGCCTTGTAAAGAGACTTCTTCACTGATAAAAGCATCACGCTATTTCATCTATTTAAGAGGGCGCCTGAATATCAGCCGACCTTCTAGGATACGCTGGAAGGATCACCCTCTATAAATATGGAGAAAAAAAAAAAGAAAAAAAAAAAACTACTTAATATGCTATCCCCAACAATGCTAAAACTTTGAGAACACTAATGCCTTATTACCCCTTATCAGCTCCTTTACAACCAGAGGAAAACAATATTAGGTTTACCGAGACAAGTCTGTAAATGTAGCATGGCTTCTTTTGACCATCCCTCCAGACACGTGCCATCGCTTGATCGTCATTGGCTGGATTCCAGTCCGGATCAAACATCACAAGCCTGTTTGCACCAATCAGGTTCAAGCCACATCCACCGGCTTTGCTGCTCAACATAAAGATATACTCTGGACTCTGCAGGTTAAACAAAAAGTTGATATATAATTATAACAACAGTTATAACAACAACAATAAAAACAATCATTATAATAATAGCAATGACAAAAATAATTAAATATAACTGTTGTTGTTATTGTTAGTGAGCATTTATATAGTGCCTTTCCTTTGGGGTACAAAGTGCTTCTGTATTGGTGCAGTAACAGGCAGCTCCAGTTATCCAGTTATTGCAGTAACAGGCAACAGGGTACCACTTTATACTACTGGTTGGAGAAATGCAATGAGGATGAAGTGTCAATATTTTGTAAATGTTTATTCGATTACTTACCCTAGGGTCATTGAACTTTTCAACGATCTTGGCCCGTTTCTTGATTGACATTGTACCGTCTAAGCGTACATAGATGTATCTATAGAAAATGAAAGCAGAAAGTTAAGACTTATGGTAATACTTGTGGTATGAGTGGTAGGGAGATTGTAGATGGAAAAAGTATTAGTACAGCAACTGAATAATGGTGTAGTAGTAGTAGCAGCAGCAGCCCAGCAGCAGTAAAGCAGCAGCAACAGTAGCAGTAGTATTATAGTAGCAGTAGTTGTAGTAGCAGTGACAGCAGTTATAATAGTAGTACCAGAAGTAGCAGCGCAGACAGCCATTGGTGGCGCCAGAGGGGATCAGATGGACACCCTGTATGTCTGACACCTTGATGAGGTTGTTGAACCAAATATATTGGTTTGCCCAAATAACATTATTTTGATTGCCAATCCCTAATATTGGGGTCTAAACACACAACTCTGGGCCATTAAAGCCATATAAACTCTCCCAATCAACCCTACCAGGGATTCTTCTTCCATGACCCTGACGAAGGCTGTAGTCAGGCCCTGACGAAGGCTGTAGTCAGGCCCTTGGTTCAGACACCATTGTCGGACAAGCTGTTGGCAAACTTCTGCAGCCACCACTGGCAGTAGCAGCAAGTAGTAGCAGCATCAGTAGTAGTTTTTTTTTAATAGGAGTATATGCGACATTACCCTCTAAGCCTTGATAATCTCTCAAAAAGATCGAGCGTCTGAGTGTAGTTAGAGACAAGCACAACCTTATCACTCGTAGTGCTCTTCACCATTGCTAGGATGTAGTCCAGCACTAATATCTTCCCTGAAAAATTAAAAAACAATTAAAAAAAACCACAAAAACCAATAGCAAGAGAATACTTCAGCCTGTGAGCCCGGAGCTCTGGTTATGACTTTACATTTTTATAAACAATTTTACTGCCTACCTGATAAATCTGGACGGACATTGTTAGGATTGTAATTATCAGGAAATAAATTCAGCATTCCCTGGAAGCCATCTTTACCAGTCTTACATTTCTCATAGATAAGAGAAGGATCTGCGGAGAAGAGAATTAACCAGTTTTACTGCTGAAATGCCTATGCTTAGAAATAATATTTCCTTCAGTTTTGCAATGAGCTTATGTGTAAAAACAAATTTAAACACGTGCTACATCTATAGAATGCATGTTCGAGCTTCAAACTCTATTCAAATTCTACTAGAGCGCGCCCTATCTCATGGTAATACTTCGTTTTCTCTTCCTTGCGTGCAATTCTATACTCTTTGATTTTTATCTAAGACTTTCATAGCAATGATTTTACAAGTTGAATGGTTTGTTATAAGTCAGGCGATATAACTGACCCGTAAAAACTGGCTATTTAAGACTGTTATAGCAATTAAAATTTAAGCTATAAAAACACCAAACCACAGATCCAAAAAGAAATTGAAGAGAAATCTTATTGGGTTTTCATCTTAACTAAAAATCAGAATCATCAGATATGCAACACATTTTATTTTTTCAAAACACATAGGTTCTTAATTTGAGAGTAGACTGTGGTACATGGTACATCTCAGCCAATCACAAAATGAAGGGATATGTTCACATCATATAAGGATGAACTCTCTATTTTAACTTACCATTGCACAATTTTTTGAGATGTGTGATAGCTGACAGAGATGACACACTGACCTTCCCATTGCTAGTAATTTCAGTGCTTTTCGATCGAACAAACCTCTTGTAAAGGTCACTCTGGAGAGAGGTCAATCGGCAACACACTACTTGCTCAACTAATGAAAAGATGTTTGGAAACAAAAAATACTGTTAATTTTCTATATAATTACACTTAAATATGATTCAGAAACTGACTTTCCATTTATTTGCCATATTGCCAAAATTGAAAACAAGCTTTCAATGCTTTATGAATCAAGCCTCAACACCCAAAATGACATTTAAATATAAACAAACAGAATGTCTATTATATGCTGAGATTTTAAGTTAGTTTCTAATGCAAAAAAAAAATCAAACCTACCTTTAATTGGTAAGTATTTGGATAAAATTGAAGCAGTTCTTCGGATGATGCACCTATTCACTAGCTTTGCTAACTGAATGAAAAGCAAGAATAAATAATGCTTATGACAAGGCATAGCATGAGATAAAGTATATTGAAGTCTCTATTGTTTTTAACTTTTTAATGTAAATGATATTACTGAAGACTGAATAGTGAACAGTACATTATTAATATATTGTTGTAAGTTTTCTAAGTCATCTTTATAGGTGATGTTAAGAATAACTTTGCATAAAAAATTAAGAAGTAAATGGATAATAGATAGGAATATTCAATTTTCAGAAAACTACCTCTTCCAGCTTCTCTTGTCCTTTCGCCCTCATAGAATCTGATGCATCAGCATCTCGACCACGTAATATAGGAATTTCAAAACGTTTCTTAAATTCTTGAGCTGTGCCTGAAGTTGAATTAACACCATGTTAAACTGAATCACTGAACACATACATTTTGAGACATTATTGTGGATATGTAGTTTGGTGGTTATTATTGGATTGGATACATTCGGTGTGAACGCCAAATATAACCCACGAAAGTCTGAAGGCTAATACTGTGTGTATTACTAAACTTCTAACAGAATGTATTCATGATTGGACTGCACGTGCAAAATATCACTACTGTATCTAAAAACCTATAAATACCAATTACCTTACCTAAAATACCTGTGTTGACAAAGTGTACAAGGCTGAAATATTCCAAAAGATCATTCTGAATAGGGGTGCCAGACAGAAGCACACGCCTTTTGGCATTCAAGGCATTTAATGATAAGTAAGTTTGGTTTTCAGAGTTCTTCAGTCGGTGTCCCTGCCAAGCCAAAACAAACAATATCATCCATCACAAATTTGCTACATTCATAATCTTATGAAGCACACCTTACTGGTGACAGCATTTTTCTGCTTTTTCTTCTCCTCAGCTTATATTTCTATATTATTTTGTTTTGTTGTATACATTTATGTCAGAATGAATAAATAAAAAAAAAAAAAATTAAGTGGACACCAGCAGGTGATTAGACAACAGATGTTCATCAACATTAACAGGCTGGAGGTAAGTTTTATGAAAGAGTAAACAATAGGAAAACAGGACACCCACTTTAACAAAACACAAAAATAACATTAATAGATCAACAAACCTCATCACAGAGAACTAAGCCCACAGAACCTTTATGGAGGACATCAGAGTGAAGACGAAATGTTTCATAAGACAGGATCAGCACAGGGTTTGCTGCACACCGCTTGGTTTGGCTCATGAAGTACTCTAGAAAATGAAAGAAATTCAGTAATCATCTCTGATTCAATTATAAGATGAAATTAATATTAATAATAATAACTTCATTCTTTTACAGCACATTCCGCAGAAAAACAAATCAATGCACTTTTCAACAAGAAAAAACAAGCAGTAAATAATTTGAATTAAATTACGGCACTTGAACTAAAAACAGTTCTGAAATGCATGTGTGCTATAATTGGTATATAGGTGTCCAAAACAGGGCTCCACCCACCAATGTCTAAACAACATCACACCCGGGTGCACAAAGGCACTCTGTTAGGCAGTATGCTGGGTTTCAGTACCTTTCAGCTAAAAAAAAACGCTCAATAAATAATGTAATAATGACATTTTGGTGTTTGGCTAACAGGCAAGAATGTTGTAAAACTAATTTCTATAATAGCTGTACAATTACAATAAAAAATATCGGTCTTACCTAATTGTTTATCTATATCACTTTTAGATCCTGAATCAATGGCTAATGCATTTATCCTGTTTCCTAACCACTTTGTGATTTCATTATACCAGTTCTGAAAAATATAATTAAAGACATGGAAATATAACCCTTTCAAATGCAGTATTACAGACTTTTAACAGAGTATGACAGAAAATGTTTCAATCATGTTGTTTTCCTAGAAAGCAACAGATTTGAGATTTAATACATGGAAATGAATATGTATAAAGTATGTGGTGAATATTCATGAGGTATGTTTATCATAAATGAATATTCAAACCTTTACTAGACTTGACGGTGCAACAACAATAGCTTTCTTGATTTCTGGCCCACCTGAAATTTTAAAAAGGAGAAATACACTCCATAAATACAGTTCTAAAATTCAACTAAGCTATGCTATTTATTGCAGGGTATAGTATAAATTGAATTGATTTATTTGCATCTCTTAAAATTACAGCAAAAACACAAAAACAATACTATATAATGTATGTGTTGATAATGTAATCATTGACAACCCTCTCCCAGGAAATCAACTTCCTCTGCCCCTAATGATGTACTACAGCAGGGAAAAAATGAATTTCTATAAAGAGTATAGTTCTGGAGTGTGAAGTAATATTATTGATATGAGATCAAAATTTAAGTAATGTAAGCCGCAGTCACCGAAATATGAATAACAAGAATAAATTAATACAAGCTTACGATACAAACAGATCATAAATTGTAGTTCTCCATGGGCATAATTTCTTTTTTCTAATCTAACTAGTGTCTAGAATCTATGCAATACAATATTATTATAATATCACCTACCATCAGGACTTTGTCGTAATAATGTCCATAGAAGAGTAATGCATTGCAGTGTTTTACCTAGACCCTGTGAATGAAAAATACATTATCAAACAGATATAAAATTATCATAAAACGATGATTTTGAAGACATTTTGCACATATAAGGAAGATGAACAGATCAGGTGATGTGTAGTTTGTTGCAACATGGGAGCACCACAGAGTGTTATAAGAATCCTGTTCTGTTACTGAAATTAATTTAAATAAATCTACGTTATGCAAATCTGGGCACTCATTCTTCCCCACAGCCATCGGCCGACGCAATTCTATTGAGAATGCAACATCATGACGAGCACGCAACGGATCGTTTTTAATGACGATCCATTCAGACTGCCACCGACAATTAGCAGACGGTGTCGCGTCGTGTAACGCTCCCAGGGAGTGGAGTTTAATTTGTTTGACCTTCTTACGACACAGTTAGTGCCCAGCTTAAGGAAACAAGATAAAAACACAGCATTGATACCATTTCATCTGCCATGATACATCCGTAGCTGTTTTCAATCTTACGACCTGTGACACATTTCCACATAAACTCCACACCCTAGAACAATTAACAAAAAATAAATACAGTATTTTAATGCCTCATGATTAACAAAAAAAATGATAAAATACAGCATAAAAAACTAAGAGCAAAACAACTACAGTATAAACTTTACTTTATTCTACATGACACCTTACCTCCCGTTGATGCGGACGAAGAACTTTCGATAACACCGGATCAACAACAACTGAAAAAAGATGCATATAAGCTACATGTAAACATCAATATACAATAAATTACATGTGAATTCAAATAGAAATGATGGTTTATAATTTTTTAACATACAATAAATTAACATTAGTTTACTGATAATTTTCTTCTCTACTTACCATGAATTTGCTGCTTTTCTCTAGAAAAGAAAGAAAACAATACAAGTTATTAAAAATTATACAAAAATGTACTTAACTATTTGAACATAGATTAACAGAAATAAATATGACGTATTGATATACTTTCACTTTTTAAGAAATACCAGCTGAATCTGGAAGGGTCACCCTCTATAATTATAGTAATAAAAATGACTGACTCACTTATCAGCTAAAAGTTGGTCATGTGCTGACATCACTGGTGGTGAATAGAGAACCAGGGCACCCTCTTCATTTGGGTCATGCAGAGGTTGCTTTGCACCTTGCCTTCTTACACCCAAACCACGATTTGCAAGCGTTGGCCCTTTTCATTTAGGGAAAAAGCATACAAAATCATCATAAGAACTACATTACATCTTATCTTGGAGTGATTGATTTAGTATTCAATAACCAAGTAAAAGAAATTTGAAGATGTTTACATGGGTTGCTAAACAAATGCAAAACAAGAATTCTACCTATGCAAACAAATGAATAACAAAAGTAATAAAGTAAAAGTTGGTATATAAAAATAATGAGAGTTATAATAATTCATAATATAAAAATACCTACTCACCCTTATAATTGGGAATTGGTATCTTGAATGGTTTTGACAATATTTTACGAATCAAATCTTCCTGTAAAATAATTAAGAGTAAATCTAATATATTACATGATAAATGGAAGTACTGTTTGCCTAGAACCACTGACGCTACATACATAGAACCAACATATAAATTGCTCTTGTTCGCAATGGTCTATTAATGCTACTTTAAGAAATTCCTTAAAAAAATGAGCATTACGTTGCCTCAAAAATGCACATTTTTAATGAGTAATCACCATTTTCTCCAATCTTTGTGGGATCATGCAGATGGAATTGTTAATATATATTATGACTGCAAGACACCAGTATAATAAATTGTCAAAATACTATATTTTATGAATTGTGACATGAGTGATATCTGGAATGAAGACACTTGTCACTGGCCAACTTTCCATTCAAAACTTAACAAATATCAGTCCATGGAAAGCTGTTACAAATTGGCCTTTGGTGTTCATTATCATAAATCATGAAAGAATTTGGTTTACTTTATGCTGCAAACATTCTTAATTGAAAGCATTTCTAACTCTCAAAGGGAATGGCTCATCCCACATAGCCCATATCAGGTAAAAGTATCTCTTAGCTTCAATAATAACAACATTTAAGTAAATTACATGACTTGATGTTTGGGTTGGTTTATTGCTGACTGACTCCAAAGGTCGCCTGGTAGCTGTTGATGGGAACAACCCACCGCCGCCATATTTCATGCATTTGCTTCCTTCCTGAAATATTAGGATATTAAAACAATTATAGATGAAATATATAAGAATGAATAGGCTAATAAATAAAATACAGGAACATGAAGGGATGAATAAAATATAAAAAATATGGAAATACTAAGGTAAAGAATAGACTATTCAATTAGAATATGAGAATATTAAATTCAGTGTGCCAAACTGTAAAAAAAGGGATTGCGCTGGGAATTCCAGTGCAAAAATTAAACCTAGAATTAGTCTGCTCATTAAAAAAAATACTGTAAGGGCTAATTTCTGCAGATTTCAAAGAAAATTAGGCCTTGGCCTAACTCTCAATGTACAACCAATGTATTAAGCAGTAGTTATCTATTTCTCGTTGACCAAACCAAACTGAACTCACATTTGTTGCTCTACCATCAAAGGATGGCTTCCTCTTTGCTGTAGCCAGAGCCAGCTGGCTTGGAGCATGTTGTCGCCTCTGTCAAAAAATTAAAACAAAATTGATTTCATTTCTTTAGGCACGAGTGCCAAGGATATGGCAGTCAGTGAACTTAATCACTATCCTACGTGGCAAGCATATTCAATAACGACAGGGGACTGAATGGTGCAGTACACTGGGGTAACCCCTACTCTTCTCGAAGGATGTACTGGGTTTTTAAGTGCACACAGGCCAAATGCGTACAAGCCCTACGGTTTAAAGTCCTTATCTAAGATCATAATTAGGTCACTGTTGTTTTGTTAATTTTATTTACACTTACCAATACAAAAGAGTAAGATGCTCACAAGTAGTTCTAGTAGTTATACTACTAAAAAAAATTAAATATAATCTATATGTAATTTAATAATGAATAATGATTCTGGAGAATTCTCCGTTGTCCACTATTCAGTGCTTATGGTGATTTTTGCACCCAGGTTTGATTTGAATAAAAATGAAAAGGGAAAAAAAAGAGAATAGATTTAGCCTAATTAAAAATTAAGGCCACACAAAAAAAATTATTAGTCTATCACACACTCCCTCATCACTTTCGGGCAAATTCTGATTTATATATATATATTTTTTTTCAATCAACATATTTTTATTTTCCCCTCTTTTTTTAACTTGAAAAGCTCAGGATTTCTTGAAAATATGTTTACTGCCACTGGTACCACAAAAACATATTTTTTAAATATAAATTTGATTCCATTCGGATGACTTTTTATATATTTGTCCCTAACCAATGATTTACTTACTTACTAACATCGGTAAAATGGGGATGGGGTTAGCAAGAAATAAATAAAACTTCCCTCCCTCATCAGTTTTTATTCTTTGAATTTTGATATGGTGATAAACTAATAATTTTTTTTTATATGGGGTCTAGCATTAGGTAGACCTATTTTATTATATTTATAGCATAAGTTGAAGTCAGTTGAGGTACATATTTTTCACTCCATCTTATGTGATGGACTAGTCTACAAACACAACAGACAGCACCGGGCCTATGTATTATGTTAGGCCGAGCCAACGATTCGATGACCTCATCAAATGACCTAGAGGCCGCCTAGCTGAGTTGATTGTCCCCCCCGTGGTGGTTGATCACAACCTCGCCCCAGCAAGGGCCTAGCAGCAGGCCTATGTCTAGCTCCATAAGCACCTTAAACTAACATTTAAATTCAGATATTGTACATACCATAAAGAAGCAGGGCTAAACGCCTTATTGAAAAATCCAAAATATACTTCAATAAACATAATACACCTTCATTTTTCAGAAGAATTTCTTTTGAAACCTAAAATACAAAAATCAAATTACGCGCGTGTGTAGTTATTTGATTATTCCTTTTGCCACTAGAGGGCGCACAATATAGCGGCAAAATAAAAATAATAACTGAACATGATTTTGAGATTTTGATTTGCATTAAGGTTTGTTTTGTTTTACATAGGCCTAGGCCTATCATAACCGTAAATAAGTTAAACACGATTTCGGAATAATATATACTCATATAAGCATACATTAATTAGGCTTAGCCTTGCCAGATAGGAGGGCCAGACTTCTGTAGCCTAGCCTAGGCCTAGGCCCTAGTTTCTTTTAGTTAGTAGGACTAGGCCTGACCTACCTAGCCTAGGTAGGTAGCAGTTAGCTAGGTAGGTTCGCTAGGCCTAGGCTATAGGCCAGACTGTATAGCCGCGCGGGTAAATATTCTCCACGCAAAAATTTGCCCTAGAAATCAGTCCGCACATTTCAGAAAATAAAGGTTGATTTCAGTGCAGATTTTGCGGAAAATTAGCCTAATTATTAGGCTTTGACCAAATCTTAATAGTATATATATGCCTAACCAGTGCAATTTTATGCAGCAATTACGATCCCGTGCACCTTTTTTCCTAGTGATTTTTGGCGCAAATTTGAGCTGATTTTTTAGATATCCTCCGTGCAATTAAAAAACTTTACAGTATGGATGAGGTCATGAATAATTAAATTAAAAATAAATAAATTATTGTTTTTGCGATTATGAATAGAGAAAGCAAAAGAAGTTGATCATGGACCTTGGCAGGAAGTTAGCTGAAACTATTAATAGTTTGGGTTATAAAGGATCCCATGAACTCCAAGCTGCAGATTTTGAATGGATGTGTGAAGATGAAGAGATCCTGCCATTCCTGGATTGGTTTTGTGGAAACGTTAATCCATCCAATATCATCACTCCCGAAGAAATGGAAGAGTAAGCAAAACAAAAATACAATTATTGACTATTTTGCCTGCTTTTTACACCTGCATTATCATCTTTTAACATCATCATCCTAATTAACATTATAATCATCATCACCATTATCATCATCATCATCCTTCTCCATAACATCATCATTATTATTTTCTATAACATCGTTATCATCAGATTCATTGCTATCGTTATCTTCCCTAACATCATCATTATCATCAACAGCCATAGCATTTTTATCATTATTATCCTGTATGCCATCATCATTACATCATCTTCACTGTTTTTCATAACATCATCATGACGACCATCAGGCATCGCCATTCTCCATAACATCATCATCATCATCATTTGTAATAATGTCATAATTTTTGTCTTTAAAAGCCTGTTCCGGCTGATTTACAGGTTTTTAATTAATATAGGTTGGGACTAGATCAGATTTATATGAATTTTGGTTCCATTGCAGATTCCGTGCTCTTGAAGCATCAGGAGAAGGCATTCTGGAAGGGGAACAGTTGGAGCAAGCATTACAAAGCTTAACTAACATTGAAGAGGATGATCTAACAGAGGATCAACTCAAGTATGAATGGACAATAATGAATAGTCATGAACAAAACCAATTTGTTTAAAGCTTATTTACATTTGTCTGATGAATATTCATTAGTGTGTCATTAAAGAATTTGTAATACACAAGTAGAGATGCAAATTTTAAATGATAACTAATACCCTATTCAGACTACACTCTGTTGCGATCGGTTGCGATGTAATCGGTGGTAATCCAAAACTGATTACTCCCAATCGCAATCAATGAACGCATTCAGACCAACACAAACAAACTTTACATTCTAGGGCCTAGGCCTCCGGTGGCTAGGCCTATGTTGACTGACCTCAGCCAAACAGTGCCTGTGGAATATGTTGTGATTCGTTGCGATCGGATTCCGTGGTAATCTATAATATGGTAAAGATCGTAGCACCCAATCGCAACGGGTAACAATTGCGATATCGATTACATATCGACTACTATTGGTGAGCTTTCACACACGATTTTACTTTTCGATTGGGTGTCGCAATTGCTACAACCGATTGCAATGCGATGCTAGTCTGAATGGGGTATTAGTGTAACTAAATGTGATAGCAAATTTGATTATTAATAACAGGAAAGAAATTGCTGAACTGGAGAGTGAGGTGAAAGCTGCTACAAAACGGAAAGAAATTCTAATCCAACAGAGGAACAGACTCAGGTTTGATTGATTGACATATTGATTGACATGTTGCTTACATTTCTCACAGATCAATAACATAGCTTATTAATTAAGTTTACAGAAATAGAGACAATTTAGACAATTCAGAAGCTAACGATAAAATAATTAAGAAAAATATCCAAATTAAAATCAAAGGTAAAAATTACGAGTGCACTTTGACGCAGCGGTTGCAGTTCTGCTACTCAACCTTGAGGTTATAGGTTCAATCCCTTGTTGTGTATTTCACTTGTGTCCTTGGGCAAGGCACTTCACCTACAATTGTCTCTCTCCACCCAGGAGTACAAGTGGGTACCTGGTAGGTTCAAACACAAAATGCGCTGATTACAGCTGCAACAATATGGAATTCTCCAAGGGGACCTGAGTATGAGTTCCATAAGTGCTTGATCCAATGACGGGGGGTAATAATGCTAAGTGCATAGAGGTCTCTACAATATGCGATATAAGTTGAACAATTATTATTATCATCTAATATGAATTTACAAATGTTACTATAAGCAACAGATACATTTATTTACTTATTTTTACAGTGTACACCACACAACCAGGCAGCATAAGCTCACTAAACTCGGTGCAATCGAATCTGCTGCCAAGAAGAAATACAAAAAGTGCTTAGAGCAGTCTCATTCTGATAATAATGAGGTACAGGTTTAAACAAGTTTTGAATTATTTCATGGTTAATTATATTTTCATAAAACTTATATTTATATATTATAATGGTACAGTATATGTAAAAATGCAAAAGTAATGTGTGTATGATTCATGTTGAAATGAACAAAGAAGTTTGAAGGATGCATCCTAGGGGCCACAGTGCAGTACTTACCCTGGTCAGATCAATGGAAGACAATCCCCTATTTTTCTCAAATTCTATACTGAGTTCTTTTTTGTGCGTTATGTGGTATTGACCATTCCAGAGTATCAATCAAGCAAATGACCGATCAGATTACACGCTTGTCACACAATCACGTGTGTCCCATAAATGTGTGTTTATGCTGTCTCTTTGTGGGAACTTATAATATCCAAGGGACAGCTGGGGCTTGGCAGAAAGGTCCATTATGCACGCAGGACCAACAGCTTAAAGTCTCATCTGAAAGATGATGTACATCAATTGGTGGAGATAGCTTTGCAGTTAAGATACTTGCCTTCCAATTCAGATTCTGCATTAAATTTCTATTTAAGATACAGTGTTTTGTTCTCATGGGCAATAACAACTCCACTTCCTAAGCTTCAGTAGAAGTTTATGTAAAGAACATATTTATTTGATTTATGTTGATTTATTATTTGATTTATATTGATTTATTATTTCATTTATATTGATATATTATTTGATTTATTATTTGATTTATATTGATTTATTATTTGATTTATATTGATTTATTATTTGATTTATATTGATTTATTATTTGATTTATATTGATTTATTTGATTTATAATTTGATTTATATTGATTTATTATTTGATTTATATTGATTTATTATTTGATTTATATTGATTTATTATTTGATTTATATTGATTTATTATTTGATTTATATTGATTTATTATTTGATTTATATTGATTTATTATTTGATTTATATAGATTTATTATTTGATTTATATAGATTTATTATTTGATTTATATTGATTTATTATTTGATTTATAGATGAATACAGCATTACAGAACCTTAGCAAAGCATTTCAAGACGTTAGCTTGCTTTACTCCAGATCATCAAAAGATGAGGGTGCTGACGGTGTGATGTTCCTAGCGCATCTCCCACTTCAGGATTACTATCGAGCGGAGGAACGCTTTACCCAAGAGCTAACAAAGTACACAAAGAAGCAGTTCTTTGAGGTGATTATAGTAAAAATACTAAATAATGTGTTTGTGGTAGCATGTGGTGCAGTTACAAGGTCAAATGTCTGTAGGTGCTTCATCTAAAGGCCAACTCAGACAGTGTCGGCCGATGCAGCCCGTCTTAAGCCGTCATGAGAAATATTAAACATGTTTAATATTCTACTACGCGATTTCCCCCCCCCCCCCGACGCACGCCATCGCGTCTGCGTTCAACTCACACAGACCCGACGCGACAACAAATCGCATTTATATTGATTTATTATTTGATTTATATTGATTTATTATTTGATTTATATTGATTTATTATTTGATTTATAGATGAATACAGCATTACAGAACCTTAGCAAAGCATTTCAAGACGTTAGCTTGCTTTACTCCAGATCATCAAAAGATGAGGGTGCTGACGGTGTGATGTTCCTAGCGCATCTCCCACTTCAGGATTACTATCGAGCGGAGGAACGCTTTACCCAAGAGCTAACAAAGTACACAAAGAAGCAGTTCTTTGAGGTGATTATAGTAAAAATACTAAATAATGTGTTTGTGGTAGCATGTGGTGCAGTCACAAGGTCAAAGGTCTGTAGGTGCTTCATCTAATGGTTGGGGTAATAATGTGAATTGCTTAGAGGACTTGTGGCATGATGTGCTGAGTAAAGCTAACATATTATTATTTCTGCTATAGGGCATAACAAGCATCACTGGCCAGGATGAAGCCTCTTGGTATCAGCTACTGGACATCAGTGACCCATCAACGTTGGTATTAAAAGGCGAGAAAGAGCATGTAACACTCAGCAACTGCAAAGAAATAGCCCGGCTACAGGCCCTGTGAGTTTTTTTATTTCATGCGCATGTTAATCACAGTTACAGATACTTAACATTGTTACATAATGAATATAATAATAAATAAGGTCTCCCTCCCCACAATTAAGACCACTTTTTGAACCAGGTTTTCCATTATTTGTACTAGCTTTGGTCTCCAATAAAGGTAAAAAACATTTGTTAATTTGGGACCACAGAAAAGTGGTCTTTACTTGGAGGTGGTTTTTATTTGGAGGTGTTTTTAATTGAAGGGAGACCTGTATAATAATGTTGATGTGTATTTTCACTTTTTGTTATTCCTTATACAATTCTCAGTTATCCAACAAGTCAGAAGCAGTATGTGAAGGCCTTAGCTGAACAGACTAGGCTCCAAGCAGCCTGCGACTGTGCTAGGCAGCTGATCACCTCAATAGATCAACAGACATTCCCAACTAAAGTAGGAGAGTTGAGGTAATTATAGAGGGTGCTATACTAAAATGTTTGACAAATTCTAAATTCAATAGCAATCCACAATCAAACCAAGTCTTCAATCTATAATTCTCCAAAGTACAATTTACAGTGTAACCCTTGTAACTGTTGGTTTTAATTTTTGATTTGTATGGGTATGTAATATTACAGTGGATTATTATTACTGGGCTCCAGACTTTTGTAATGGTGAATTTGTTGCTTTTGGGGCCCCAAGACACTTTAAAATTATTGAAATGGCCCTTAATTACATATTGTAGTAAACTAAATTAAAATTTTATAGAATAAACTTGTGAAAAGTGAGCAGTTCAGAAACACCAAACATTTTTTTTCCTTTATACAGTCAACAGGTCCAGCATTTAGAGCAGAGTCTAGAGCAGGCTAGTCGCCATGCAAGTACATTAGCGGAGAATGACCTACCACAACTGATTGATAAAAATGCAGCACTGCAACAGACTGAGATCCTGTTTGGTGATTACAACCTCAAGATTGCTAGGCAGGAGTATTTCACATCCAAACAAGATGAGGTGATTTCACTACTGTGTTTTTTTTCATGTATTTTTGTCATTTTTGAAGGAACACCCCCCTCCCAAACCCTTACCCTCAGACCATATGTTCTCAATTGGTGCTTTGATCCCCTTCATGATTTTCTTGTAGGTGATAAAACAACTGACACTACAAAGATCACGGCACGAGTTTCTCAGCATGGCGTTCGAGACGGAGGCTGCATCGCTGCGTGAAACCCACCGTCTACTAACAGCTGCCAGGGATTTCCTTGATACTAACCTGAAGAAGCATCAAGCTCAAATGGTATCCTTTGCAAAAATGATAATGGAAATAGAAAACAAAATAATTCCAGTGCAACCTCTTGGCTAAATTATAAGGATGGGTAACCAGAGCTTGTAATAACCTTGTATAATTTTGAATAGTACATATGGCAGAGGAACTGCAGAGAATCTGGGACAATGTCAACTGGGAAAGTATGGCAAGAGAAAGTGACCTTCATCTAGGACACAAGTGACATAATGCAACATATAAATAACTATGCATATGAATATTCATTATGCATATGAATATTCATACACAAATCCTACATAATGTACAGTGTGCTTGAATATTTATTTTCATGTATTATACTATTATCCTTAGCACTTATGATGTAGGCTTTACTTAATGACCCAAGTCTGCAGCCTACTCCACCCAGGGCAACGATAGATTCCAGGGATCAATTTGTTACACGGATGTATCAAATTCTATGTAAGGATATCTAAATATTTGTTTTCTTGCTTTTTCAAAATCCTACATGTATTTCAAATTGCTCTAAATTTCACGCCAGTGTAACAGTTGGTGTCGCACTCTTTCAATGAATAAATCCAACAAACTCATAATTATTTACCAAAGTTACTTGGGTATACGCCTACCCCCTAACTGAGTAATTTTTAATTAAAATGCTCTACCCGAATATAAGCTAAAATGGAAATTCTACTCATTGTGTGGATCTCATTTCCTTAACTTCCCCTTGGTCTCTGATAATTTTTTTACAAGCATAATTTGTCTTTTTATGTAAAATAGAATTTGTGGTGAATTTTATTACTGTAATATGAAATGTTGATTTGGTTTTTAAGACTCTTCAGATGAATATGAGGAGCGGTCGAAAAATCAGCTGTTTTTGACGTATGAGGATCTCCTTGAGGGCGCCAAACAACTTGCCAGTAACCTAGCTAGTCTCCAATCATCTTTGGCATCTACCAACAGCGATCAAGATTCTAGACTAACAGAACTGTAAGGTTTTACAATCCAAAAATTGAACTTCACTATTTATCTTGAGTCTGTTAATGTTCATTATCATTAATAAATTTAAAAATTTAACTGTATTTTCATTTTTATCATATTTTCATTTTATCATTTAAATGTATCATTATTGATGACCACTCTAATTAAAGACCACTTTTGGGATGGGGTTTATATGGTCTTTAGCAGTTTTAATTTTTAATTAGAAAAAATATTATTATGAAGATAAAGATTGATGTTCATTTGGGCCACAGAAAGGTGATCCTTAATTGGACATGGTCCTTAATTGGACATGGTCTTTAATTGGAGGGGTCTGTCATTAGAGGGAGACTTGCATCTTTATCATAGTTAATTCATTTCAAATATTTAGCATCTTAGCTAAGACCTTAATCCTTAATTTCCAAGACATTATTCTTAATGATAATTATCTAAATTTTTCTTTATAGTGAGCATAGCCTGAAGGTTTGTGAAGATATAGTATATGCAGGATCAGCTAGCAAGGGAGGTCAACCAGCGCTCAGCCCACAACCCATCGTACATGCCATCAACCAGCTAGACCAAGCACTACAGAGCTTAGAGAAGAGTATTTTGGATATTATGACAGAGTACAGTACCAAGAAAAAGGTAAACAATAAATTAGAACCATCCTTATTATCTGCATTTAAAAAAATGATTTTGTTATTTATTTTCCAATCTCTTAATAATTCCTCACCAATGTTTCTTTCATAACTATTTCATCCTTATGTTCCTAAAAGGTCTCTGAGATCTAGTTTAAAGTCTCTACTTGCTCATTCTATTTATTCATCAACAAAGCATTATGGTAATCGTTCTTTTTCTTGGGCCTCTCTCTTTATTTGAAATGCTTTGCATATTAGTGTTACAATTCAACAGGCAACCTCTATTATTGATTTTAAAACTCACCTTTTTAACTTGTACTTTTCTTTAATTTTTTCTTCCAGCATTTTAATTTTCTATTATTAAGCACATTTCGGCTTTAGCATAATGCACTACATAAGCCAAAATTATTATTATTATTATAAACCAAGTTGATTCGATAACTTATTTATACTTCAGTAATAAAGTTTCTGAATCTGAATCTGTACTGTACATTGTTATTAGTAGGTACAAGGGCCAAGGATTATTCAGTCTTACATAATAAATGGCAATCACTTTCACAAGACAAACATATACACATGATGCTCTATATATTAAGTCTCATTTCAAGGCATAAGGAGAGGGGCCAGTGTAGGTCATGAGAAATATCCTGTTACTTGACAGGACTTGAAGCTAGAGGATTGTCAGGCAAGCATCTTATTAACAATGGAATATTGGGTTTTTTTTGTCATTATTAAAAGATGAGATATCTTCTTATAATAGAAATATTTTTTGAAGTTTATCTTAATGTGATGTGCCATATATGGGCATGATGATGTCATATTACACCCTAATATGGGCACATCACATTTATTAGTCTGGACAAAACATAATAGTTCAGTTTTATGTAGAAATTTAATGCGTATGATTATTTTTATCCTTAGTTACTGCATGATGATCCCCTGCTTGCCCGGCAAAGGACTCTTTACACAAGCTTCTTCACGAACCAGGGCAAGTTGAGACGGACGTTAGATGACTTATCACAGCAGCTGCAAGCGCAGATGGTGGAATAAGATGCAACACTGTATATTACCGATAAATACGATGGGACACTGCATGTTATAGACAAAATAAGATGCGACTCTGTTGTTAGATAAATTGCAAATGTAAAAATATATAAACAATTACTGTATAATAATCATGTATAATGAAGGCATTTGCTGTATGTGTGTAATAATATAATAAAGAGCTATACTACTTATGTTTGCTTCATTCAATTATGTGCGATTGTTTGATGAGATATAAAAAATCTGAGCAGAGCATAGACAGAAATTATCCCTTGTGAATACTGAGCAGCTTAGTTTCGTCGGCTAGGTAGCCACTGTGTATGCGCTGAACCGTAGTAATCTCCAGTTCCCTGGTTCAATTTCCATGAGACTTTTAAGCTGTTGGTCCTGTGTTGCCTTATGACCTATGTGCACGTTGAAGAACTCCGTACACTCTTCGGGAAAAAGTAGGGGATTTTCTCCATGTGTACTGCTCAAAACCACCACCAGAAGGACCCCACTGGAAAAAAGTCTCCAGACTTTTGTGGGTGGTTATGGTGTTTACACCAAATAAATCCATCCATCCATTCATCATGTTTAGTCTTGATTGAGTCACTATGGCCGACACAATGTGCACTCACAGTCATGCCAATCATTTTATGCGAGATAGTCACTTGTATAACCAGACATGGCTGGTAAACTTAGTACAAATGCATAATGTGTAAACCATATATTTTAATCATAGAGATATTTTTAATTTCAGTAATATGTGTTCACACTTGCATGCCTATATTTCTATATCTTTTGTATTTCCTTTTATGATTAGTAAACAATTATACTGGTGTAGATTCTACAGTCGTCTGAAAAGCATTTCCACAAATCTAGTCTAACACACAGATGCTAGCATTTGTGCTGGCTTCACTTGGAGTATAAGTGTGACTTGATACAAGTTAAATTTGGAATAGTAAAATAAAATTCAAATTTGAGTGAAAGCCCGTATCAAGGGAATACAGTATCTACATATGTTTTGTTTACACAAATATGAAGTTATAAGTGATCATAATATGACTGATCATAAAGTCTTTCATTAGACTTAATTTATTCATTACACTATAGTATCTAACAACATGAAACCAAGGCAACGACATGTCTATGAGAGGTCAGATTGTCTTTTATAACATACACCTTTAGAGAGGTCAAATATAATAAAATATTTTCAAGTTTCATCTAGAATTTACATTCTTATGTTGACCTTTATCTATCCAACCCAATACTTAAGGATAGATAGGCTCTCTTAAATTTAACATATAAATCATAACTGCAACTTTTAAAAGGCAAAGAAAAAAAATTGTATATCGCCATTGTAACCACATGAAGTTGTGTAATAAAAAACATAACTGAAAAAAAAGCTGATTCAACTGATAAAAAAATTTTTGGAAAATGCCTAATTATATAAAAAAAACAAGAAAATTTAACTGAAACTCGTCAAAATTTAAACATGCAAATACAGATAAAAGTAGAAATACTATGTAAATATTGCGCATATAATTATACATACAGGTAACCAAAATCACAGGTGCTACCTGTATGCTAATGAGCATGATATCCATACATAAATATTAATTACATTACATGATCATTCTTTAAAAAAATAACACAGAGAGCAGGTAGGAAAACTTTAAGATGGGAAATAATTTACCATAATTAAATATTATTGGTAACACTGAAACAATCATCGTTATAAGTAGAATCTATCTTAAATTTAACCGGTATTGATCATGGCATTTTATACAAATTGTGAATGTTTACTACATAGGTATCTCTTACCCTGGTATTTTACCTGCATACTGAGAAATTGCATCACTTATAACACTATTAATTATATTAATATTAATTATAACAATAATATTACTAAAATAATTATTACAATAACAATTATTAATAATAAAAATATTAATACTTCCTATAGACTGACTATACAGTATTATTTATAAATTCTGAAGTATAATCATAACCAAAAAAAGTAATGTCAGCTTCTATTTAATGCTTTGTCCCCACTATCAAATTCTGTGACAAATTTATGTGACGTGCCCATATATAGGCATGATGATGTCATATTACACCCAAATATGGGCATATCTCATTTACTTGTCACATGGAATTTTATAGTGTAGACAGAACTTTAGTCAACCAAATAAAATATATACTAGCAAGAGTATCATATATTAAATTTATCTTCACCCATCCATAAAAAATAAAAATAAACAGTAATTGGAAAACACTTATAGGAATGATCTGAACCACTTCATTCAACATAAAGAATAATATAATTGCACCTTCAGGACATGTGATATAATTTGGATTTAAGTACTGATCACCAAAATACACACAAGTGCCTTAAACATACCTCTTTCTATCATTATTACTATTAAAACAGAACTTTTGATCCTTACTTCAATATACAGTCATCCCGTTTCTATGACCATCTAACAATTATAATATACTGTATCTTAAACTCTGTTCATACTATAAAATTGTATGTAACAAATCTGTGTGATGTACCCATAATTGGTCATGATGTCATATTACATCCAAATATGGGCAAATCACATTTACTGGGATCAAAGTTAGGGTATGTGTTATATATTAACATTAACTGGTGTCTTTCACTGGAGCAAATCTAATTCCATGTTATATTTGTACAGTTACAAAATAATGCTTTCAAAATAAGTAGTGTGTAAGTACAGTCCTGTGTGAGTGCTACATGTTATATGGGTACACATTAGCACATTGGGTATCTTTACAGACAGACTGGTAACTTAACTAAACATCTTATGACATCCTGACAAACCCCTATATAGTTCCTCTGCCTATATTACAATATATCAATGTAGACACGTAGATGATTTATAAGTTTCTATAATTTAAAAAAATAAATAGAATAATTAATGTAATTCTAGTATATGTATACATATACATATATTTTCTTAATCCCCCAGTGGATTAATCTTGGAGATAATACTTTTAAACAAATTCTCTATGCCTTACAACCTCAGTCTAATAATTTGGAACAGGTTAGGAGATGAGTGAATTTCCATACAAAAATAAAATAAAATAAGTAACCTATTCATATAATATAATTAAATGAGTTTATGATATAGAAGTACAATATTATGTTAATGCCTGACTACAATGGATGTTTGGAAGAAAATAGAAAGTGTTTTAATCTCGGAGCAAGTCAGAATAATTTCTTTGGATTGAAGATGTGGTTTGCTGATTAAGCACCCACTTTCTAAAAGCAAGATCCTGGGATTAATCCTAGAAAAAAATTCGGGATCCTTTTCACAACTGAAAATCCTCCACTCTAAGCTTAAAAAGAGTTTTCAGTTATAAAGCAGCAATTGTTTCAAATGGCCAACTTTCCTGGATAAATCATTTATTGTTAAATATGGTGTTAAAAAAAAAAGGTTGTTAGCAAAACACAGAGCCTGAAGAAACACCAGCCAAACAACTGAACCACCTTTCTGTCAAACACCGCCCCTTGGATAATAAGCTAAGTTCCCACAACATGACAGTGTAAACATATATAAGCACATGTGCTTGTGGTGGTGAAACATGCGCATGTTAAATAATAGCCCTGCTCTGATGGTCAGTTGTTATTTTTTTGATGGTCACTCTGGTAAGGTCCACTGTAGCATGCTTGAAAAGAGTTTTTTTGTGTAGCATATAAACACATCAATATTTGACATCATTAATTCTAGATTTAACTCCAAGTTTAACTAACATCTTCATTTTGGAAAAAACTGTGGTATACTACAAGATTCAGTGGCTCTCTTATCTTGGGATTTCTATCTCCACATCTTCAACCGTAACACCAAACAACTGAATTGTTATTTCATCATGTTTTTTTCCTAGTACAGAGCTTTTTGGCCACTCTTTTCAAACTCAGACCATGCATCGTTCAGCTCCAGAAATATTAGCTTAGCTAAATCTTCATTTGGTGTGCCCACTTGTTTATCGGGGTGGGCAGTCAAAACAGCCTTACGGTAGTATTTCTTTACCTGCAAACAAAATAAGATTGGAAAAAAATAGTGAGGTATTATTAATAGTTTGTTTACCAAATTCAAATGCTATTGCTAAGGACAGTAGAAAAGTTATGATTGGTTGAAATTTGTTATTATGTTTGTTACTGTATACATATAGGACATAAACAGAAATTATTTGATATGTACCAGCGTCTCATGTCGCATTGAGTTGATTGAACGTGGCTCATTCTTATTTGTTGATGGGGTAAATCCTTGACCTGACAGTAAATCACCAAAGTCTGCCTTCTTAGCACCAGCTAAGATAAAATAATAGACAGTAATTATTAAAAGAATATCAAATACAGAGAAATATAAATGGATAAATAAAAGATAATTAACAAGTAGCTAATGTTAATAAATAGCAAGTCAAATACATAGAATAATAAAATAAATAAATCATTTTCTTTAAAAGGATAAATAAAATATATAAATATTTAAAAAAAGCGTAAGATAATTACAGTATAGAGAGAAGAAAGTAAAGAAAGATAATAAATGGATGACAAAATACATAAATATTAAATAAAATACAAAAAAAAAAAAAAAAACTAGCAATATCTCATCATTCTCATATATTCATGTCAATCTATTTGTCTGCTCCGTATCTGTCCGTGACGAGTTTGCTTCCTGCGTCACCGTCTTCAGAGGGCAGTATACTATAGGGAGATCATGTGACCAGACAATTATATTTTGAAATTGCTGGCTTATCAGCTCCCAAAAATAAGATGCTAAATAGTATGAGATGCTATTTAAAAGATGTAAAGAAGTGGTAGTCTCATGAAATTAAGCCCCATAAATCCTGAAAAACATAAACAATAACAAAATTTGGAAAGAATAGTCTATAATTGTAATGTACCATATTTCCATTTCCAGAACCCCTCTAGAAAATAATGGAATCATCCATGTTGTTGTATTAGAGCACCCCAAACTAACATCCTTATTTTTAATAAGGGGTAAAGGAGAAGTGTACATACGCATTGGAAAGCTACCCCTTGTTCCTCTTTCATCCCTGCTTCCAAACACGCTTGATCCTGTGTACCCACCGGCAAAGTAATTCGGAGGTGCTTTTGACTGTGACTGCTGGGGAGGCTGCTGAGTTTTCTTTGGTGATGGTTGTGTGAAAGCTGGTTGAGGGCGGGCTTGATGTATTGGGGAAGACTTTGCTTGCCAGGATCCAAAGGATTGGCTTTTATTGCTGTTAGGCAGAGTGCTACCAATATTTCCTGGAAATATAATTAAAATCATTAAAAAACCATTCATTCATTTGATTGGCTATGCTTTTTACTATTTTGGACTGGGCAAACAGTCAAAAACAGCAATTAATATATATTCTCTCACAGGGCCAAGTACACTTCAAATTGACACTAAAAAATTCAGATATAAAATACTAAAACTGGAAGTCACTTATCTGATTTTTGTTGAGAATCTTACACAGTATTTCAAATATTTGATAATGTCCAAGACTCACCAAAATTAGCGAATGGATCGGTGGAGGTTGCAGGTTGGGGTTTAGGCCTCATTCCTGAGCCCATACCTCCTGGTTGCTTTGAACTGGTAGGTGCTGTTCTAGGCCCATTAGCATTCCAGCCTTGCATAAGATCGGGACCACTATTACTTTGCTGAAATATTAAAATAACAGAAACTTAAATATGAGTACACATAATACATCTACTAAAGAATGATATTATATTTGAATATTATTCTATTCAAAATATGATCTCAGCTTCAACCAACAGAAAAATAGTTACAAACATACAAACATAATTATTAACAGCAAATCAAATACTTGATTACATAAATTTTTTAATAGGGCAATTTACAATGCTACTGTATAATAGCAATAATATTCATTTCAATAAGAAAAAAAGCAAAATTATTGCAAAGATTATAATGTAATACTTTACAATAACCATTATTTAGAGCTAATAAAAAATATAAACAAATGATATAGTATATAAATTAATAATTAATGCAATAGCAATATCTCATTCTTCTTATGGATTCATTTAATTAAATACACTGTCTGCTCCGTATCTGTCCGTGACGAGTTTACTGCCTGCATCACCGTCTTCAGAGGGCAGTATACTGTAGGGAGATCATGTGACCAGACAATAATATTTTGATATTGCTGGCTTATCAGCTCCCAAATATAAAATACTACACAGAGAGTATAAAATGCTGATAACATTTCAAATGTGTAGAAACAAAATGAATAATAACGCCATCAATCCTGATCAATGTAAACATTAAAAAAAAAATCTGGAAAGAAATTATTAGTCTACTAGCTACATGTACCAGCTTTCCCTTTGCAGAAATTACTTCTAAAAAATAATGGAATCGTCCATTTTGTTGTATAGAGCAATCCAAACCATACACTTCCACATACTCCTTTTGCCAAGGGAAACTTAGCAATTACTATTTTACTCAGTAACAGTTATTTAGGAAATAGATATCACATTTATCAAAATAACAATAATATTCATTTAAAAAACAAAACAAAAACAGCTAACTTTTAGGCTATAATGAAATGCATTACAATAACTGTATTTAGAGCCAATTAAACATCTGTTGTACTTACATAGAAAATATAAGTTATGAAGACCTTGTAAAACAGTGTTTTAGTAGCCTGATGTTTCGACTCTGAATGAGCCTTCTTCAGTGGAATAACTAGAGCTACGCTCACACTTAAATGGAAGAGACAACAATGTAGACAGGGTGGAGATCAAACATCTCCCACACCCACTTTGAGCTTTCTTTTCTTTTCAGGCTTTGTATTCACAAATAATTAAGTGTCTTTATATTTCATGTTGGCTTTCAGCATCATTTGTTTGTAGCTTCTATTTGTGCTGTTTTAGATTTCTCATCTCCGCCCTAACTTCCATATTCTACTATAATTTTTACGATTTTTAAACAAAATATATCAACAATTTTGTATCCAATTTGTAATTGAATAATGATAAAGGAGGATAACAAACTATATTTATTTAAAATTTTTTAGGGTTGATGTTCATTTTTATATGACTTTTTGGCTACAAGCTACAAACATAATTGTAAAAGCAAATCAATATACTGGGAATAAGTTATATCTTAAATTTAATATATTTTATGTGTTTAGAATCTTTTCTTAGCATTATTCATGTTATGACACTGATTGTAGTTATTTCCTAGATAGTGTAATTTTAAGAGTTTATATTTAATTGTTATATTTTATACTGCTAATATTAAGCTCTCTTTGAATCACTTCCAAATTTTTGTTCTGATAATTGACCGACTGACCATTTTAATCAGCAAAACGTAAGATATGCAACTGCCCAGTTAACACGCTAAAATGTTTAAGCAGTAAAATACTTCAGCCTTAGGGATGTGTGTGTGAATACAGCCTTAGCCACGTATTGAGGATTAGGGAGTGGAGTTTAATCTAAGAACATTGGATTGGAATGCAAAAACCACCAAGCTACAGTATTATCAGTATATTATTACAGCTAATGTATTATTACTATTTAGATGCCTTTGCAATCCCTCAATAACGCACATTTTATTCTTAAAAAATGTAATACGCTCTGTGCTGCTTCATACTTATCCATTAGGATAGCAAGTGAATAAGTAAAAACTAAATAAAGTAAATAAATTAAATTGAACTGAAAAGTCTAATATGAAGAAAGTAACAAAGTTGAAACCATTAGCGCAAACGTTATAACCAAAAGCAATAGCTGATAGTATTTATGCATTAAGCAAACTTTTCAACCAATCAGAATTGTTCTTACCTGCTTGATAGTTGCTGGTTTCTCTTGAAAACCTTTGAAATCCGTAAACAAGTCATTACTACTGTGAGTCTGACGAGTTAACGTGATACTGTTCTTCTGCGATGCAAACGGATCAAATAAAGTATCATCTGTGGCAGGTTTTGTATTCACGTTTATCGTCGGTGGGTTGGGAGAGGGAGCTCTTGCCGGACTTCTTGAAGCAAATGGATCAAAAAGGTCGTCTGCAGTCTGTAGTGTTGGTGTATCTTGACTCGGAGCATGTGCCTTATGCTGAGGAGTATTCAACTGTGATGAAGTTTTGGGCTGTTGATTAAAAGGGTCAAAAGTATCTCCAAGCAGGTTAGCCTCCGGTGTTTGCCCTGGTACCACATTCGGATCCGAAAGCAAGTTGAAATTACTGGACTCCTGTGGTCCGGTATCAAAAAGATTTACTTCATTTAATTGTTCTCGGCTGTTATTCTGGCTTTGATCCTGAGATGAACCAGAATTACCCATGTTAAGAAGATCTACAACGTCTGGAGACTGGGATTGACTGGAATGTGTTGGAGAAAAACTGGTTTCAAAAAAGTTTGCATTAGTAGATGCTGCATGCATATTTTCTGCGGTGAAATCAGCCTCAAACAAAATACCATTATTCGATGATTCAGAATTTGTGGGCTTGCGAGCATTGGCTCGCTCTGTTTGAAATGAACCAAAGTCATCAGAAACGTCATCATCGGAATCGTCAATCAATCGTTCCATATGCTCTGGGTTAGCATCGTTGAACTGCGATCTTCCCATTTTTTCACTTCCTTGTTTATCTTCCGTGGGTGATGGAACTTCCTCTGTTTCTACTGCTGGTTTTCTCTCCTTCTTCTGATGGGCAGTCTTTCCATCTTTCCTATCCATATGTTCTGTAATGTATAGAAATGGAAGAATATTAACACAATGCAAAGCATTCAGTGATTTGTCAGTTAAAATGCTTGGCAAGTCAAATGGCTGAGCGGTTAAGGCAGGGGCAACACAACATACAGCCATAATATCAGAGCAGGTTCGAATGGCATGATCGCCCATGGTTCTGTTGGTGGAGCAAGTCTTCCCGGACAAGGACTATAAACATTAGGCCAGTATACACTATTTGGCTCATGTACACTTTAAAGAAAACAGTAAAGGGGCTGTACTGGTTCATGGAGCCCCTTTTCTGGACAGATGAGAGAAAGTTAGTAATGGTTTACCAGGTAGCTCACACATGAAGTGATCCTTAGGGGAGCAGCAAGATATTGTACGAGCTAGTCCACACAACAAGCGCTCTAAGACTTGAGTATAAAGCGCTATATAAATCGAACTACATTACATTACTACCCAATCCCAAATTCCTAGAACTAGTCCTAGGAAAAAGTAAGGATTTTTTTCGAACAACCAAAGCACTCCACAAACCATATTTAAAAAAAGTATCTATTTAATGTAAAAACACAACATGGTACTTTCAACTGGACATCAACACTTACTGAACTGGCTAAAGATTAGTTTTTGTTCATCTGGACCACTAAAGCAATACTTGGGATTGATCCGTTGAGTGTCAAAGTTCACCCACGGTAGCGTGTGATCATTTGCTTCATCGTTATTTGTCACCTCAACTCGAACAGTAGCTTCAAAAACATCGGCAAACTTATCTGGTTGCTCAATGCAGTCCAGCTCATACCTTGAGGGTACGAAAAGAAGAGGTATTAGTATGATTGTGGTATTTTTAGGGTTCTAAATCGAGGCACACCCTGGCCGTCTACAGTGTGTGTTTGGCCTAGGACAGCTGGCTAAAGAATCATTACATAAAGAAGGCTTGAATCGTCACTTCCATTACGTTTCATTCAGCAACATACTTTCTTTACTTTTTTGGTATTAAAAACATCAAAAATTTGTACATAAAAAATATTGCATTAAAACACTGAGTAGTTAATAAGTTAAATGGGTAAAAATATATAAATGTATATGAAGTAAAGGTAAAATTTGGAATATAAAACATTATTAATATATAAATAAAAATAGTTTTACAAAAATTAGTATCAAAATTGAATATTGCCAGAAAGTAATTTAGGCAGTGGTGAGGGTGGGGTACCACCAGCCCATGAAATAATGCTAAGTGGATGAGATTTGTTTGTTTAGTAATCTTACCACAGCAGGGTTGTAGCTGTAGAAAAATAAGGGTTGGTGATACACATTTTAAGAGTGGGTGGGAAAAAGATGGGAAAAGTGGGTTAATAAGGGTGGATGAAGGGCCATGAAATTAACTTTAGACTGGGTGGAAAATTTTAAGGCTGGGTGGCCCCTTCCACCTCCACCCACCATAATTACATCCATGCCATTGATGGTAGTGGGGAATTATATAACAGTTTTGTTTTACACCTGTATTTTTTTAAAATAGGACTGGACAGACAAGAGTAGCTGGTATCGGTTTACTGGGTAGCTCAGACATGTAGAGAACCATAGGAAAAAGCAAGTTACTGTAAGAATCAGTCCACACCTTTAGCGCTTTGAGACTATTTCACTATATAAATCTGTACATTACAATACTTACTTATCAAAACTAATGTCTTTGTCATGAGGAGCAATAAATCCTGTGTGGAACTGAAACTGACACATTTTCAACGCTGTCACCTGGAGTAAACAAAAACACTAAATGATTAAATAGAAAACATAATATTGATGGACCTGTTATTTAGTATTCTTTCAAAACTAACAAAAGAAAGAACATATTGAAAAAGTAAACAATAAGAAGAACCCAGATGAAAACAACCCCACTCTATGTGAAATATGCTAAAGCTTAGAGGCTAAAAAGAATTATGGAAGTTATTATTATTATCAACTTTATTGGTAAAAAAAAAACAGAAGCTAACTTGTTAGGTTTGAATACCATTACACTGAATACTAGCTGCAAAGAAATACATTTAAATATTTAATTTATTAAATTCTACCTCATTTCTAAGAATGCAATATAACATCTGGCAGTATTAACAAAACAATGTGTAAATTTAATTTTTTAAGGCTTCTTCTGGAGAAGGAAATCACATCATTTAAGCAGCTTACCTTTCCCTGCATCTTGCCTCCAAACGTTGACCTAGCATGGTACACAATGATCATGATATCTCCCGCCACTTCCAAGTTGATGGGGATCTCAACCTCGTAGTCTCCTACACGAAACCCTTTCATCTTCTCATACTCCTGTGACGTTGTTAGAATACGATCCTCTCCATGGAAAACTTCTATGAATGGTCGACATCCATTCCTGGATAATAACAAAACAAAAAAAAATTATTATAAAAATAACTGTGGTTTGATGGTTGAGAGGCATATCTTCAAATCCTAGAGTTCAGAGTTCAAAAAATCCTTCAATATTCTATGCTGTATATATACTGTCAGATATTTTTCTGTTAAGCTCTGTCGAGAATATCAAAACTTATTGACAAAAAAAATGTAGAATGCCTATATATAGTCATGATGTGCCTATATATGGTTATGATGTACCTATATATGGTCATGATGTGCCTATATATGGTCATAATGTGCCTATATATGGTCATGATATCAAGTACAGAAGTAAGACTATAACATGAAGCCCTGTCCAGACTATCAAATTATATTTGACAAAAACATGACATGCCTGAATATGGTCAAGATGACATCACATCATGACCATACATAGGCACATCATGACTATATATGGGCACATCATGACCATTTATAGGCACATCATGACTATATATGGGCACATCATGACTATATATGGGCACATCATGACCATATATAGGCACATCATGACTATATATGGGCATACAGCAGTTTTTTGTCAAAGAAAATTTGATAGTGTGGACAGAGATTAAGATACAAAATGTGTGTGAATAAGGTAAGGTACCAACCTTTGCTTGTTGTATAATGGTACTGGAGTCAAAATGAGGCTCTTTAAGCGCACTGTGTGAGGGTTGGGCAAGACTGGCTCCTCTGCTAACATGGAGCATATATACTCCATATACCTAGTAAAAAAATGAAAGGTCACATAGATTATAATAAGCCCATCTATATCTGGATAAGGTTGGGTCATTGACCAACACAGAACACACATATGTTAAAAATGTGAAATAAAAAACTATGAAAAAATAAAAACCATAACTAAAATGTTTGCTTGAAATGCCAAGGAACTGTATAAAAACATGTACACTGCACAAAAGCTAAATAAAGTATTTATATATTTATTATGTATAACAACATATTAAGATACTGGTAATAAACATAAAGTATAATATGGTAAAATAAATATGTTACATAATATACCTTTTTTGTGATGGCATAACTCCTGGTGGTCCTCTCTTGACTGTGAACATATACAAACTAGCATCAATTGAACGAAACATCCGACAAAAAGCAAAGAAAGATGCAATAACCGTAGCTGAGCTTGCTTTACCGTCCTGCAAAATGAAATACATGTAATGGTAATAATAACAATAACTTTTAAAAAAATATAACAATAATAGCAATTCATGTCAATAGGACCAAAGACAACTGGACTTTATAAGCCTCATGATGAGACTAGTTTAAGTAGAGCATGTTGTGTGTTTGTTTTGTGAAAGGATGGCTACTTATTAGAAAATTGATCAAGTTCCGTTTTTAGAATATCCTTAGACTTTGTGCCTAAAAGTAGCACAAAAAAAAAAGTAGACAAAGTAGTTTGAAATGCGCATGTCCTTATTCAAGGTCAATCGTCCTAAACCTATGTTGTGTGTATGTTTTCTTTGTAGATTGACCTTCATTGACCTTAATACGGGCATGTGTAGTTCAAAGTATGGATTGGCTTATTGATTGACTGATTGGTTGATCAACATACCTGACAGTGAAGCGTACAAATGTTACTGGGATCTTTCTGAAGCCAGAGGTACATATTTCTACAAATGGTGTACAATAGGCTTAAGGTGGGAGCTCTCTTCACTGGCCAACCACAGTCAGTGACCTGCAATGACAAGTAAGTAATATCATCACTGACTCTATAAACAATATTCATTTAATAATCAAATCCAATAATACTTTAATAATAAAAAATTATTTAGGCCATGTTTGTCTATGGTGCTTATGTCAGTGGAATTTTAGCTTGGTGGATATGCTTATTGCCTTCCAACTGCAGTCTTTGTTTGAATTCCATAATTTCCGAGCTGTGCTTCTGAAACAACTCCAGTCCATATGCATCATCAAGAGAATTCAGTCATACAAAGGGTAACTCTACCGTAGTCAAACCATAAAACTGTTCACACCTGGATTTGAATACAAGGTAGGTGTCAAGATTTTGCACATGCATGATGGTCAGACTAATCTTACCACTTGACTTGGATAATTTGACCAAGAAGAATGTCAAGAAGGCCGGATTATTTGTTGATCAAGGTGATCCGTTACAAAAGTCTAATTCATTAAAAAAAAAAAAATAATGAAATATACTACAGACCTTGTTATTAAACTTGACTGCATTGTACCTCCTCTGTGTTAGGTTAAACACCATGTATTTGCCTGGATGCCTTGAATCTAAGTAGCTTCTAACATCATCAATGTGATTCTTGTATGTTGACTCCAAGCCCTCCGCTGGGTATGACATCACAATGATGCGACTTGTTAAGTAAGAAATATCCACATCACCTTTAGCATAACTGAAATAGAAATGCAGAATCGCAATTATAACCTTAAAATGAGATAAATTTACACAATTTCCTTCTTTGTACGACTGTCAGCGGTCAAACCTATATCTGCTCTCTGCGAGCACTTGATGGCAGAATGAGCAGATTGTCAACATAAATGATCTGTTGTGCACCCTTATTTGAATTGCATTCTCCAATTGTGGACAAATGAGCTACATTGTTCTTTAAGTGTGTGCATCAAAGGTTTATTCTATATATATTTCCAGCATCGGGGAAAGCAGTTAGTATTCAATGCTGTCATGTTGGATTCAACATTTTGAATATATAATTAATTGTTCATTATCAAGAATCTGAAAATGACCAAAAGAAGAGTTGAATTATAAAACAATGTTGCTTTTATCAGCACCAGTATTCTTTTTTCAGAATTGGAGTATGCTAATCTGGGGTCAGTTGACGGATTATCATACACTAGTAATTGTGTGTTAATACTTTTGTTCACTATGACGCGCACAAGTTAACACCGCTCAACATTACATTAGCATAACTCATCATATCTGAGCATAGCATTAAAAAACATACCTTGCTACGGTATTAACCATCTTTGATGACGTATCTTTTAAATTACTGAATAATTTCCCTGCACCACCCTTCACAATTCCCAGGAACTTCCCACTATCCAGTTCACCAGGCGGAGGGGACTGTGGTTCTGGTTCCCGTCTGGATGGGCTTCCTGTTAAAATGGCATCGTCATGAAGATCGATCGGCGTTTTCAGGACAACGTTCCTTGCTGCTCCTATTTCTTGTATCCTAGCAACAACATCACTGATGTTGGGGCGATTTCTTGGATCCACTTGAAGCATTCCACCTGTACGAGAATAATTTAAAAAAATATTATTAATTTTAAAATATGAGTCAATCTGAGCTAATGACAGAGCACCATCGAACATGCTCTGAGCTAATGGTAGAGCATCATCGAACATGCTTGCATTGTTGGTTTGCGAGTGTTCTAATAAGGGTGTCTCCTGACTAGGGGTTGGCTGTAGTGTTGAAAGATATATTTTCCCTTGATTGGCAGCCACAAAATGTCCCCTTACAGGGGGTGTCTTCTCATAATAGGTGTGTCCTAAAAGAGGAGATTCTACTATATTTCATAACCTTGAGTTCAAACATAATCAATATATTACTTACGAATTAAATCATGCAGAACACAGAATTCTTTATCATCTTCAGGTAAAACAAAGTTAGCATTGATTATACGGAGCTTAGCCGAGTCCTCAAATGGATGCTGCCCATAACAGAGTAAATATAACACACAACCAAGAGCCTGTTGAAAAAAAAATGGAAAACACATTGGGATAATTACAAACAATGGCATACATATTAAAAACAATGGAATAAATGCTGGAAACAATGGAACACATATTAAAGACAATGTCATCCCCTCGTACACATTTTTGGGAAATGTATGGATTGATTAAACTGATTGAGTAAATCTTTTTTTGAGATAATGATTTATATTATGTGGCTTATCAGTAAAGAATAATCATAAAATCTCATAAAATCAATGTTAAAAAACTTATTAAGAGTGATTTGCCAATCTACCAATATATGAAACAAAACTAATTCAACAATTCAATACATCTTCCTAAAATCCTTAACAAACAAACTGATTATCTTACCCATATATCCATGGCCTCATTAATTGGATAATTATTATATGTATCCAGCATCTCAGGTGGTCGATACATTGGAGTTGTGTGCCGTTGAAGCTAGGGGAAAGCATTTTGAAGAATGTCAAAGTTCACTGTCAGTGTTGAGACATTTATTTTTAGCTCAGATGAGGAGCTCTAGAAACACTCGGCTGACTGATTAATAGAGCTTTTTAACTCTACTGCCTCTATCATACTGCCCTCATGAGGCTGATTGATTAATAGTTGATTAATAGATCATTTTTAGCTCTACTGCCTCTATAATATACTGCCTTCATGAGGAGTTCTAGAAACACTTGGCTGATTGATTAATAGTTGATTGATTAATAGATCTTTTTTAGCTTTACTGCCTCTATTATACTGCCCTCATTGGTTCTTTCGAGATCACAAGAGCTTGTTTGAATTATCTGTATGTTTCAGCAAGTTTCAGTCAGCTAAAACAATCTCTCTCTCATATGAAGTTGATATCTTAATGAATGCATGAGAAAATTGTATTGTATTTTTCAATGCAGTTTGTATATTTGACTTTGACAAACTGGAAATGTACCGATGAAAAAAGAAGATTTTAACCATAAATATTAAGATAAGTACATGATATTATAATATTATTATGTAACACTGACGAAGAAAATAGGAATACAGGTCACTATTAGGACCAGGGTTTCCATGGTTTTTTACCAGCTTTAGTCTCAAATTAGAATAATAAAGATAAAAGACATATGTTAATTTGGGACTACAGAAAAGTTGTCTTTAATTAGAGGTGGTCTTTAATAGGAGGGTCTTTAGTGGTAGACCTACAGTCTTTAATAGTAGACCTATTCACCAAAAAAAAAAAAAATTTCATACAATGATGAATGTTAGTGCACTGACCTCATCTTCCAGAAGACTCCTCTTGAGTGAGCTCCATGTTTCATCTGGTTGGTAAGACTTCAATGTGGCGCTTCCAAAATCACATAGTTTAATAATATTTTTACTGCTTATTAACAGATTTTCCACCTACAACAGTAAATTAAAACAATGTTTATATTATTTACACATAATAATAAAAGTATTTGTATCTGTGTTGTTAGTCATAGTCTAAATATAGCTAACAAACATGAAATCTAAAGCTCTGTCCAGATTATCATTCATAAAAAAACTGCCCATATATAGTCATGATGTGCCTATATACGGTCATGATGTGATGTCATCATGACCATATTTAGGCGTGCTACATGTTTTTTGTCAAATGAATACACTATCAGATTTTTTTATTTGCACATACTATGATTGGTAGTATAGTCAGGTGGTAAAAATTATATAAGCACTGAGGTGCTTTATATAACATTATTAAGCTTCAGTGTAGTGCCTATTCAACAGATGAAGTAGCACTTAAATAATAAGTGTTATTTTTAGCCTATGTATATATGGTCAGGATGCGATGTCATCAGGTTAATAGGCATGTCACATGTTTTTGTTAAATAAAATGTGATAATCTGGACAGGACTTAACATCCATAAAGAAAATTAATGATTGGTTGACTAATAAACACTAAATATGACAATAAACAAGTTTCCTGTATGGCCATATGACCATAAACTGAAAACTGTAATTATGATGAAAAATGCGTAATTTTTCATTTAATTTAATGACTTCAATTAACTACAAGACTGAGCTTAATACTAAATACATGAACATTTTATAACCAAATAAATCATACTAAGAATTTGCTGTTAACATGTTTTCCCTAACGGCTTATTTATGGTTTATACTGTAGCGCATGAAAAAACAGGCAGATTAAGGCATTTGACATGTGAGAAAGAAGAGTTTATATTTAATTGTTTTGTCTCAGACTGTCAATTTATGTTGTTGATTCCTGTTTCTATTTTAGTTATTATTTGATTTGGTAACAGTCTGCTTTCCTAGCATCTCAGATAGGTACTAGTGTCAACTATACAAAACTTAATAATAATAACAATATAATATAGAGTACTACAGTGTTACGTTACGATACCACATGAAACTCTGTTGCTATCGTTGCAAAATGCATTCAATCGAACGCCATTTTCCCCACTGACAAACCATTGATCCAATTTCTAATGTAATTATTAAGATGTTGTATCTTAGTTTTTCTTTGTAAATTTAATTGATGATTAAATGTGTGTTCGATAACTAATACAATGCGAGCATGTGTTTTTAGTACATTGTGATGGTAAAATATTAGATTTTAAAATGCCTATTCCAGAAAGCCTATGAAGTCATTCTAGCGTAATGAACGGTAACCAACATCTGCTTGGCGACAGAGGGCGCCAACTGGCATTGTGACGACACGACTGTGGTACTCTATAGTAGCACAAACTTTGAGAATTTGCAAAATTATCATCAATATCATCATCAGTAGCATAATTAATAACATCATCAGTGACATCAGTAGGCCTAACATTATCAGCGTTATCAATGGTTTCATCATGAGTGCCATAATCAGTGTCATCACTTTTTCTTCAGTGTTGCAATCTTTCTTCACCAGTAAATTTTAATTACCAGTTTTGTTATTGTACACAAAACCATGTTCATCTAATAAAGTCAGGTCCATACCAGTATAGGGTTTGTTGAGGGAGGTGCGGTTCCTAATAAGCCCTGTGGCTTCCAAATGAAAAGCTTAAGAATTCTAGTACCATAAAACATTGAATAGAAGCCCTGGGCTTCTTTCTTGTGAACTTTGGACGGGCTTCTTTTCGAGGCTACTTTTGCAAAGTAAATAGGGGGACTTCTTTTCAAAATGAATGCTGTAAAGTTTGGGAAATCCTACTATAAAACAATAGGGCCACTGTAATATCAGTCTGACATATCATGAAGTGTATTAACCGGTACTAAATCACCTAAACTACTGTGGAAGCCAGGCATGTTCTTAATTTACTTTGTTTCTTTGAAACTGATGTACAGTGTATGTACTGCACTATCCAAAATAGAAACCCATGCTATCTGGAAAAGAAGCCCATAGGCTTCTTTTTGAGGCTACGTTTGCAAACTAAAGAGGGGGGGGGGGACGCCTTCAATGGGCTTCCTCTCGAGATTAAGCCCATTGGGCTTCTATTCGAGGTTTTACGGTATGTAAATGGTGATTTTAACCTTCATTTAAAGGCCTTTTTTGTAGTTTGAATTATCAGAGGAGATTCGATCCGAAAGGGGGCTGGGGGATGTTAACGATTTTAACCAAACCATAGAAACCCCCAGACTACAGGCCTGACAGTGTAATTACAGTATTACCTTAAGATCTCTGTGTACAATTGGAGGCTTTTGTTTATGCATGTGTTGAACAGCTCTACATGTCTGATAAAACACCCGAAGTACTTGCTTACATGAAAGAGCTGATATCCTATCATTAAGTGCCTTCACAAGCTCACCTCCTATAAACAAATATATAAAATACAGACAAAAATTATATGTTTGCAAAATATCATATTATCAATTTTACAGACTGTGGCAGACATTGAAATTAGTAGCCAATGATTGTGATACATACAGTACTAAGTTTCCCAGATAACAAACTTGCTAAATAATACATAGTAATTGGTATAGTATAAACAAATACAACAATAGTTTGTGATACTATTAATTGTTCTAATTTATGCACTATTTATCAAGATATGGTTAATAAAATAGAGTAGTAATTAATAAATGAATAACTTGTAGTTTATACGACTCCCATAATTTCGGAATAGTTTGAGTATAAATTAATAGTCTTGTAAGTGCAGTTGCCCAAAAAACAATCGTTGGTATCCCACCACTGCTGATATTTCTATGTATCTATGGCAACAATAGCCAATAATTCATCCTTACCTGTACATAATTCCATGAGTAAGAGATATTCAGCTTGCCCTGTGTCCGATTCTTCCTTATTAATGGCTGCTGCCTGCATAAACTGGACAATATTTGGATGCCCTGAGAGCTTTTTCTGATTATTTACGTCAAGGAATACAAATTAAAATCTCAAGCACATGGCAAAAAAAAACTTGTAAAGCAAAATTATTTTAATTGTTGATTTTTTGCATTTAAGGAATATAATACCTCTCTAGTACTGAAAATCAGAAATGAGAAAATAATTTCCTTGTTTATCAAAATCTAATACCCATTCTATTTACTAGTAATCAATTTCAGGATCTATTTTGTAGTAAAATGTATGTAAATCAGTGATAACTGGACTGAGTTGATATGCTTTCGGAAGTTGCCTGATGCTTTTAAATTCAATTTTTGTAACTAATTTTTTTTCACATGCCCCCAATTCCCCCCTACTGGATCCGTCCCTGGGTGCTGCTGGAGGAGGTAATAAGAATGTTGATGAACTATGATGATAATATTATGACAATCATGATTATGACAATAAAAATAATGGAGTTGGTGGTAGAGATGATAATGATGATATCATGTCTACAACACCCTTGACAATACACATGAAACATTTGTTATCTAACAAACAGCAAACATATTAGGCTCAGTGTCGTACATTCACGTACCAGAGTTCAACCATATCAAGCTTACCAGCTATCTACAAATCTTATGATAATGTCTTTGTTAATGTGAGATTGAATTTGTCTAGAATACATATTATCTGTCTGACAATATGTATTCACTACCAGTAAATCACACTATATCTGATTTATTTCAATGTATTAAATATATCCAAACTTACAATGGTTTGATAGGGATTCATACAAAAAAAAATACTTATGGATAGTATTAATAGAAAGAAAGCATAATCATTAAAGTATGGAATTTAAGATCCTTACAGATTGTTAATCTGTATATGAGCAATTTCACAGTAAATAGACATGCTCCAAGCAATATTTTTTAGGAAGCTATAACTAAAGATTTTATTGTTAACATTTATATCATCATATCAATTAGTTTACATATTAAAAATCATTTCATGATCACACAATTCACAGTAAAAAATATAATGATAAATTGACATACTTTTTAGCCATATTTCACCATACAAAAATGTTACATGACAAAAATGTCTAAAATTACTGTAGATGGAGGATATTTTTTTTAAATTGTATTATAAGGATGGATTCATTATTTCTATAAGAAATATATTGGAAACTAATAAGATAACACACTAGATCGAAAAATAAAACCCTTTTTATTAAAAAAATATGCAATTTGATGGTTTTTTTGTAACGGACGTAACATTGTATGTCAAAAAATTTATGAATTTAAAAATGGCCCAATATTCCTAAAAAAGAAATATATCTGTTACTTTTAAATGTTTATCAAATTAGTGAATATATAGAGTAAGAAATTAAAAAAAATTGGTAATCATGCATTTTTTTTTTCCCACAATGGAAAGTCATTGACCCAAATGTATGTAAAAATCCTGTTCGTCCGTTCTATGAGAATAGGATTTGTAGTGTATTAAAATACAAACATGCATATTTCTTTTGAAAAGACAATTTAACTATCTTATAATACCCCTTTTCCAAAACATTGATATCATATGTTCTGTTTCACAGAGCTTAGCCAAAATCATCTGTATTCTATTTTTGAATGAAAATGTTAGGATATCATGTCCATTTACTGTGAAATTACTCATATAGAAATAAGTTTAAATTGTATAATTTTACTTATTTCTATCATTATGATATGATACTTGTAAATAACTACATTTTGCATGTGAAATAAAACATAACTTGAATAAAAATAATGAATTGCATTAAAAAAAATTCTCCTAAGTAATTTGTTGAAAATAACCAGTACACTTTTTTTACACTGTAAAATATATACAGTATATACCTCTTTATCACCTAGACTACACAGGGAAAATTTTAATTAAATTTGTTGCGTGCATATTTTTGTCAGATAATTATTTTTGCCAACACAGCTACTGTTTTCCTATTTGCAATAATAAATGGGGTAAAACACTTTACAATTAGCGTGCGTGCACTTTCATTAACAGATACAATCAATGTGAAATCTCTTCACATATATTGATCAGCAACAATATACATCGCTTAATGATTTCCACTACACTGATTTCAAAACAACTAGCCCTTTTATGGTCCTGTTTTGTCCACAAACATTGTCGATACTTAACCTAAGAAGCAACACAATTGGTTTAAACCCGATTATGAAAAATGACAACCCTGGTTAAATTATAATTAGATTCAGATTTCTAGATGAATCTACAATTACATTTATTTAGGTAAATAAATTAGTATCTGTGTAAATATATTAGAAAACTCCTTCATTTGTTTAGAACATTACATCTGGAAAAAAAAAATCAAATACTGTAGGCTATCAACTTCTATTGAAGCACAGACCAAAACAATAAAGATACATTAATTCATTCATTGCTCACACGAACACAATCAAACTAGTGTTGCGCTAACAAATGTTAAAGTATGTGCTATTGTTGTTATGAACATTTTGTGCAGTAAATAATACGAAAGTATATTAGCTCCCTCAATCAATTTGATTCAGCATCACCTAATCAATGTATCTGTCCATGTTATTAACTGAGAATTTTTGACTTGAGATTCTTATCAACTTAGCATAATTATTGCAGTATTTAACTGGAACATTAAAATTATCCAAAAAATATTAAAATTAAATTAATTTTCTCCACATCATATTATTAAATTTAAATTCTTAAAATATTGTTTCATATTAGAGAAGTATTGCTTTACTATAATATACAACTGCTTAATGTGAATGGCCATCTTTTACTGTGCAATAATATAAATCACACAACTTTTTCTGGTTTAAAAATGCATATAAAATAAATTTTATCTACATTTTATAGAACTCTATAATCATAAGTACATTCTTCACATTTGAGCATTATACTGTACCTAAGTTTGTTGTTTGTTACAAGTAGATCAAATATAAGAAGAATATTTGATCTACTTGTATCATCATTACATAGTTTCTCTGGTATAAGCCCACCCTTTGAACACAGAATTGGGCCAATTTTGGGAGTGGGCTTATGGAGGAATCCCCTTTTCAATCAGAATGCAATTTTTTAACACTGCATGCCTAATTCAAAACTAATATTTGATATTTTTAGAGTAAAAAAAATCAGGTAAGCTACTCATTCAAATAATATCCTGGGTTTTTGCCAGAAGCTGGTACATAAAATTGGGCTTAAGCCAGGGGGTGGGCTTATAACCGAGGAACTACAGTTATACCATTCTACTGGTTCCTTTGATACCTGTAAATTTTACTCTGTAATTATTGACAATTTTTGGGTTACAATGTGGTAGTGGATTTACTTTGTGTTTATAGTTCAGTGGTTAGTGTTTACGTAGATGCTTACCAGATGCTATTCATTTACAGTAGCAAACAGAAAGTTGAGACAGGAAATGTGAGGGACTGGTTCAATTGTTAATACAGAATCTATCGAATATTTAATGCCTGGAAATGTGGAAGAAATTTATTTTCGTAACAATTTTTGGAGGGTTCTAGGCATAAAAAAAAAAAAAAAAAAAGATTTCGCCTAATATTTCCATATCCGTATATAAGCATAAATTGAATTATCTGCATTAAAAACAACATTTTAACTAATTGTTATTTCCACAATGATTTTAACTAAATGAACTAATTAAGGATACAAGCACAGTAATTTCCTGGAGAATAGCCTTGCTTTTGTCCTCATCATTAGCCAACAGTCTCTGAAGAATAAAAATGTCATAAAAAATATAAAAATAAGGCCAAGTAAAAAGAAAAAGCAGTTTCTCATCCTGATATTTTGAAAAAAGGAGAACAAACACTTTTTTTTTCACTCTGAGATGGCAAATCCAAGATGGTCGATAGGAAACAGCTACTGCTTTCTCATTTTTACCAAGTAGACACATTGAAAGAAAATAAAAGCACTAGACATGATTCATACCATATGTATCCCCAACCACGAATAATCGCGAGAGGAATTTTACTGATGTGAGTAAGCCAGAATTTCGTACATTTCGTAAAATAATGAAAATTTTAAAAATATATATATGTTTGAGGCAAAGAAAATGGATGCACAAGGGGATGAGAAACTAAAATTTTTTTTATTTGGCCTAATAATATACTAAGGTAAATTAAAAGGTATCAATGAAATGTACAAAAAAGTGATATTCATTCCAATACAAGGCATTCTAGGTTCACGGAACCTGAATATTAATCTGAAAATATTACAGAAGGAGCATAACTGGAAATTATAAGTGGAAACTGTAAGTGGTGTTCAAAATAATAAATTTCAATGCAAAATAAGTTACAAGCAAATGTTTACCTTTAGAGCATAATCTTTTCCAGTTGCAACATCTTGGGCAACAAACACAAATGCAAACCCACCTTCAATGAGAAAATTGGAAGTATTTTTCAACATCGGAAAATTGACTTATGAGAGAATACTGTATACAGTAATCTTAAGCTCAGAAACATACAATAGATTAAAAGCAAATTTGATTCTTTTTCGTTTAGCTAGCATTGATTGGTTTTCCTAGATGAGTAATAGGGAACTATTGATTTGTGCGACGACGCAATGCTAGAACAGAATCACTCATGTGTGACCGTCCTACCGGGCATCCTACATTCTCTGCATACGTAGATTTGGACAAATTGCAAACTAGAATCTCGCATGCGCAGATGATTTTCTGTGATGTCATTCCATTTGACGTCCTACCTGCAACTGAAATGTCCCTAATCAACTGAAGATTTGTCCTAAGAAAATACTATATCTATGGAGACTTTTCACAGTTATTATAACCCAACATCAGAGAAAAATTTCCAACAATTTAACCATTTTATGATAGGTATTAGCTCTTATTTTTGGCCCTACAACTGTGATTATAAGTAGATGCCAGTCAACTCAGTCGTAATCCAACTCAGGGCCAAACCAGTCACATGGTAAGGAGTGCCGTGCCGGGAGAGTAGTGAACCTAAATCTAGGACTTTTATATCTTTGAATTACATAATGATAAGCAAGTTGGATTCTTATATGTTCTTCTTTTATTGTTTGTTGCACTTACCATTGCACCCTTTACGATACATCTGATTATTAAAAATATACGTAATAAATTCATAATAAAAACATAATACTGTACAATATACAAATGAAATATATATTCTTGCTTCACTGCATTTCCATATAAGATACTGAATATGTTTCCAATATCACACACATAAATAAAATACAAACAAGTGATAAATTAATATTTAATTCAGCCAATTGGATTTTTCTTTACATTTCATTTCAAATTATACATTCTCATCATAATTTTATATATAAATTGTGTACAATACAAATAAAATACACAAACATTATATATAAAAAAGACTGTTTCTGCCCACTGGGTGCCCAAAAAATATCTATAAAACCAAAAGGAAATATATTTTTAATAGACCCTTAAAATTTGACTGAAATACATTTGTTTTCATATTATTAATCAGGCTTCATTGGATCGAATATATAAGTTACTGCATCCATGAGACCCGCAAGTTAACCTACAATAACCGCATCCCCACCCCCACATAAAAGTGAGTACAATACATTTACTCATCATGATCATTATTTACACAGGCATTATGGCATGGCTGTCACATTGTCATTATTTTATTTATTCATTTAATACATTAACTTTATTTATTTTTAGTTTGTCTATATTGTAAATGTAATATGAAAGATATACTCGAATTAAACTTTATTGTTTGTTCAATACTATAATGTCATTTCGAAGAATAAATTCATCAAGTAAATGTAATTTACTTATTATAGTCCCTAGGCCCTAGTAGTAGTAGCAGTAGAGTAAAGCCTAGGCCTTGCCTAGGCTAGTGCAGTGTAGCGGCCTCTTTCGGTGAAGCTGCCCATCCTTACCTTCTGCAATCACCCGTTTGACCCGAAGCTTTGTATCCCCCAACTCGACAGTCTGTCCTACAAAATCATTCCCACCGCCACCTTGGCCTCCACTTAAATAACCGAATGCGGATTTAAACAGTCCTGACATTTTCTTGAAGTTCCCTCGCGAAAAATTAAAATTAAAATTCGAAATAATTCACAAAATACACATGAAACCTGTTGTTACATTTTGTTCTTCAGCAGGTTCAACATTAGCCAGGTAAGCAATCGTAAGAAAATAGCTGGCTGGAGGCGTAAGCCTATTCGAAAGCACGGGATCAAAAGAGGGCGACATAATATTTTAAGAGAGTATCAGCACTTTTCAATGATCTTCAATGTCAACAGTAGAATTATTCTGAATAGAAATTTCAACTTTGTACTTCGCTTTTAAATGCCTTCTAAAATCAAAATTTGCACTATAAAAACGCACTACAGAACCTCCATATTAAGGGACATCTTCGAAGCCAACAAGAAAACTGTCCTCTTCCCTTTTCATTTGTTTCCCGGGGGACACTCTAAATGCAGAATTGTCCACATAGACCTATTTAATTTCAACTTCGACGAAACGAGGACATATAATATTCTTTATAAATTTTAGTTTATTTAAGAACAGTAACAATAATTTTTATCGTAAATAAGTTGAAATACATGATGATACAAAAATACTCAACAGAACTTGAACGTGATGCACAAGATAGCATGAATCATGAATGACTACATGAATGAAAATAAAAGAAATAGTCTCAATGTCGCAGATCGACAATTCCATATAATAGCCTGCCGTTTTTCATGCCAAAATGGGCACGCACTCAACCCCCTCCCGCACAACCTCTTGCGGCTGCCAATTTCCGTTCAGACGTTCCCCGTTTCATGCACTTGAACTCCTTTTCAGACATTGAACTTATTGGCAGTTCATTAAATATACAGTCTCTATTAATAATGTGTACAAAAATTATCATTTATTGCACAGATGACTGCTATTCCAGATAATGAAAAAAATATCTTGATAAATTTTTGAAATCGGGTATTAAAAAAGCACACACACAAACAATCGGAATGTTCGACTTTAGAAAAAAAAGCTTATACAACCAATAAATGGTAGAGATATCTTTTTGCTTGTTAATTAAGAAAGTATTAGAAAGGCTTTTCTTTTTCTGGGAAATCTTTAAAAATAGAAAATGATAGGCCTATGCTTTTTTGTCATGATGTTCGTCCTCAGATAACAATTCCTTGGTTCAAGGCAATGCTGTTCAAGGAGGTATAAACATTTTATATCTCCTTGTTTTATTACAGGTCTATAAGGTATTTCTAGGTAGTCATCATCACATAATCAAAACCTCAAAGAAATAACTCCAGAAAATAGTTTGTTGTATGAAGAAATATCTTAAGGAATTAGACATACAGTACACTGCTCGAGTGGAAAAAATTCTGTAAAATAAATGTAAAGAGCGCCACCTATCGATCCAGTTTCTTTATTTCAAAGATCTTTGCTTTATTTCCATAGAAGCATAACAGTGATGACGTCACTTGAATGTTTGCGTTGAGTTTGTTTGAACTGTATTGAGAAGTATAGAGAAACAAGAAGTCTACCAAAATATCATACTATTATAACCAATTTGTTTGTTGTTATTAGGTTGTGTATTTGGTAAGATATAGGCTTATATACTTTAGATGTTTGTCATTCATCATAGTGATTAGGCTAGGCCTAGCCTATGTCATTTGGATGTGTAGGCCGGTGGTAGTCCTCCAGGCCCCTACCAAGCTTATTCCGTCAGACCACGCCACCGGTAAACCATTCAGCTTGCGGCCTAGATTAGCTCCCAAACAAGCCAGTTCCACCCAGGGCCAAGCCCAACAACTGGCGTGCGAACGTTGCATGTGAATAATGCTCATTTACATCACAATGTGTATAACCAGTAGGTTCACTGATAACTAAGCTAAGTATACCATCATAATTAATAGTAAATACCATCCTGGGCGCCCTAGGCTAGGCCTAGTCTATCTAAGATTCAATATTGTGATCTGTCTTTTCCTTTCCTGTATTTTGTTACATCATGATGATCTAAATCAAAGAAAACTAAAGGATAGGTCTCCAGTGTAGTGTGTATTTTAATTAATAATACAAAAAACAAAACACACAGAGTTGATTTACTGATTTTTTGGATGATAAATAAATACATTGTGACCGAACATGTATTTAATGGATATTATTCAACTAAATGATCAAAATATTGTAGAATCCCAATGACATGTACATCCTTACTTGGAGTAGGCCTATGTTCCATAGTTATCTAAGTAAGGTAAAAAGGTAATGGTCGAAACCTGAAGCTCTGGGATCACAGGCCAGAGTACCCACCTCTCTTTAGAAAAGAACTTGGATATCAATTCCGATTTCATTGTTATATAATAGACTGTCTTCTTATTGCTATTTCTAAAATATCCCCTCTCCCTAAACTAGGTAGTCAACTGAAATGGCAGGTACAGCACGCCACGATCGGGAGATGAAGATGAAAGCTCAAAAGAACATAAAGAATTGTAAAGACCCAATAGAAATGTTGCGGTTACAGTGCCTCGCCAGAGGCTCAAGTGGAATCAAAGGAATTGGAAGGTAAACGGATATTTTACTATTTTATTTGACAAAAACATGTGACATGCCTAACTGTGGTCATGATGACATCTCATCATGACCATATATAGGCACATATAATAATGACTATATATGAGGCATGTTGTGGCGAAATGGTTAAGTTGTCGCACAGGCCAGTATTGAGTAAATGAGCTATAAAATATGGAAGCTCAAAAAATTGCCTAAAAATCAAAATTTGTTTTTCACTATAAATCAACAGTTTATTGTCTTATTATTTAGCTTGGTTCACGTCGAACTTTTATCTAGATATACATCCACTTAACTAGTTAAAAGTTCGACGTGAACCACTCAATTATAGCTAGTTAAAGGAATTAAGTCACTTAAGTTAAGTGACTTAACTTTACTAGAATAACGGTAAATTAACTTGCTTAACGGTAAAGTCGGCTCAGATTAAAAGGGCACGATTACGTAACGTAGGCATTAAGCCAGCTTTGTTGTATTGTACCACCATTATCATCTTCTGGCTGGCAACAACGTACTTCAACAATGCTAACAACAGCATCAAAGTAGTCTCATTAGTCTGGTTTTCAGAAATTATTTGTAATATTTTGGGTAAACACCCAGCAAACGTCCGTTTTACGAATAGTCGATATTACCAATGACCTTTGCCCTTTGCAATAATAACGTTAAAAAGTCCGATTGCTTACGTTTTTCAAAGTGATAATGTATATTTTTCTTAATAATAAAATCAGATTTGTTGTATTTATTTATTGACAATTTAATCTTTTCTATTTCTGCTATAATAGTCGCTATTAATTCAATTTCAACGAACTACCACCAACGCCAGTCGTTAAAATGAGCGCACATGTTTACGATGACGAAATAAAAAAGTGTGTGGGAGTCAGCAACTTATTTGACACCGCGAAGCTAGATTTTCGCGAAGTGCATGTAAACAACACAATTGAGCGATCTAAAAACTACAAAACAGGAAAGAAAGGTCCATAAAGTATACATACGTTTTAATGAAAATTAAAACAACATTTTGTTAAATGGAAGAATGTTAGCTAGCGATTAAAATAATTCGTTTTTTATCGAAGGTAAATGCTAGGGCCAGGGCCTTGAGAATCTACCACTTAGATTGCGATAGAACACGCTGCTGCACTGGTCGTTGGTTCATACTGGTCGGCTAGGTTAGGTAGTGGAAACTCACACCTTTTCTACACAGTAGTTTACAATTTTTTTTTAACGAATACCACTTGGTACTAGAGGTTCGTAAAATACAGTAGGCCTAGATGTTTTATTAAACAAGCCTTTCGACCGTGTGACGTCAACGGCCTGAAACTGGCTGGCTGTTTATCTGGCTCTAACTTGGCATCAAACGCAATTAGGGGATTATCGTATCATGTTTCAAGACGGGTATATCTAGATAAAGTTCGACGTGAACCAGGCTTTCATGTACCAAAGTATTAGTTCTGGAAGTGGTCAACAAATTGTTTATTTAATGTTATTTTGATAGTTCATTCTATTAAACAATGTATGCACAAATAACTTTGAAAGGCAATTACTCAAAATCATGTTTATCTTGATTCTAAGAGTACTGTACTTTCACTTTCCAATAACTTAGGCTTGAAATATCCAATTTCAATGAATGACCTCTCATTTTAAAGATCACATACTCAGGTATCTGAAAATACTAATAACTTGAATTTCAATTTTTGCTACAACTTAGCCATTTTGCCACAACATGCCTCATATGGGCATCAAATCGTCAAAAGTGTGCATGTAATTAAGCAACTGGTTCATGTCCTATATCCATGTGCTGCTAAGTAAGTGGTACCATCATAATACTGGAAGTCCCACTATTCAACTTGACAATAAAAATGTAATATTTGCTTTAAAAATCAGTAATTATTGTAGAATAAACTTTTTTCAAAACTCAATTGGCTGATGTTTATCACAATTATAATGCTGTTTTATTTTTTTTGTATGACAGAATAAATGTGTTTTTTTTTAAAACACTTTTGTTCTACGGTATTTGTTTTGTCTTTGCAGAGTTTTTAGGATAATGGACGACGACGGTAGCAGAAGCATAGATTTTAAGGAATTTAAAAAAGGTATCCATGACTACGGAGTGGACATAGATGACAATAAAGTGAAACAGATGTATGAGGCATTTGATGCAGACAAAAGTGGAAAGATTGATTTTGATGAATTTCTGAAAGCTCTTAGAGTAAGTGTACTAATGTACATTGATTTCCCTTAACCATGAATCTAAATCACAATTTTATTTATATGTTTATTTATATATAGCAGGATAGGATAGGAGTATTTTTGGTGCAAATCACACCAAGGATAATCCACAAAGACTTGTTTCTAGTGGTGTCTTTCTGGTGATGATTTGGGCAGCACACCGAGAGACAATCCCTACTCTTTTTCTGAAGGGTGCACTGCCTTAGTACACTCTGCCTGCCAAACACAGAGATCTCTGTGTTTGGTAACGCAACGCTTGACCGCCATACACGCAGATCTCTGTGTTTCAGGTTTTTTTAAAAATCGGATATATGGGGTAATTACCGAAATGTACTAACAATTTGAACACTATATTCAGTCTGGACCATAAGTATTTCACTATTTGTATGTTTACATAAGCGTGGAGCAGTATTGAAATCGCGATTTTTTTTCAGCTTCGTTGTGCGAAATTGCGTAAATCTCCAAAAGTGAGTCATTTTCATTTTACTGTTACGGGTCACAGATTGTGATTAGAAATGAAGTGTTTGGTACCATTGTAAAGCTAAGATGTTTGTAGTTCTTGTAGTATCACTACATGTCAATCTGATTACATACGCACTCCCAACGAGCTTCGGAAAAGTTTTAAAATTTGCTAAAAATTCTGGAGGTGGCTGAAACTGTTTTTTCGAACCCTGGCGGTCAGAGTGTTAAAGGACCAGCTGTTTAAACGTCTCATCAAAAAGATGATGCACTATTTTAACTTGCATTTCAGCCCTCCATCTCAAGGAGAGAAGTGGTGGGATTTAAGCCGGGGACTAAAGATCTCCACAGTTTAGTGCAGACACAGTGGCTACCACCAGTTTTAGCCCATTCATTTTCAGATACTTATTGGTACTCATTTATATATGTGGAAGTGGTTTGGCGCTGCGGGAACTGTTTGGTTTCCCAACCTTGAGGTCGGGGTTTCCATCCTTCACTGTGCATTTCACTTGTGTCCTTGGGTAAGGCACTTTATCTGCATTGATTCTCTCCACCCAGGAGTATAAGTAGGTAGCTGGTAGGGTTAAATGCCAAAATGCGCTGATGTAGTTGCTGCAACGTTATGGAATACTCCCCCAGGGAGCTTGAGTTTGTGTTCCATAGGCATTTAGTACAATGACCGGGGTAATGATAATGTGAAACGCATAGAGGGCTTAACAATATGCACTATATTAGTCTACCATTATTATTATCATACTCCTGAAATGGTGTGAATCAATAAAAACAATTTTTTATATACTTAGAAGTACACGCAATAAATTTTTTTAAACATATTTCATTTAGCCTCCTATGTCATCAGCAAGAAAGAATGTAATATTACAAGCGTTTAGGAAATTAGACAAGACGGGAGACGGTGTGATAACCATTGATGACTTGCGTGGAGTTTATAATGTAAAGAGACATCCGAAATTCCTAAATGGAGAGAAGACAGAAGAAGAATTGTTCCGTATCTTTCTTGACAGCTTTGATGCTCCAGGAGATGCTGATGGTCAGGTAAAGTTGATAGAAAAATTAATAAATGAAATAAAGAAAAAAATGAAATATAAAAATGTGTATTACCAAATAGTTGATAATTTTCTTCTATTAAATTAAATAAATAGTAAATACCGTATGTACCCTGATACATAACATGGTATAAAATGCTATTTTATATTGTGTTTTTAATGGAAAATCACTCAACAGCCTGATACTATGAGGTGTTGGCTACAAATGAAACAAATAAATAGTATTGTGTGGAGTGGGAGAAATAGCAAAATGCAAAAAAGAAATTTAAAAAAAACTGTATCTGTTGATGTGATAGTATATATCTGGTATCAACCATAATAAAAGTACATTAAGAATGTTATGTAATTATTGCTAATACATGGAGACTATCTGCATCATGTGCTATATTGTTTGATTGCTTAATTGATAGATTGGTTGATGGTAGCCGTCATAAAGTGTATAAGCAACTATATAAAAGTCTGTCTATCACAATTTTGTATCAGTATGGTTCAGCTCTGTCTACACAGTCATGTGACAAATACCTGTGATTCGCCCATATATGGGCATGGTTATGTCATATACGGACAAATCACATTTGGAAATGATTGAAATCATATGAAATCCATATAATGGCAAGTCTCAGGTGTTAGGTATTATAGTAAAAGTTCAGTGTGGAAAGATCTTTAGATTAGTGTGCTTAAGCTCGCTAAACTGTGGTTACTTATCAAAACCTCACATTGAAAGCAATAATTTATCTTCCAAAATGTCACCCAATGTAATATTGTGATTATGTTCATATTTTTTGCAGCCTGATTGTATGGTTGATGCATTGTACTTATCATCCCCGCTTGCATTTTTTCCATAAATATTTTTAGGTGACAAAGGACGAGTTTACTAACTATTATTGTGGTGTGAGCGCCTCGATCGATAGTGATGCATACTTCATATTGATGATGAAGAATGCGTGGAAGTTGGACTGATGTCGGCCATGCTATAACATCTCAACCATTAACAATTCATTATGTATGTTCAAGTCATCTTCATGTCATTTTCGCAATTTTACAATGATTACAGTTTTAAATTATAAACTTCTTAACTGTGAAAAGCTGCTGTATCAAGATGTGTGGCCATTTAATTTCATCTAATCCATTATTCCACTCACCGTTTGCTGCATTGTGTTATATGCAATTCTAATCATGCGAATATATACTGTATTGTATATTGTAATTGTTATTTTTTATGATACTGTAATGTAATTTCAAAAATTTGTCATAGCATGTGATTGTTCAAATCAAAATCAAATCAAATCATCATAACATTTATTTGTTAAAATAAACAAAATCACAAAAATATCTACTTCTCAATTTAACAAAAATTTACAAAATGGAATATATAATAGGTAAACCCTTCTCAAAAATAATATTATGTAAATAAATTTTCAAGAAGCATTAAATAACAAAATTCCCTTCTACAGATAATAAATAATACATTAAAATTCAAATGCAGACCAAAATAATTTTAATTGACAAAAACATCTGACATGACATCACATCCATGACCATATATAGGTACATCATCTTAACTTTTTAATTTTCTGTTTTTATTTTGCAGGTCACAAAAGATGAGTTCATTAACTACTACAGTGGTGTAAGTGCTTCAATTGACAATGATGCATATTTCCTGCTAATGATGAAGCAAGCCTGGGGACTGAAATGATAGTTGACCATTCTCAGAATGCTTTGTAAATTGACATTTGCACATTTGTTGCCATGGAGATTATTGAAGCTCTTATTCCAGTGCAGTTGCAAGTCTGTGAGACACGATACAGTAATTTGTATTGAATGATAGTGAAGCTTCTTTTTAGATTATTCATATTTGTGTAGTTTCACCAGTTATTGCCAGAAATGAACACAGGATTCAAGGTGGATTATATATTAACCAATTTGCAGGAGACTGATATTTCATCACAAGATGTTGACCAATTGCGATTTAGTATGGTTTACAGTATACGATATTGACCAATCATGGTCTATTGACCTCATACAAAGCATTTCTGTAACCTTATCTGAATACCTTACCAACTGTCAAGAATTTTTTACTTTATATTTGGATCGTTTAAAGGGCTCCCTCTTTGAAACTGATACTTACACACTGTTGGAATAGTCACGGTTGTTCCGTAGCACATGATCGAACCAGTGAAAAAGTTCAAGTTAATCATCCATACATGGCCTAAGAGAAAACTTCATAAACAACCAATTTTATAGAAACTGCTGTAACATTGTATTATTTTTTAATCAAAATCTTTCAAGAAAAAAATGGATGCTCCTGGGTGTTTATTCCATGAGGACTTTAACAGCAATACTCAGAATGCTTCATTTATTCAAAGCAGAGCGTTACCTGAGGCAATATTGTATTTGTATGTCTTCTGATTTACTGTACTTAATGATTATCTTAAGAAATACTGTTCTAAAATTTTCCCCGGTTAATCTGAATATAGGCCTATCAAAATTTTAAAGAACATAAGTTTTAAATAATAATATGTAACTTTTATATTTATGATCTGAAGATATGTATAAAAAATGATCTGAATTTGAAGGACAATTATTTGTATAATAATTTTTTTTACGTGTACATCTGGCAGACAACTAGCAAGTACACAAGCTAGAATTTTAAGTAAGAAAATTATATAAGATAGATACTGTACAATCTGTGTGTGATATAGTGAATGTGGATGAAGATGTCCTTGATACTAAAATAATATAATAATTTAATGTTACATTAGTGCACTCCTTTAATATGGGTACAATTTTCAATTTGTTAAATAATCAGAAAAATTATAGAAAAGTAAACATTGAAAAAGGTTATTACAAAAAAATATGAATGACATTGTGATCACCTTGACGTTGTAATCATCTTAACCTTGTGATCTTGACCTTATGATCACCTTGAACTTGCGATCATCTTCACCTTGAGATCATGCTTTTCGGAGAATGAAATAGTGATGTGTAATATTTTATGAAATTACAAATTTTGATGTTCTTGAATAACCATAGATAAATATTAGGAATTTATTTATTCATTAGACTTAGACTTTTTTTATTCCTTGTTTCATGTAATTATTTTTTTTAAAGATCATCGGAGGAGGGCGGAATAAAAATTTTAAAAAAATTGGTTTTGCCAAAAACATTGAGACAGAGGAGAAAATAAAAATAAAATTTTAATGGTGAATGTAAAATAGGATGGTTAAATGCTTCAAATTTATATAATTAGGAAGAAATATACATATCCTATCTTTGGAGACTTTAAAAAAGTTTATTTTTTTCTGAAATTTCCACTTTTTCATAGCGGTGGGTGTGCTAATTGGCCAGAAATAAAATTTTATTTTTATTAAACAAGGTATAAAAAAAGTCTTGCCTTAGAAATGTATTTTAGAAAGATTAAAAAACAGTAAACCTTGAAAAAGATTATTGCAAAAATGATTTACACTTTGTTAGGTTCTGATACTAAAGCCAGACTCCGGAAGAAACAAAAATTGATATGTGGGGGGAGGGAGAGAAGGGGTGTAACCCCAGTTTTTAAATATTTGATAACCTTTATCTCATTAAATGTGAGAAAATCAGTTGTACAACATATCGAAAAAAAATGTTTTCCTTCAGAGCCCGACTTTAAATTAATTATTAATACTTTAGGGTTGCGATCATCTTGCCCATCATTGTGACCTTGTGATTACCTTTATCATGCTTTTAGGGAAATATGTAAGTGTGGCAAATAGATGTACAATATTTATAAAGCTTAGTTTTACTTTTAGTTTGCCTTGTACCTTATTGTGGGAGCTGCATTTCTTAATTCTTTCTGTATTATAATTGTGAAATCGGTGTAAATACAAAATATGTACTGTAGTTTTTTGATGTATTGTGTGTGGCTAACTAACCTTTAACCTTTTATCAATGCTGAGAAATCATGTGAAATTTGATTCATTAAAATACTAATTGTAGATATGTTGAGCTAGTCCTTTTAGAAATCATGTAAAATTATATTCATCTTACCAATTGTAATCAATCATGTATTAATTTGTCATTTTAACTGTAGATATCAAGTTGAGCCAATCCATTCTAGAATCTAAAGTGCATTAATAAATGCTTTTTGTCAAAACTTAATTGTAATTGATTAATCTTTTTAAAATTATCGGTACATATTATTAATATGTTATTGAGGTCATATTAAAATTGATATGTAATAGTTTATCATTGTTTCAATTCTCTATTTGGTCAGTTTTCAGCGTAATTTAGCAATGAGCATGTTACATTGTGAGATGTGTATGCAATGCATGATTTTATTTGCCTATTCAAATATCATTATTGGCAATCCCTAATTATTGTGGATTTGGACCATACTAAGCCATAGATTTTTATTCCGGGACCCCCAACCGAGGCTCTAGTTGACCTCTTAGTTTGGTTTTTGAAGCCACCACTGCCCCACCAGGGGTCAGAGGGGCCTATTTTTACATACTGATCCAATTATCTGATAGAATGCACCTCAAAGCAATCTACTTTCTGTTTGTAATGCGAGCGGCAGTTTGGTGGGGTTTTTTTTGAGAATTGTGTAAAGGCCTGTTTATACTTCAATGATAACAATAACGATAGAGAAGCTAAAAAGCAATTGTTCATAATATAGAATACAAAAAAAATAAAAGAAGTTTACACACTAGGACGATTCGATAACAATTCATCGTGTATATGATAAAAAAATATTTAATCAAATCAGATGACATCATAATCATGGATAAACGATATAATTGGTTTTTGTCAAAACTACTACGTTTTTAATGTTTTTCCATGATTATGACGTCATCTGATTTGATTTGTCAAAATATGTTGTTATTGCATCGTTCTAGTGTAAAAACTTCTCTTATTTCTTTTATTTCTATATGAACAATTGCTTTTTAGCTTTTTTATCGTTATCGTTGACGTATAAACAGGCCTTAAGGATGTCAAGGTATAGTAATTTCAGATCTTTTCAACAAATGAAAATGACAGAGCAACTAATAAATGAAAACTTTAGTATCAATAGATTTTAATATTAATTTCAAATTTAAATACTTTTTTCAACTTTAAATATAGTTTGCAACAAAAACATCATAAAAAGTAGTTTCCTGGAAAATAAAACTGGCTTTCAAATTGCAAAACATTGGCCAGTCTGCATGCTTTTTGCGCAAATAAATTGCATTCCATAATCAAATACAGGTAATACAAACATCTATGTATGAATTAAAGTGAGCAATCCAATTATAGTCATTCTATAGTAGTCAGAGGTGAAAGGTCAAAAACTGGAAAAAGCTACTTTCCAGGGGACCTGTTTAAATGAGCTTTCTTTACACATCTAATTCCATTTTGCTATGCATGGTGATGCTCAGCGACACTGACTTTTGGGAGACAACTGATAATACAGTAGTAAAAACATGCAAATACTGTATCGTGAATTTGTGGAAGATAGATTATTTTACGGGAGAGACTCCTTTAATATGAGAGTACAGGAGGCCTTTCCAATTAACGGGACCCTCCTGCGAATTTGCGGAGACTTACCCCTGCAATGCATGTCTTTAGATGTGACTGATAAAATCTATCACAGCCAATCCGGAGACAAATAATTCAGGATGTTTACATTTTTAACAAGCATTAGAGGATTAATAATATAGGCTTGTAAAAATGACATCACCATATAAGACTGATACTTTGAACATTTCACTCAAGTAGTACCGGTCAAGAGATACATATATGTAACAATAAATAAATAATAACCCAAAATCAGGAAACCAATTCTATATGAAGATTCCTGATGGGATAGGCGATTCCCCAGCAAGTGATCCCAGCCCATCGTTTTAACACTGTGTTGGCCATTTCTAATACTGTATGCTGTAAATGGGTCTAAATTTATGTACAGGTTCTTTATATTATCTATGAATGATGGCACCAAATTAAAAATGATGTACCAATTTGGTAAATTCCGTAGCAGGTCTACCATCAACTAAGGCAACCCCTCCTCCATCTTATCCTCTTCTCACATAAGGATGAAGATGATTTGGATATTTAAAATACAGCATCTTAGTATCGCATCTTTAAACTCTAAATAAATTGCTTGTAAAAATAAATAGTTGTTTCCTCTACAGACAACCTGTATTCTCTTGACAACTGGTTATAAACAAATGTAGGGTAATGCCTTTCAAAATGACTTAACAAAAACATGTTACAGAAAATGAAAGCAATACCGACATGATAATAATTATTGTAATTGAATTTCTAACCACACTTGTCTACTAAATACTTGTCAGATAATGGCTATTATCAGTATGGGATACACAGTAATGATACTTAGTGTAATATTATGCTTGCATATAACTGGGTGGTATGCTAAATTTGTATCAATGTGGTAATGTGGTGTATGACTCAGTAGATTAGGGAGGTTCAGACATGATCAATTATTCTAGTAGCTTAAGGGGTCAGACAAACAGATGAAGGGCTTCCACTAGGGACCAAGTAATATGTGATTCTAGTCACTTGAGGTAATAGACATTAAAGGAAATATATGCATATTATCCTAATAGTTTAACATGTCAAACAAAAGGAGAATGTACCATACTGCATGTGTTATCATTGTAGCTTAGCATATTATAATACTTTAGGAGTCAATTCTATCTTGTGTCAGCCTCGTGTTATAACATTAGCATTCAGCCACAACTGACACAATGCGATTACATATGTAGTAGAAGGCAAAGATGGGGGGGGGGGGAAGGGATATTCATATATCCATATTCATTTTATTTTTTACTACAAACCACTATTTTGTATACCTTATGAATCAACAGCCTATTAGGGTAAATTACTGTTTAGTTTTATGTTTAATGCCCATATCTAAAGTGCAAGTCTAATTTGCAACAGAGAGGTATCTGACTACAACAAAACAGAACAACTACTAATAATATAACAAAAAAAATCAGTAAAATGGGTTGATGTTTAGTGCAGCATGGAATCTTCATCTTCATGCTTTCAAAAACTTCATAATTGCTAGAACACCTTAGCTTCCATTATTGTAAAATGTTGTGTTTTGTATTTTTAAAACAATTCACAGAACTGTGAATTAACCAGTCATGCTTTCAAAAACTTCATAATTGCTAGAACACCTTAGTTTACGGAGCAATGCATCAAAAAGGACTTTGAGTAGACCTACAATTGGATATTTTGAAAACTGACGGAGATGGATAAACAGTACCACACAAGTTAAGAACGTCAATTTTCATTTGTACAGTATATGGAATTTTAAAACATTGTTAGATACCGTATGTATTTTATACCATTAGTTCTTCTGTATTTTTATATTATCTGTAACAAGCAACTTCATAGCAAGATGTAAGTATTTTTACTGTTTTTTAATTGCACAGCATGCACCATAGCAACAGCTACGACAACACTAGCCACATGGCAACGCCCTGATGAACGATGATGACTTAAAACTGACGCAGCTGCAGTTCACAATAATTGCCTCTCAAAATTTTTCCCGCCATTTGAACATTGAACATCCACTGTAAAACTGTTCACTGTTGACATACTTTAAAGTACACACACACACATCTTTGACATTTCCCCCAAAAAATTTGATTCAGTACATTTTGCCAACTGGATATCAGCCGTTGTATGGTTAATCTACATCTTGTCGTTCCTCAACAAACAGCGTTTCTTGTGGGAAGAGGCCCGAGTCTTTAAATGTCTTAGAACTATCCAATAATGTTACCTATTTAATTAAAATAAGAAAAAAGAAAACATTAGAGCATTTTGGTTTAGGCTTAGTAGTAGTGAAGGTGGTAGCAGGAGCAGCTGCAATAATTATAGTAAAGTTGTGGAAGCAATGCTAGCAGTTGCAAGCCTAATGCTTGGTAGTGGTAGTAATATTCATAAAAATTAGATAAATACCCAAAAGGCTGTAGGTTCTGGGGGGCTTCTCTTTCATCCCCCAGTTGGTCCCTGCCACTTGAACTCAATGGTTAACCTAAGTGGACCATCGACCTCACAATTGGAGCCCGCAGCTGCGCGCCCCAGGGTTTACACTTGGAGGCCTTGGTAGAAGTAGTAATAAAAAAAAGTAACAAATATGCAATACAAACACTTACATCTCTTTTTGGCCATGTTGTTAATAGTTTGTAGTCTTCTGTGCGATAACCTTTCGATCCAATGAAGTAAAACAAAGTCTTTATTGCATGATTGGCATAAAATCTACGAACTAACATCTCTCCATCCGGTAGCCTCATTCTGAGTGTGCTCACACCATCTTTAACTTCTGCAGGTGGTTCTTCTAACACCTGCTGTTCCAAGGACAGTCTTATTGCCTGAAAGGTCAATTAAATGACACAATGTATTTTAGTAAATCATTTTCTGTTGGATAAGTTTTAATAACACTCTGTACATGAATAAAATCAAATAAAAATTATACAAAAATATATATATATAGTAAATTTTATAGGGTAGAACTACTGAGCAATCCTAGACACCTCATCATTTTGTTCCTTTTCTCTTCGTTCCTGGTCTTCTCTCTCTTGCTTTTCTCGCTCTTCTCTCTCTGTTCTTTCCTTTTCTTCTGCCTTGGCTCGATCTGCTATAAGGGAAGCTTGGTAGGCTGCATCTTGTTCAAGCCGTAGTTGCTCTGCTGCTAATCGCTCAGACTGTAAGTTAAAGTCAATCATAATTGAATAGGTAGTAAATTTGGGCAGAAACTGTGGGGGTTTTGTGGTAGCCGCAATTCAGTTCCACATCTAAGAGGAACAGTAAACCAGGAAGTAATTCCCTGCTTTGTTTCAAACAGTGTGTTAGTAAGCATGAACAGACTGGGTCATGTTGTACGCAACACTAACACTTAAATGTCTCTAGTAGAAGATATGGTACACTACAATCTGAATTTCGTAGGGAGGGTAGCTTGATGGAATAAAATAATAGACACAAAGAGAGTAATGGTTTTGCGAACACATCTTAAAATTCATAAATAACTAACTGTATAACATTTTTTTACAAATGTAATGTTCTACAATTTTAAACTAATGTATGTACATAGAGCCTTGAGATTTAAGAGAGTACTTGAATGGTTCACCTACGTCTTCTGCCATAAATACAGATCGTTGATGATTAAATACGTCTACAGAGTGGACCAATGCAGTCATCATTTCATCTAATGATGTGTTTCCTGTTAAAACATGTTAATAAATTAGTGAAAGCTTAATTGTTATAATCTGTGTCCAATTGGTACTATTTCATCTTTTAAATAATAAAATCAATGGTTTAATTGATTTCTATTTATTTATATATATATTTTTTTTTGGGGGGGGGGTTTCTGAAATTTTACTACAGACAGTATTATATTAACTATAATAAAAATTATTGTATACTCAAATTCAAGCACGAGAGGGTCACTGCTGGCCATCCAGGGGTGCCACAATCACAAACGTTCCCACCCAGCCCCAACCATGGTCGGTCTGACGTGGTCCAGGCCCTCAAATTTTGCAATTCCCTCCCTGCCCACCCAACCCTTCGACCTGTCTCTTATACACATCTAGATGTGTATAAGAGACAGCACACACATCTTCATTATTTGTTAATATTAAATGGCACCCTCACCTTGTGACACTGAAAATACTTCTGCATTTGATCTAGTCTTCATCACAATAAGTATAATAGGGAACTGGTCGTCTTGTATATTACGCACTGCTGACGCAGCCATGCTACCAAAATGCTCCGTACACATATTTAATAACCTGGGGAAAAATCACAAAGAAGTTCACATCATTAACATAGAGGCAGCACAACTGGCTATATAACCTCTGTGTGTGGCATGAATACTGTCATGTCCTTGGTTCTATTCTAAGCTGCTGCTCTCTGTGAAGATGGGCTGTAGAGCACAATCTAACTTTTTTACTACCATTGATATCAATATCATCATTTACAGGAACAATTCGTCGCTCACATCACAAACTAACACAATCAAAATAGATTGGGTTAGTTCGTGAAATCAAGATAGCGCGTCAAAATACGCGTTGTTGTTGTTAACGACTTTTTGTGTGGTAAAGAATACAAAATTACTTGACAACCAATATGCGCTCGTTTTGACGCGTTACTCTGATTTCACAAACTAACACAATCTACTTTATTTGTGTTAGTTTGTGATGTGAACGACTAATTTTACAGCCATAATTCGTCACACACAACATAATTATCTGTGATTTCTACAATCATTCATTTTCACAAGCAGATGTTATAAAATTCAGGGGAAATTTACAACCATTTATTTTTATGATTATAATCCAAATCATAATTACTAAGATGAGACTTTTTTATTTTAGTTCAGCGAACCTACCGCCTGACAATAATGACGCTTTTGAATAATAAAATTACATTTTTAACCAATTAGCACACTAATTAAAGTTTTCCATTCTTATTACGCCCACCACTGCCTTGAAATCTCAAAGATATGTATATTTCTTCCTAATTACATAACTTTAAAGCTTTAACCATCCAAGTACTACACTGTTTACATTCAACAATATTTTATTTTTATTTTCTCCTCCATCTGGATGTTTTTGGCAAAAACCATTTACTAAATAAAAAACAAAATTTCATCTTGAAAAAACGTAAGTTCACTAAAACACGGTATAAAAAATGTCTTGCCTAAAGGATTATAACCATTAAGATATGTTCAGTAATCATCAATATTATGGTTGTCAACAATATCATCATCATTATTACCTGTGCTATTTATAGCAATAAAACTATACTTCCAAACACAATATACTACAGCAAAAAATCCATTTTACGAACGTCAATTTTACGATTAGTCAATTTTACGTTTAGTCAATTTTATGAATGGGCTTTGCCCCTGATGATGTCATCATCGACCAATTATTACCGTAAAAAAAGTCTGATTGCGCACGTTTTACCAAGTGATTATGTATATGTTTCTTAATAAAATCAAGTTTGTTGTATTTAATTATCAATAGTTCAAACTTTTCTTCTATTTCCAGTATAATAATCAATATATTAATGTAATAAACCTAACAAAAACAAGAAACTACCAACGCAAGTGTCGTCGGATTGAATGCACATGTTTACGATGACGAACGTGAATGCTGGGGTCAGCAACTTATTGACATCGTGAATGCTGGATATGATCGCGAAATGCATGTAAACAACACAATTCGGCGATCTAACAAATAGAAAGAACACGTTAGAAAGGTCTATAAAACTTACAGATGTTTGAATAAGAGTTAAAATAATTGTTAATTGTTAAGTGGAATAATGCCAGCGATTAAAATAATTTGGTTTTTATCGAAGGTAAATTCAGCTAGGCTGTAACGCAGTAGAACACGCTGCTGCACTGTCGGTTCGTGGTAGGCATGGCCGCCGTCAGCCTATCGGCGCTCAATGGCAGGGGATAGCTAGGCTTAGGTATTGGAAACTGACACCCGATCTAGTTTACAAATTTTTCAATTTACGAACACCCCTTGGTACCAAGGGGTACGTAAAATGGAAGTTTTACTGTACTCACCTTGCTTTATTAATGTCCAATGTTAAATCCCATGCCCAGGTCACAAAATGATGGCTTAGGAAGGATACGATACTCTCAGCGCATAACAATTGACTACAAAATACATTAACCTGTACACTACGGTCATGGTGAAGATATATTGCTAAAGGTTTCCTCTGTAAAGACAAAAGAGGAAGACATTAAATACCAGACACATATACTGTATGTAGCACCCATTATATTATTGGGGAAACATGAATAACAAGATAATTGAAACCCTAACCACTTGTACCATGCCTTTTGCCAAGTGACATAAGGCAACAACGATGTTATAGGCCTTATGTAATAACATTAGGAGCAGATCATTTGATTCCTAAGAGTTCTCTAGAAAACTGCCAAAATGAATCGAGTTTCAAGTGAACTGATTATAATTACAGCTTGTCATTGGATCCAACAATTGGCACACCAAAGCCAAGCGTAACCGTTTCCACTTAGTGCTGAGTAAGCATAATCGTGCTGCATTACACAAACAGAGTACAGAACTGCAGTAGGTCTGACTCTTGGGGTTTAGTTGGGAGCTCAATCCTATATTTAAAAAAAAAGTGCTACCACAAACTAGAGGGCGATCTTTAAAAGAACATAAAAGGCGTTTATAAATAGAACGCCCCTATCTCGTGGTAGTAATTTTTTCAATGTTTCATTGCGTGCATACAGAAGGAGGACAGTCGGACTTCTTGCAATTCTATACTCTATGCTAATACATACAAACCACAGCATTCTATTATGTACCTTTCACACTCCTGGGTGGAAATTAGATAAAGGTAATAAAATGCCCAGCCCAAGGACACAAGTAGAATTATATTTTCATATAAAATAATGAAAATTTAAAGGTGCTATAGAAGTTGATTGATTGATTTAGCGAATATTAGGCACATGTATGTAATTGTATTTGCAAGTATTTGCATTATCCACCTTGTAATGGTACTTACATCTGCTAACGTTGGTTTAAAGGCTTCTTTAGTTGCATCATCTAGTGACCCTAAAAAGAAGAATGGATGCCTTTCCCCATAACGTTCCTCAAATTCATGTGTAAAATGCGCCAGTGCCTCTGTGGGGTCTTCGATTCCTGATGGTACTAAAGGTTAAAGGTGAACAGAGATTGGTAAATATAGCTCCCTGGTTGAATAGACTTAGGAAACAATGTTGTAGGTTTCAGTAAAGTATTAAAGGAGAGTATTTTGAACATAAATATACAATACAGATAAATATAAGATTAATTTTTAGTCAATATGTGGTCCTCATGAAATTTAGACCTTGTTTTTTTCAACAATGACACATGTGACAAGACTTGAACTTAAATCCAAGTAACTGACAGGTGTAAACTTTATCATCAAAACATTTCCCTTGAAAATTAAATTAAGTATTACAAAATTACATAAACTTTCATTGACTTTTTGATTTTTAGGTGATTGAAAAGGAAAAAACAATCTTACATAGAGGTTTAAATTTATGTGTTTGATGGTTTTCATCACCAAAAAACTGTGTATCATCATCAAAATCAAACGTATCGGCTGCATCTTCAAATTCATCACTATCTGTGTTGTAGTCTTCATTTTTTGAATTCTGTAAAAAAAAAATACAAGTCAATACTCTAGCAAAAGTCAATACTATAGCAAATATCAATACCGTAGTCCCTGTTACCTGTACCTGTACCGTCACCTTCAAAACTTTAGAACTGTAACCAGCGATGGCTAAACTCACCACCCCCTTTTTTTATCAAATCTTTCTCCAATAGCTCTCATAAATGAAACCACCTCTTCCCTTCTTCTTCAGCGATGGCTGAACTCCAACCCCACCCCCTTTTTTTTTTATCAAATCTTTCTCCAATAGCTTTTATAAATGAAACCACCTCTTCCCTTATATCAAAAACCATCTACATTATGAAGGAATGCAACCTCTAAATGCTAGAATGTTACAGCTCCAAGAGTCTTCGGGTCTAGACCCCACCAAGAGGTCTTTGTCTGGACCCCATCAGAGTGCCTAGTCAAACCCCAAACCTGTGGACCTCATAGTGAAATGCCCCCTTAAGTAATCCTTGATTCGGGCCAGCACCTTGTCACTATCACTACCGAGTCATCATGGCTGCCACAGCACTAATATCACGTTTCTTTTATCGATGCTATCGTTATTATTATCTCATACCCATTTCAGTGTCACCTCCATTATCATCATCATTTAATCACCACAATCATCAACTGCCACCAAGATGATGATGATTCTTGTCTCTCTCATTATTACAATACAATTCTCAATATCATCATCATCATCACTACCACCATCTTAATTCTTGACAAATTATATTCTTGCCATCATGACCACAGGTCTCACTATCTTTATTATCTATCACCATTCTCTTCCACCACATTCTTCATCATCATCATCAACCATCATAATTATTTCATCACCATCATCATCATGATTTTATCACTCTCTACTAGATACTTACATGCGGTTTAGAGTGGTTTTCCTTTACACGACAAAATGTCAACCTATGATTTGGATAGTTAAAATGGCAGTCAGCAAGTGTTAGCTGCAAAGAAAATTGATCAACAATAAAAATCAAATACTGTAAACAAATGAAGAGTGATACTATTAGTATATGAGTGAGATCCATTATACATAAACCAATAAATGAAAACAAATAGGAATTGCCTAACCACCACCTTGAATTTCCAACCCCCCCCCCCCCCAACCAGCCCAGAATAGCACTGCAATCCCTATGGACATATTCATCAGCATTTTAATGTGTAAAATGCTTCTTAAACATATTTTCTATCTATTTAATATGGCACTATTGTCAGTGCCATATTAAATTACATTCAACCTAGGTCAAAGGGTCTGGTGTATTTTTTTTCACTTTTACACTTCCTTCCACAATCAAAAGCCCATTTGTTAATTTTTAATAATTTCAAAGCCTACGGAAAATGGCCCACATGATGACCTGCATGAATTAAGCATTCAAACCTTAAAGGGTTAGGTTAAGTTGTTGACATTTTAGATTAAGAAAGGCAAAAAAATCAAACTTTGAAAAAAGGGTGTTGAAATGCAAACAAACTCTTTCAAATCATGCATACAATTTTTAATCCCTTTTCTATCATTGGAAGGAGAAGCAACATGTTAATAGAACATTTAAGTAGAAGTTGAATTTCCAACCCGACCTCTGTGAGGCCAGATGTTCCTATGAAGCCATTTTAAAAAATATTACACTATTTTTAATTATATATAGAAATGAGGAAACTAACAAAATGGATCCAGGACTCTTCTTTAAAGAAAGCTCAATATATATACTGTATTTTTTATTTAGGTAAAAATATTAAGGACTTTTTAATGTCCTGTAATCTAAAGCGATAGTTTTGTTGCATTTTTGGTACATTCCCTTGAGTCTAATTATCATTTAAAGAGGTCAGACAAGATATCTGGTTTTAATAACCCACTGTACCCAGATAACGCTAGATTATACAGAGTCTTGGAGGGCGGGGGTAATAAAGTTCTTGAGTAATACTTTAATATTTATCCAAAAAATTTTTTCAAGCTATAGGGCACAATTACATAATAACCAATACTAAATGTCTGCAACAATTCATATCCAACAGGTGTTTGGAAATTCAATTTTGCTTGTTTCCAAACTTTTGACGAATTTGATGATGACAGAATCACAGACGTACGAACGCACACGCATGAGTGATTGCAAAGGTTCCTATTGCTTAATAACATACTGTACAGTAGGAACCAAAAATGGACAACAAAAAGAATGTTCCTTTTGGTATAGAGAAAAATGGGAAAAATAAGGTCTATGATGAAAAAGATTGGTCTGTCATCAATAGTATCCCTTTCTCGTGCACAAATGACAGTAGATGAAGATATCTGCAATATAAAATTATCCACAGAATTTTAGGCCATAAAATTTTTTTGTTTAAAATGGGTAAATCTAAAGATAGTAGTTCATTTTGTAAGAATTATACTGAGACAATTTTTCATATTTTTTGTTCTTGTGAGTACGCGATCTATTTCTTCCAATCTATTATTTTATGGATTAAGGAAAAAACCAAAATCAATATTATTTACGACCAAGACATGGGTATTTTTGGAATTTGTAATTATAAGGAGAAGGGATTAAATTTAATTTTACTACTTGGCAGAGACCATATATATAAAAGGAAAATGGTGGATGAAAAACCTTGTTTTAATGTATTTAAAATTCAGCTAAGGAAATATTATTTTATCGAAAAATATAATGCAGCTGTAAATGGAAACAATAGCTCATGGGAAAGTAAATGGAAAGGTTTGCATACGTTATTTTGAGGTGATATTATTTTTTTTTTATGTTTTTGTTTTACTTCCCTGTTGTCATATATTATTAATTTTATTGTAAGTTGTTTCAAAATGTTGTACTTGTACTGATTTCTGAATAAAAAAAATTGAAATGAAAAAAAAAAAACAAGGAAATAAATTTATTCAGGTAATCAACCTAATAAAATGTTACAGTTGAAACTGATATCATATACAGATCTCACCAAGACTATTAAATTTTAATTTTAATAATAATAATAATCATAATAATCATACTATTTGTCAATTGTATACAGGTTTACACAAGGTCTGCAAGTGATTTATATTATTACCCTGGTTAATGGAAACATGAACATTTACAAAATGCAACATTAGTAAAGTTTTTCTAGTTGAGCATAGTGACACATCCAGAAATTTGCCTAAGACAGGGATTAGAACATGTTCAACTAGAGTCAGAACTTAGAGAGCTGTCTAGGGCCTCCAGTGATTGGGTAAAATCCATACCTGGTAACTAGGATCAGACCAGCACCAAGTGGTGTCGCTACCGTCTGAAGCCTGTTGATTCCACTAGGCAAATTTATTCGCGCGAACCAAAAGCATCGGTTCAGGTGCATTCGCATTCACATTTCTATCGGAATTTTTCTCTTAAATGAAATTAGTAGTTCAAACTGTCTCTTCTTTTTGCGAAGCAAAAAAAGCTCAACCAGAGCTCAGGAAACGAACTGATGCTTTCGATTCAGGCGAATAAATTTGCCAAGTGGAAAACAGGCTTGAGGAAGGGGAAAATTTCTCCCGATTCTCACTGGTAGCATTACTGGTGACGCATGAACTCCCAGCATAAACCCAATATATTCAATATAGAACATTTATAGCTCAATGAAGTAAGTACTTATTAACTGTAATCTTACCGTGTCATCTCCACTGGCTTGCGGCCAGTCTAACCAGTTTTGATGTCTAACAGCAACTGACGTTAATGTGTACACGTCTAGCTTTACTTCTCTTATGGTCTTGTTGGCTGGGTACGTCACATGTTTCTCTTCCCCTGTGTCCTGGTCTCGAATCAACAACTCATATTTTAATACAACTTCATTGGGTTCTCTGAAAGAGAGATATGTTTTTGAGTTACCTAGGACTGACTAAGCATTTCTGTGTAGGTAAGGTAAAGGTTGAAACCTGAAGTTCTGGGCTCACAGGCCGGAGTGCCAATCTTTCTTAAGGCGTTTGCGCCAGACTGTGCAAGGCTGTTGGGGGGGGGGTTCGCCATTCCTCCCACACAGCAGTCTGTTTTACCTTCCTACAATATGCTTACTCATTTATACTCATGGGTAAAGAGAAACGTAGATAATGTGTCTTGCCTAAGGACACAAGCGACTTGCACAGCGAGGGTTTCGAACCCCTGACCTCAAGGTTGAGAGTCCAAGCCTCAACCATTGTGCCAACCGCTTCTACTAAAATTTACATTTCTGTGTATAAATGGCTTATGCCTAAGTTGAAGGTTTAGGTTTTTTTACTTACATTTACATATTAATATTTAAAAATTACAAACTGTACATGACTTTTTAAAAGGTACTATAACTGTTAGCATATAACATTTAAATAAAATGATTGATGCTAATACCATATATGTAATTATTAGAAACAGGCAGTTATTTCAAGGTATGCAGTGAAGTGGATATGATCAATAAGAAAACATGTTTTCCAAAAATATGCCAGGTATTTCCGATAAAAATGAATGGTCTACCTACAAGAATAGCAGTGAGTCAAAAATATTTAACCTTCAACCAAAAAGGAGCGAAATGTACTATTAACTAAGATTAGTGATAATACAAAGAGTGCAAAAACTTTGCACAGCAACAAGTTATTTTAAATGTATGACATAACTGGCTTATAATAAACCGACCAATCAATAGACTAGGTTGTAATCAAAATTTATTTATCATTATCCTCTCACCACTAGCCCTACAGTCTACTGAATACACACAGATTGTCCAAATACCTTGATTCTTTACCCTAATATCTTTTTTTAATAATAGCCACCTGAATTCAGATAATTCCTACTCTACACCACACACACACACACAAATTAAAGTATCAACCAATCAAATGTATGCATGGTTATGTCATTCTATTTATAGATCCTAGCCTGACAAGAATTGTACCATTGTTTGTTGATGGTAGAGAACAAATTAATCTTGATTGATGGTATCATAAAAAAACTAAATGCTAATTGTACATTACAATAGACCAGCATATCTCTAAGGGTCAAGAATGGAATTGTCTTCATACCACAATTAATTATGTCATATCTATTTATAGATAACAGACTAATACACCCACATATCTGAACATCCTACAATACTAATGCTGTCTACAGTTTACTAAATGAGAATTCAATTCAATTTTATTTTATTACAAATGAAAATACATCATTTGGGTATTATATAAAATGGTAAATATAAAAAATTGCACATACATTAAAAAGTGATTGCATAAAAATATTTAAGAAAAAATATCGCCTGAATTTTCTTATTATTATTATTTTAAGACCAATCAAGTGGAACCTGGGGAATACTTTCCTATTCAGGTGACCATTCCTTTCCCTCTTCCCACAATGTACCAGTAGCCCTGCCCATGTTTATGTAACTATTAATGTTTGTACAACTCACCCATTGTTTTGATTTTCTTCTATAGAGTCTGTTTCTGGTATATCTGGAGTCAGTAAGAATAATTTGTTATGGAGTGGTAGATGAAGACTGGCAAGCAGGTCCTGTTGACAAAAAAAATGTTACATGAATTAAGCATTGTTTTGTTTAATTCTTGTATTGGCCAAACAAAAAATGGGTAGCTTATAGTAGGAATTTTTTTTTTCTTTTGTTTTTTTACCAATAATGTGTTTATGCCTAGAAAGTAGAAAATACACAAAAATACAAAAAAAAACAATTTTGAATCTATATTGAAGAGCAAAACGATCGCATAACACTGTCGTATCGCCTACCGTCGCAAGATAAGCCTTTTCAGTTCATTCAAAAAAATATTTTTTGTTGTAGCCAAAAAAAAAAACAATTAAAATGTGGACCCTCTATTTCGAACTTTTTGGGTCGGTTGCCAACAAAATATTTTTTTTTTATTTGGCCCTATCAACTACGATACTGTGGATAGAGCCTTAATTATTTTGGATTCCAATTGTAAATAACCCGTGCAAGTACTGTAGTTTTTATGAAAGTAAATACCCACTGGTGATATAGGACATTATATATTCAAAGGGGGAAAGATGTCCAACAAGGGGTACTAACTTTCACCATAGAAAACAGAGGGATGCAGTGGCCTGGTCTGAAGTGTCCTCAAAATTGTTTTATTAAGACAAAACACATAGTGAATAACCCATCTTCAACAAATTCATGTGTGCATGTTTTTACAGTATTAATATGTCTCCCTCAAGTCAGCTTGTCATGAGTATCAACATGTACAACAAAATCCAAAAGCACATGTTTAGAAAAGTCATCAAACAGAATTTCCCTAAGGTGACCTTTTCCAATATGAGACACTTGCTTTAATCACATGATTAGGACAAAATCAATCAACTTATAAGTAATGCCAATACATATTTGGAGAGAATAAAGATAGATATGTTTCCATGTTTCCTGTTCAAGATTCTTCACATTTTTTTAGATTAAAAATCTACTTACACTATCTTTAGCTATAACCCTTCCACCTGACCAGCCTCGCACATCCATCATCGTAACTGGTATTTTTAACTCTTCATTCAGCAATTTCTTAACAGTGACTGCAAACAGGGAAAAAAATACTTTCATTGGTCAATTAAAGTTAGAATATCTAAAGAACCAGTTATGCATACAGATTCAAATTTTAAGGAAATAAGAAGAAAAAAAAAAGATTTTTCATCAAATTTTGAATGCTAGAGAGGAAGACTGATCATTTGATCATTATTTGCGGGCGGCAGGCTTGCTAAATAAGGTATAAAAAAAGTCTTGCCTTTATGAGGCTTGTGGAGAGGAGAGCTGATCCTTCGGGACCCTTGATCTATGAAGGTTCATGAGGCTTAGAAAGAACCTTCAGATTGATAGATGTGTGCCTAGACCACCAAGCCCACTCCTACAATGCTACACTATTCATGTCATTGATGTACAACTTACAAACCGTCATGGAATCTTCTACTCGTAAATGAATGGTCCTGTCTCTATATTCAACATCAAACTGAAGTCGTCTGACTCGTGGTGGTGGTGGCTCAAAATTTGTGGACGCGCATGGTCTATTGGATGGTGATATGCTAGATGCCCTAAAGATAAGAACATAAATGATTTACTTATTATTACACAGCAAAACATTACATTCATTATCTATGTGTGTTTAAATGAACATTTAAATTTATGGTTAGTTTAGTCGCACTATTCACTGCATCGCCACCAATCACAGGACTGAGAAATCAGCATACTTACATTCGTAAACGGATGAATTCTGGTCCTACAAAGGTTTAAACTGAATGCAGGAGCATGCTAAAGTAATTCATATTTTTTTTTTAAATTCTGATAATTTTAATACCTACTGCACAAATTGTTTTAAAATATAAAATTTCAAAAACCTACTTTACTACAGATGGCGTCAAATCAACCATCTCTGTGTCCGGGACATCTTCCACCGGATTATCCGTCACCAGGACACTGCTAACCGCCTGTTGGAGATTCCAGTCCGATTGCTCCAAGTGGGCTAGGCATTCTTCAAAATCATTTATACCTGTACAGGCCTATAAAAACACATTTAAAATTTACATTTCTTTATTCTGATGCTTTTTCAAGATACTGTAGAAGGAGACACCTTTGAAACCAAAAAAATTTTCCCCTTAATATGGGTTGGCCGTAGTGTTAAAAGATGCACTTTCACACGACTCATGGCAGAAAGGTGTCCCATTAATAGAATTTCCCATAGTAGGGGTTTTACACTATACTGTCAGTGTTGAATCAACAATTTAAATAAAATTCAATGTTTAAAATTCTCATTAGGCCTATTTGCTTTCATTTAATAATTAAAACAAGATATAATATTAATAATTAAAACATTATACAGTTCAATTTTCTCAAAATTGCGAAAACTGAAATGTTTTGATCGGGATTTCATTGGAAATTGGTAACTTGATCTTTCAAAAGTTAATTTAATATTTTAAGTTTTTCCTGGCTTTACTATAGCGATAAAATCATTCTTGGGTCCAGATTTGTCAAATATAAATGCATAAAACATATCTCCAAATTGAAAAAAATAACATACAAACAAAATGAAAACATGATTTGATTATCCATTTATTAAATCCAATATTAATTAGAAAACTGGATTTGTAATATTAATTAGCAAATTGGATTTGTAATATTAATTAGCAAACTGGGTTTGTACTGGATATACTCTTTCATTGTGTTGATAATCAAAGGGTTATTTATTAAAAACCAAAAAATAACCCATCTCTCACTATTAAATTCAATGAGTTAAGAAAGTTCATTTAAGCAACTCTCCCAGATGCAAAGGTCTACAGAGTTTTGAAATGGGAGGGGGAGCGTAATGGGGGAGGGGGAACACGAAGGTCAAGAGGAAGTGATTGATGATTAAGTGTTTGGGGAGGGGCCCTAGTCTGGTAAAATAAAGTATGAGGCAATTTTGCATTACTTGAACATATTTTTTTGGCTTTAAACTTTTTCAGTGGGTGTTGGGGTCCCACTGGGTGAGGCGAAACTTTTGGGGAATTCGCCACTGCCCAAATGTGGCTTCTTCTAACTTGGGACCCCGGTCCCCTTCCTGTAAAACTGATTGCTTTCTTTTCCACAATGTTTGAATCATCTGCAATTTTCCATGAAATTGAATACTGTGTCTCAACATAAATGAAAATGTAAACGAAGAGGTTTGGTTTAACCAATCATGCCCGGGCCTAGCAAAACATAAGCCTGGGCCTACTAGTACTGTACATGTAGGCCCTAGTCTAACCTAGGCCAGTTTTGTACCATCATAATAGCCTAGGCCTAATTATATTGAAAATATTTAATGAATTAATATATTTCTATCAAAATTGATTAACTCATTATCTGACTGATTAATAATTGAGCGACAAAACACTGGCAATAATAATCTCTCAATTCAGTAGAATACAAAATCTCTGGCCCTATCTTCAACGTCACCAAAGTAAATGTTTAGGACCGAACCAGAAAAATGAATGAAGTCAAGCCTTAGCCCTTATTATCCCGTCTGTTTTTGTTTGTCATCTTGAAACCAGCCTATTTAACTAACAATATCTTGATATGTGCGCCTAGAAAACACTGTATTAGCACGTCAAGTGGTTATTGGCATGTTATTGTTTGGGTCTATAACTTTCATTTACACGTTTGAATGGATAAATCACAATCTACACTGTTTCTTTTACCTGAAAATCAGCAAGTATTTCATCCCTGTTCGTCGCCATTTTATGTAATGCGCATGCGCACATGGAAGGAAAATGACAGCATTATTAACTAGCATTCACATAGCAGTATGATTAATTTTGATGACGTCATCTTCTAAAATCATATTCAACCCACTATTGGCTTTTTCGAAACTTTGACTTGTTCAGACTTGATATAGAGCGCTATACGGGGAAGTTCGAGATCTCGCAATTAAAAACCGAAGTATAGATAAGCAGAGAGTAGTCTCAGGATGCCATCTCAACTGTCAACATTAAACTGTAAACCAGCGTAAAACAACTGTAAAGAGAGAACATACATAATAATATGGTATACTATTAGGCCTATTTAAATCAACTGATGCAAATTTGAAAAGAGTGACAATGAGCAATTGGTGTAGCACAACCAAAGTGCTGTAGCATATGTGATTTATTTGATTGCTAGAGAAAAGAGGTAAGGTACTATTTAACATTAACTTATTTTTTTTATTATAGTATAGGCCTATATATAGGAAGGCCTATATCATCCTATATCATAAAGGCAAGGAAAAAAAATAAAAAAAATCACTAGGCATAGAGCCTTACTATTATATGGTAATGGTAACTTTATTTGAAAAACATATTCAGAAAAAGTATTTTCCTATTGCGATTCGAGCAAAATTGGCCGCAGCTCCCGGAAGAGGAACACTCAATTTAGGTATGCGCGCGAAAGGTTCACAATTTGCGCACGCGTCTAATTCTTGATCTTGCATGATCATACTATAGGCTTATACCTTGGCCATAGGCTCAGATCGATAGTGGGCCTCTAGGGGTTAAATCGTTTGGATGTATGCCAACCTATCTTGAACAATGGTTCTATAGATTATGTTTTTCTTTCACTGCCAAATTCTATTATAATCGAATGTCGCAGTGCGCTTGTGCTTCCTTTACAGTACTGGCCTAGCCTGTGAAAAAAAATATGGAGTATAATGCCCCTGCAGTTGACAAACAAACACGGAAATATTCATGAAATCAGCAGTGTAGGCTTCGGCAATATATTTTGGCATATTAGCCTAATTACTAATTAAAACTATGGCCTACATTATTAACTACAATTTAAATCAATCTGCAATAAAATATATATATCTGTTTTCTTTCTTTATATAATATAATATATATATATATATATATAATTATATATACATTTCTGGCTGTTAACTTTTTAGTTGTTGCTTAGAAAATTGTTTATCTCTATTCAGCCATTGTTCCCACAACATTGTTGTTTTTCAGTATTTATATATATATATATATATATATCCGTTTTCTTTCTTTATATAATAATATATATATATAATTATATATATTTTTCTGGCTGTTAACTTTTTAGTTAACAACAACACTGTTGTTTTTCAGTATATTTCCTTTTAATCTATGTATATATATATATATATATATATATATATATATATATATATTATGTACGTTGTACCCGAGGAAAATTTGCCAATCGTAAAACAAATTTTTTGTAAAATATTAATAGGCAATAATATATAATCCACATGCGACTCCTCTTTCTACTCTTTGCCAAATGTGGGCCTCTTTACTATCTAATAGTAGCAAAGTTGTTGTAGATTTGTAAGGGTACAATGTGTTAATGACTTCATAAACTTGAGTATTTGTAAAAACACGGAGGATTGAAAGTTGGCAAGTTTTTGCTGGCCTATTTTTATCCTCATTTTGGGCCTTGCGGGGACTTAGCAGGGGATGTAATTTCCAAAATGGTTACATGCATGTGAGAGTCCCGGCCACCTCCTAGCAATGCGGAGCATCGTTTTAATGTACATCCCCGGCTAAGTCCCCGCCACACCGCCGTAGTCCTGGGAAAATGCCTCGCTAATAAATGATTGGAGGATAAAACCTACTTGAAGGTTTAGCCTACAGTAGGTCTGAATCGGAGAAGCAACGTGAGAGCTAGGCCAAGGAGATGAGGTTCCTTGATGGAAGCACTACGCGTGCGTATCACTTAGCAGTTTCCATGGAAGTTTGGACTACAATTGACAAGTGCATAATCTGTCTCTTATACACATCTAGATGTGTATAAGAGATAGATTTTTCAGTGGGATTGAGCACTGTTTCACAAAAAATTGAGATATTTTTTATATATATATATATATATATATATATATATGTATACATATACACATATACATATATAGGCTTATATATATTTTATTTTAACAACTGAGATAGTCATTGTTGATTAAGTTTCCTGTTTCATTTTGCCCGATTTCCATCCCACATAAAATCCCCTTTTTTAGATTCATTATCGAAAGGAGTTACAGTTCCGTGTTTTGAGGCATTTAAATGTTATGATCAACCAATAATCGGCGTAATCATGAAATCGAATGTTATTGATATCCTATTAATACCTTCTGTATGGATGCTACCTTATTCCATTCCCGGATGGGCTACATTATCTTTATTTTTGTGTCTATTCCTTGTTCATATTAGAGTAGTGTAAAATATTATTTACACGCTAATTGTGTTTTAAAATCTTTCAATTTATCCGTACGGTTAGATGTAAACCTAATTTTGTTTAAATAAAAATAATAAATTATAGAGCATCACGCAATAAAAAAAGCCTTTCTATCTGCTTTGCTTTTTTCTTTATGGGCTCTTCACTGATGTAGAATATAACAATGTTGTGAGGAGTTAATTGTACTTTTGTATTTCCAGACTCAAGGTCAGAGACTATACGTTTAATGATGTCGAAGCAGCATCCAAATCAGTTGACTGTCGCTTCCACTCGTGGAAATTTAAATGAAGTAAGGTCACTATTGGAGCAGGGGTTTCCCGTGGACTCACCGAATAAGTACCAGCATACTGCGCTACAGGTAAATCGACGTGATAATAATTTGTCATTTAATTTTTTTTGCAAGAAATAATAAAAGAAAGATGGAATATGACGTACATAAGGCCTCATACGTCACCATCGCGTATTTTAACAATATAATTAATGCAGATAACAATGCCACAGCATAGGCGACTGTTTTTAAATATGGAGGCCATAGATCTATTATGTCCCGTTAAATTCAAGCTCCGGAGGAAAACAATTGTTTGATATGTTGTTTAACTAATTTTCCAAAGACACAAAAACTCGATTAATGAGATACGATTTTTGAATACTTAAAAACTGAGGGGAAAGGTGGAAAAGGGATGGTTACGCCCTCTCTTTCTTTTAAATTGTTTAAAAAAAAATCTGTATCCCAAATCCTTTCTCTATGCCCAAATCAACCGTTTCCGAGTTATTGTCATTGAGGCCATATTATGCTCAGAGATCAAATGGTCACTTTGCACCATAAATGTTCAATGTGACTGCTACATACTACAGTATGGAATGTTGGAGTGGAAGCATTCAGTCTACTTTATAACGCCTTATTTGGGATGGTTAATGTTTTTGCTGGTATGATAAAGTGCAGAATACTGTACCGTAGCTCTCTCTAATAACAGAATTGCGGATTCAGGGGGTTGCAAAATTCCTCCGCCTCCCCACCCGTCGAAAGCAGCTGAAACTCTTATATTTAAATGCCAGAAGGACCCTACAACCACAATAATGGAATACACCAACACCTCCTCGGGTAGGTCCCATCGTATCCGACCGAAAGTTTCGTTTCAGATCCGATGTGAATGCATATAGGGCTAATGCCTAAAAATTCTACAATAATATTTTACTATAATCCAGGCCGTGCCAGTATCCTGTCCTGAAATAGTAAGTATTTTACTAGAGTATGGTGCAAACCCGAACCTCAAAGAACCAGTTATGGGCGGCATTCCACTTCATCAAGCTGCAAGAGAAGGTGCAACTGCAACGTTGGAGTTAATGCTGCAATTCGGAGCAAATGTCAACGCACAGGACAAAAACGGAGACACCCCCGCTCATCTTGCAGCTAGAAAGGGTTATCTGGAGGTAAGCTGATGTTATTATATTTTGGGGTTTTTTTTTCAAAGCTTTCCCGGGACAATTTCTTCCAAACATGTCATCTCTTTCCGATATTCATCCCCACATCATCAAATAAATCTCGGTTCGACAATCGACATGGATTCTGACCTCCCTCTTCGACATGGTTTCCCCCTGATCAGTCTTCTTAACAACTTTAGGCCAACTGAGATTTGAGCTCGTTAATTCTTATAGTTGTCTTTTTTTTCAAACAGGCATTCAAAATATTAAATCCACTAGCCGATATGACGATCAGAAACCATAACGGAGACACACCATTATCAATCGCAGACCGACACCCAGAGTTTCGTGACTGGATCAACGTAGCAAACGTGGATGGTCAGCGGAATACGTGATCAAACATAATGAAACAATCGGCGGGTGATACTTCATCGATTTACACAAAAGCTAGCAATAGTTATGCTAAGCATAAATTTGTAATATTATATAATGATATTATATGCATATTATATTATTTATACATATTTTTTTAATAATACTAAATATAGTTACGGTATTAGATGATGTGTATTTTGTTGAGCACAACTAAGACGTAGGCCTAATGTATACTTATTTTAATTCAGCAATATCACTAATATTATATTATAAATTAATTATTTAAGGCCAAATGAAGAATAGCATGCTTCCCGTCTCTTGTCATAGGCCTCGCTCGATATACGACTGTTGTGTGATCGGGGAAAAATTCCATTCTTTACAAAAAATCACGGCGGGAAATATACAGTATATTTTTTATTTGGCATAAAAATTACTCAAGGCCAGCAAATGTGCAATTATAAAAATGTGGTAGACCTTAAAATATTATTTTAGCGCGTATAGAGACCTTGTTCATTTGCGCTTTATAACGAAGATACACCGTTATCAATCGCATTACTATTACTATTAATTATTATTTTTTTATACAATGACAGCGGGGATCCATTGAAATGTGTCGTCTCTCCTGGTGAGTCTGGGGGTCTGAGCCTCCCGTCTGTCAGGTCAATCCGCCGCCGGGATAGGGCCGATTATTATTTTAGCGCTTATGACCTTATTATATTTGCGTTAAGCCTACAGTACGACTATAACGGAGGTACGCCCTTACCAATCGCATTACTATTAGTATTATTATTTTTATTTTTACATAATGACAGCAAGAAACCATTTTATTTGAATGTGTACAGTATCTTTGGTATCATGATGCCAGGAGGTCGGTAGTGTGGGGGGTTAGCCTGTCGTGGGTCAGGTCAAACTTGAAAATATATTCGTATTCACACACTCGAAGATTCTTTACGGTTTACAATTTATGTATATATTCATAAAGCATTACCGCACCATCAAGGCCGGCAATTTCCTTGTGCCCATATTCTGAAAGTGGACTAACTCCAGAACTTAAGGTAGTCTAGGATTAACTTTAGTCCTAGACTAAGTTCCGCTTTCGAGAATATGGGCCTTATAATACTCTAGTATTTATCTCTTTACGTGTAACATTTTTCTATGTTAAAAACGATCTCTTCAGATACCGTATCCGTCTACGTTTCTGTAAGTTCATTACGCTTTTTAAATGTTAAGGTATCACAATAGCCAATAAAAAGATTTTAGTTTAGAATAATTTCAACTTATCATGATAGTATGTTTTGTGCACGATTTTATCATGTGTACCGTCAAATTACGTACCGGTATAGGAGAAAAATCTATGTTTGTCGAAAATAATTTGTAATACATTTTGTACTTAACCATTTTGCGAATTTATATTAAACACATTAATTGATTTAGTACAAAAAAAATTGGATATAATTTTACTGCAAATCATTTTATGTTGTAGAATTATGATGTAATGTAATGAATAAAATCCAATGTTGGTAGGCTTAATACAGTAAATATTGACTCTTAATTCATGATGTCGCAATTGTCTGTAGGATGTAATACCAGTGGACGCCGCCTTCTGACAGGATAAGCCACAACGAGTTCCTTTCCGGATTATATCTATTATTAGAAATGTTTTTCCTCATGATCTATGAATGCATATCTATAATATGTATTATTTTCAAATGAAAGCCTCCTATATTTATTCTACACAATTAAAAAGACTTGAAATTGCCCTAGGGTTGAGACACTTGAATAGAAGTGTTATGGGTCTCTATTGAACCTCAGTCAACTATTTAATGTATGTATGTTCACAGCATGCGATAGCTCCTTTATCGGGTCCTATTGCTATTTTTAAGCCACATTTTAAGTTATAATTAATAGACCCGAGATTACCATTTTACAAAAAAAAATGCATAGGGTGATATGGCATACAGTGTATTTAAAAAAAAGAAACACAATAAAAGAGAAACACAATATAGGCCCTACTCCAAATACAATGTATATTATATAAAGCTTTATTTCTTTTCGATTCTCTGACGATTTAACTCTTACAATCTATAGTATACTGTAAGTTTGGTCTCTGTACGTTAAAAACCCAATCAACAATTTAAACAGAGAAATAAAACATTACACGAAGAGAAACATCAAAGCTAAACTCAAATACAACGAATCGGCAACTCGAGTATAAAACAAAAATTCAAACCTCATTGGTCACCATTAGTGGTTTAGAATCGAGGAAGTTTCACATTCGTTATGCAGCTTATATTATAGTTAATAAATTAATGGATAGCCTGAGTTGGTCTTGGAAGAACAGAATATACACAAAAACAAAAAAAAATGCATTCATAATACAATAGATGTAAACACAAAATAAAAATCGTTTGTATTCTCTAGCTGAGAATTGGCGGCACCAGTGTTTTGCCCGATTTGGGGGGGGGGGATATTCCGATATTGCCAATGTTAGTGGGAGGGGAAGCTCTTATGGGAGCGTCCGCATACGTAGGAAGGGCCAGATGAAGCCCACAACCTGAGAGAGTTTAGGGGTAGAAGCCCTGATAATTTACGGATTTGAAAGGCTTATTTAATCTTATCTCACAAACTGTGAGTTTTTTTTTTCTCCCAGATTTTTTTTCCTGACAGGGTTCTTGCACACCGGACCCCAACTGGCAGCACCCCTGCAGCTGAGGTGTGAATGAAAACGCAGCAAGGGTTTGAATTCAGACATAAATCTCTTTCTGTAGTGAATTTTCAGTACAAGTTAAAATATACAAATCATACAGGTAAAACCATCAAGGGCAAGAGACTATTCAGATAGAACTTACACAGTACTTGTTTATAAAATCATGACTGCTGTGCAGTCAACATTTGTTTTATTGGTTTATATATGCACATAATTCCTTCTAGAAAGAACACTCCTTCAATATAAATTAATATAACATTGTATAACCATATAAAAAAGACTACATAAATTGTAACAATATCAAAATAATGTCAGGATATGTCGAATTATATTAAAATAATTAAAACAATTTTTTTTTAAATATCATTTAATCTTCGATCCAATCAAATTCACCCATATAATTGTTTCCATGACAATATGTTCATTGAATTTGTTGGTTAGCGATATAATGTCTGTTGTAAAGCATGAAAAAAAACCCCAATAAAAACATCATATATTCTGCTTAAGGATCAAATAAGTTACTGCACTAACTTCTGAGACAATGATTGAGACAGTCTATATCTTACCGATTTATAGACCTTTTACTGTATTTACTACAAATCCTATTGATTACCAGCCAATATAAGGGCCTATGCAAAACATATACAGGGGTGGCACCCTCAGGGGAAGGGGAGACCCCTCCATCAGGGAGGGCTGGCCCCACTTTGTTGGGAAGAAAAACCACATTTCGTCAGGGAGAAAAAAAATTATATGTATTTTTCACGTAATGAATTTAAAATCGATTAAATAAACATTTGAATAATTTTCAAGATTTATTTTACATGCCAAATTGTTATGTTTTCCATTAATTAACGATCTGTAAAGTCAATTTTATCTAAGTTGAACAATTTTTTCCAGGCAAATCCTGGTGCCACCCCTGGACATATATAGGAATGGTATTAATTTATACATCTGCCTGTCATAATATACTTTTCAATTGAAAATTAATAGCCTATTATATAAAATACTGTATATATATTGCTCAAAGCTCAACACAGACTTTATACTTTGAAACAATTGACCTTGAAACAACTGACCTTTCCAGAGTGTCAATCAAACTAAACAACCGACCAATCAGAACACGGCCAGGAATACGCGCTTGTCCCACATGTTTACATTGTTGTTTCGGGAAACCTTAGAAACAATACCTAATTGGCTGGGCTAAGCAATAAGGTTTATTTATTTATTTATTTCCAACAAATGCCATCTTTTCTTACCTGGCTTAAGCGCTTTCATACCTAAAGTAACGATATTCTTCCAGGTGACTACACTTCCCCTATCAATCAACTTTTCAAATTTATTATAATATTCTTTCAAATGATCACCCTCCCTCTCCCCTCCCCTTTTAGAAAGGGTTATAAATATTATTAAATTGGAAGAGTAAAATAGGACACATTTCTTACAACTTACAACAATAATTTATAAAAATAGCACCATATGTTAAATATACAATATCGTTTCATACAAAATATGTCGAAGATAACACATTTAAGAGTGTTGTCTATTACCCGAGTACACATAAAGTACAGTGTCCTTGACACTGGACATCCTCGACACACTTCAACTAAAACGCTAAAGAATGTATTTCAGTGGTTTTAATAATGCTCTCCTCTTCATAATTTGCATATTTGATCCCACCAGGTGGCTTCGTTTAGGCTTATTTGCATATTTGTTATTGCATAAAATAAGCCTTCTCATCTACATAATTTTGTAAAATGGAATAATACAATTATAATGTATAATATAAATTCATATTCAGTAAGTTTAAATCAATATGTGGGTGACAACCAGCTGGCATAGTAAGTAAACAGCTACCTAGATTAACTGCATCTACTAAATTCTCGTCAGTTCCTTCATTTTGCCATTTTTAGCAAATTAAAATGGCAATAATAATTCAAACACAACACTCCATGTTCACAGTCAGTCTAGGAACTCTTATCTCTGTATATTAATAACAATATATCAATATGATAAATATACTATTAATTTACTTAATATATATATATACATATATATATATACATATATACATATATATATATATTATGTGTTTGTTTATGTGAAACATCAAAGAAAGAGTAAACATAATTCTAAATATAAATATAAAATTTTAAATTAACTTTAAAAAGTAAGTAAGTATAAAACTTACTGCAAATAAGGACAGGCACACCATTGTGACATACAGAATCTACTAGTTCCACTGGATCTTATATTATCAGTGAAACTAATGGTTATATTTTATATCTATGTTCATGACAAACATGGAACATATACGTAAACCAAAGGAACAGATTTGTAGTTTGAGAATAAACATAAAGTAAACCTCTCACGGTAACAGGTTTTTTTTGTCTCACGACCAAAACTAATCCACTCCCTAAGCGTCATAAAGAGACAGAGCCCAACCACTTAATAGTTACGTCCGTTCACGACCGCCTCAGGGCCACCTTGTTTTAAGTGTGAACAATCAATAAATCCTAAAGTGACCTAAATTTAGGCCGACTTTAAAGTCTCTTTTTCATATCTGAAAATAAACCAAACATGGGTCGCTATGACAGTAATTTTTGACACCTTATACTATAACTTTTTACTGAAAAAACCATGCACAAAGGAGGAAGTGTGAATGTTTGCAGTGCGACCCTGAGCCAACATAAAATTCTAACCGCAAAGGTTTGAGTCGGTGGGCCAATATCATAAGTGTGATTGGGCTCTTAGTCTATGCAAAGCATCGTGTGTGTGTGTGTGTGTGTGTGCTGTCTCTTATACAATAAAACATCCAGAGATCTCCTCCTCTGATTAGCAGTAATGCAGTGCATAAACCATGTTTCCATGTAAACGCTGCGTCTTTTTATGCACTGCACAAATACCATGTCCTCTTGTGTGAAGCCCCTTTAAAAATAGTAAAATTATGGAATGCTACATAATATGAATTACTGTCATAACAGAGTTTAGCACCTTTAGGGATATTGGCTATTGATTAACAAGTTCTCGTAAGCCTAAAAGCTCCGATGAGGGCAGTATATATGAGGCAGTAGAGTATACTGGCCCTAACGGCCGCATATACAAAAAAGATCTATTAATCAATCAGCCGAGTGTTTCTAGAGCTCCTCATCGGAGCTATAACGTCACAAGAAGTGAGAATGAATTTAGTATTACAGCCTAATTAATACTGATACGATACTAAAATACCGCTTCTAATCAAACTCATAAAATAGGGATTGCAATCCAAATAAGTCATTATTTAGAAACAGTACACAAAATCTGCTGCCTGATATAGTATCTGCCTGCACTACACTAGGGCCTTCATTGGGCAGTATCCTAACAGAGTTGGATTGGATCCAGTCTCTGTCTCTGCTATACAGAATATGACCTCTCTCTCTCTCTCTATGTTGGAAGGGATACAGTTTCTTTTGGAGAGGATCCGGTCTCAGTACGTCTTTTACTAGATTGGGCCTCTGTATATTAGCTACTTTATACTGCTTCTACTTCTGTTGCATTGAATCCACTGTTTGTGCTACACAGCATATAGTTCTGTGTGTTAGCTGTATTTCCCTTGACTAATCACAATGAAGGCCACCTTCACAATATTCAAGACTGCAACCCTTATGATATAGCACAAGACCCTGCCTCTGTCTTTAAGGGTACATCTTCCCTCGTTGGCGTCTTGTTCACCTCTTCTTCAGACTCGCTCAGATTGGCACTGTGTCGCTTGATCTCCATCGGAGATAAGGAGGTCTCGGAGGATGTAGATGCTGGCGTATGTGGAGGACTAGGCTGCCGTTCAATGATCATCGATAGGGCTTGAGCTTGGGGCTGGATTGCATCTAGTACTGGTTTATAGGAAGGACTAATCGACAAAAGAGTATGTGACAAATTTAATTAAAAAAAACAAAAAACCATAAAATTGATGGTTACTTATTTATACAATATGGGCCTTGCCATGTCAAAACAGGCATCAGGGACAAAAACATGAAAATTGACTTTTTAATATAATAATAATAATAATAATAATAATAATATAATAATAATAATAATATAATAATTTAGATTTATATAGTGCCTTACACTAATAAAAGCCCCAAAGCACCTAACAATGATTATATGTATTTAGTTATTTTAATTTTAATTAATTTATATTCATATTCTCCACAGAAGCTTTAAAGTGATAGGTGATTTACTGAAATCAACTTACTATTGCCAAACTATAACTCTAATATAAAGACTGATAATTATATCAATAATAATATCATTTTCTCTATTTTTTTTTTACAAATTAACAATTACAAAAAAAGGCATTTTTCTTTTCCCTTTATGTCTTTACATCCATTTATTGTAGAATATTTTTCATTGCAAAAGGTACTTACCATTCAGTGGCAGCCCAGAGTTCAAGGAATGAGAAACCCTCTCGCATCCTGCCAAGAACATCCAGAGGGGAGTCAAGAATGCTGGCTGAGTTGATCACTTGTGAGACAGCAGTGAGGTCTCGCAGAAGTATACCAATAACAAACGCCCATTCCAGGCAGTTTGCATCCAGGAATATGCTAAACAGATGCCTAAGAAACAAGCGATAATTTTACCTCATTCCTATCTTGTAGTGAATGTATTTATTCATTTTTATTTGGTATAAAAATACTTCCAAATACAAATGGTAACATAGAGTGTACAATCACTACATGTAAAAATGTGATCTATTTATTTTTATTTAGTTATTACCAGGGGCAGATCCAGTAGGGGCACAGGGGGAATGTTCCCCCTGTTTCGCCACTAAATTTTAAAATTTCAATGCATATTAATGTTATGTGCTACTCACTTATCTATTCTGAAACTGTTGTGCCCCACCACCCCCGTTTAAAAAATTCTGGATCCGGCTAATGACTTATTTAACTTTTCCACTAGAAAAATAAAATATGTAGAGGGGCATGGCAGGACACAGAAAGCACAGGCTAACATGAGCTCCCACAACATAAATTACGTGTATTAATAATAGAAATGTTCTATGAATTAATAAAATTACAAATAAAACAAAAATATTGCCAAAAAAAAAAACGTGTCACATGAGAAATATTAATAATAAAATATATAAAAATTAGTAAAAAGATTTCAAAAGTTTTTGAGGAACATTATTTAGTTTGAATCAGATGCAGTTAATAGAAGTTCCAGCCTACCTGAGTTCCTTGAGGGATTGTGGAGGTCCAAGATTCACCATTTGCAGTGACAGCTTCTCAATCTCTTGCAGGTTTTGATTGCTATTCCACATGTTGTCATCAAGATTGTCAACATCGCCAAAGGTGGAGGCACTTTCCTCACCAGTTCCAAGAGTACTTGTGTCATCTGAACCTAAAAAACAATTGTATTAATCTTTAAGCTCTGTTCACACAATCAAATTTGCATTCATTATTTCCCATTAGTTCACAATAATATTAGTTATTTTATAATTGACTTGTGAGTTATGGGACTTAGGCTCAGTTCACACCATCAAATTTGCATTCATTATTTCCCATTAGTTCACAGTAGTAATAGTTATTTTATAATTGACGTGTGAGTTATGGGACTTAGGCTCAGTTCACACCATCAAATTTGCATGAGTGAGTGACATTGACAATGAACTCTAAAATTATTATTATTATTATTATCATTACTATTATCATTATTATTATTATTATTATTATTATTATTATTATTATTATTAATATTATTGTTGTTTTTTTTCTTTTAATTGATCATGGTGTAAATTCTTTAATATTGTACAGTTTTATCGTTTTTGTATATCTTTAATCACTGGATGCGTCCATTTTTTAAAATTTTGTATTCTAGAAACAATGTAATTAATGTGTTGTGAATTTTATTGTTGAAATGTATATTTGAATTTGTAACTGAACCTTTTTATAGTAGTTAAAGTGTTGTATGAAATGTTTTTTTTTATGTGCAATTAGTTTTTTTAAATATGTTTAAATTGTAATTTTTTGTAAAAGTAATGGTGATATTAACAGTAATTTATAGTATTTTATATTGTATAGTTTCTACTTTTGCAATTTATCATTTAAATTCATTTAAATTCATTTTATTATGCTATGACCATTGAATAAAATATACCAGAATATATAATATATTATTATTATCAACATCATCATCAAAATTTATTATTCATACCATTGATTTATTTGAATTGTATTTCTTCATGTTATTACAATGAAAAAATGTTAACCTACCACGATATGACATGTGTTGAAGAATGGCTTCTTCTGTCCTAGCTTCACTCACCACACTTTCTGACAGACTTTGAGGGCGCATAAGTTTACTTTTACCCATTCCTTTGCCACTTGTAGATGGGGATGATAGACTGGATCTTCCAGAAGGAGAAATGTCATTTGCCAAACCATTAATTATTAGCGATGAATTCTGTGATGACGATGTTGATGTTGACCTTGATAAACATGCTGCAAGTGACAATAAAAAATAATATAATAATTTATAATAATAATTTTATATTCATGTTTTAAATTTTTAGAACTATAAATGTTCAAGAATTTGTGCACTATTGAAACATTAGCCTTTCATCTACAACACAAGGAAAGTAACAAAAAGAATTGAATCAAGGACCAAAGTGTAATTAACAAAACTAATGAGTGATGTAACACATCCTGTACATAACAATTAAACTATTAGCAGATCAGGTTTCAGATATACCAGATTTAATCTTCTATCATAACAGCCAAGCATTTCGCAAATAAACTGGAGAATGTTGTCAAGCATTAATAATTCAATATTACTTCCTAGGCCCTTCCGCTATTTTGATACACTTTAACACTAATTCTCAGCCTGTAATCTTAAACTATTATTTTAATTGTACCAATTTTTATCACCTATCCTATTTTTTACTGTTATTTTAAGTAATGACTATATTTAATTGTCTTTTTACAAATTATATTATAGATTGATGTAAATTTTAAGTGTCCTTTATATTCTAATGTGTTTTTATGTGAATTTTAGGTGTTTTATATTGTCAAAGATTAAACAAATTTCCAGTGTAATGTTGGACAATAAAAGTTGCCTTATCTTATTGAAAGATCTCCACGGATTAGCGCACACACAGTGGCTACTATCATTTTAAACAACTGAGCTAACCTTTCTCGCTTCAGTTATGAATAGGGTTTGTCTCAAATTCTAACAATGCTAACATAACTATATTAGATATAGTATTTATCTTACCAGCTTTGAATGGGTTTGAAACAGGTACTATCGTTGAAGCTGATGTTGGCATAGGCCACTTGAAGTCTCGGTGAAGACACTGTAAAGCATGCACCATATCATCTACCTTAGCAGCTCGCATCCTTCACAGACAAACATAAAATACAAGTTACTCTTGAAACTAATTATCACTGTAAAATTTCTGTGAACAAACTTATGTTTCCTTCCCCCCCCCCCACACACCCCTAGGCCAAAGGAAGCATCATGTACATTAGTACTCTTTTTGGAATTTTTTTTGGTGTGACAGAAAACAACTTAAAAATCTAAAAACAACCCCTTAGAGTTGCAAAAGTAGGAAATCCAATGTTGATGTTCCTTATAATTTGTCCAACTTAATATTAAAAATTAAGTAAGGTAATTACTAATTAGAAACTATCATAGTAACAATAAACACTTAATGAAGGAATATGCAACTTAACCCAATAATCAAAATACAATCTATGTAATTATGATCAAATCATATCATATCTACAATAAAATTATAATCTTTATAATATGTGTATCATTACATTATTTACCTCTCCTTTGTGAGCCACTTCCCTAATTTAAAATCCAGGTAAGCACAAAACATTCCCAGGTCCCTCAACCTACAGCCAGCAAGCAGCTTGCGAGCATGCCTGCACAGTATGAGATCGATGTAGTAATCTTCGGCAGTACTCTCAGCATTGTTTATTTTTTTAGAGAAACTAGGTCTAAGTAAACAAGATAAATATTTCACATTATTATTCATTCAAAAAAGCAGCATATTGAAATAATCAATTATAAAATGTCAATGAATGCAACTTTGTAAATGAGATAGAACTGCAGCTGATTGCCACAATGAATAAAATGGCACAAACATGTCTGTTATGTGTTAAAAAAATGCAAGACTGCCCTTATAAATTAGGTGCATGTTGGCAAAAAATAAAAAAATAAGAGGACGTGCACTTGGCAGTCTTTTATATATACAGCATGCTTGGACGGACAGTTCTATTATTTTTTAGGGGTGTCCTAGTAGAAGTATCAAAGGCAATAGTCAGTTTACATGCAATACTTACTTCTTATCAGCACCACCACCTGTGTCGGGTGTTTTATCTTGTGTTTTCGGTCCACCTCCACTGACACTGCGTGTCCTTGGTATCGACTTGTGGAACTTAAAGCCTGGCATGCCTGGATCCTTTGGTGTCAATGGAGGATTGGTGAGGGGGAATACATTCGGGTTGGCAAGGGGAAGTGGCGAGCGCAGTTCATCTTCTTCATCACCGGGACCAATGGTCCGTAGGAACCGCTGTAGGTCTCGACAGAGCCTCCACTCTTTGTGCTCCAATGCAGCATCAAAAAGTTGTGTTGCATACTATATATGGGACATAAAAAAAAAGAAGTAAATAAAAATACAATACAAAAGTAATCAATAAAATTTAGATTTTTGAAAGATGGGTAAAGGCCTGTTTGCACTATAAAAACAACAATAATAAGTTAAAAAGTAATTGTTCATATAGAAAATAAAAGAAATGAGAATTTTTCTCACTAGCATATAAACAATTACTTTTAGCTTTTTATCGTTGATCATCATAGTGTAAACAGGCCTTAAAAGTACTAGAATAAAACCCTGAAAAATTACTTCATTTATAGGAACATTTTACAAACCTGTCGGCTTATCTTGATTGTCTCTAAATTCTGCAAAATTATGAGGTAGGAAGCAGCAGTCTGCAACACTCCAGTTGTAAGGCACTCCTAAAAACGTAAATATAATAATGACATATTTTTTAATATTATATACTTTTTGAATAATAATTTCAACCTCTCCAAGATTCTTTCCTATTCGTCCTTCTTTATACTAATTTCAAATATTATTTTGCAGTTCATTTCAAACATTGTGTACATTGCATACTTAGTTTTCTTAAATTCAAAGCTGAAGTTAGCTGGTCTCAGCCAATCTAGGGCTCCACTAGATAGGATCTCTTCACAAAGGCTTCTACAATTTTATGTCATGTTGTGGAGCAGAAAATCTTGTTGTTGAATCCCAGTACCATCTCATTATAAATCGAAGGGAACATCATTCATTGTCAAGCCATATATATTTTTAATGAAAGACTGTGCTTCAACGGTGTGGTAACGGCTGTGCTACATATGGCACGGTTCCCCAAGGGCCATCCAACATGTTAGGACCAGTGAGTTACTTCATAATTGAAATTGATACTCAAGCATATCATTAAATTCCACGCTAACCACTAAATGCAAAATAATTATTGTCGACTACAAAACCTACCTGAAAAAGATCCCGTGGGTTTCCAACTGTGTTGAATAGGTATGGCCACAAGGCTATCTCTGTCTTCCTGGAACAGTGAACAACAGTCTGTAGATATTCAGGAAACTCCTGTATGAAGGCAACAACTCTGGGCAACATTGCATCTGAAATAAAAGGCAATTTGACTTATTTTGACTTAAATTTTATTTATGTCAGTACATATTGGATTTAAATTAAGTCATGATATTTTATTAGTTTATTTATTTTAAGTTAGATAATGTTATTATCACAATCAAGTTTACCACAAAAAAAAAATTAAATAAATGTTAGTACTAGCATGCTTTCAATATTTCAGCTAATCAGCCTTATTATAATTTCGCTTATATATTGTAAGGGCACCATTACATTTTCATCCACAAAAAGAAAAAGAACAGGCATATGCACTGTACCTGGTATAGGTTCTGACGCTGTAGCCTCCTCTTCCAGGACCTCATGAAGCATAAGTTCTAATACATGAGGGAAGTAAGGTAGAGATGTACAGCTCCTTGCAATATCCAGTGCATGGATTCCAAGGCTAATTACAAAAAAAAAAAAAAAAGATAAACATTTAGAAATGCGTAAAATATTTGTAAGTGTCTTAATGATACTGGATGAGTGGAAAGATGACCATGATTTGGAAGCCTTGATGATACAAGTCTTTTGTTGAACCCGAGGAGTGGAGAGCTAATCATTTTGACAGCCTCAATTGTTAAGTCTCTTATGAGGCAGAGAGTGGAGAGCTGATTAAGTTTGAAGCCTTGGTTTTCAAGTCTCTTCCTGAGGTTAGGGGAGTGAAGAGCTCACCATTTGAGAGCCTCAACGCGCCCTATAAGACTATTCGATCGTCAAAATTGGTATAATGACTTATTGTTGTTAATTCTTGTCTTTCTGTTTATTCCTGAATAATATTTTAATAGTAGTTCCAAAACGTATTCTGGCATAGTTAGAAACGATGACTTATTATGTGAACCTATCTGCAGACTAATGACTGATCAAATATGTGGGACAAATAGTCCAACAGTAGCTGATTTATGATAAAAATCTTCTTTATTGGCACCAGTAGTTTGTGACTAACTTTTTAAGATATGAATTATTGGTGGGACAAAATGGCCATGACTTCTTGAAACACAATGGAATACCAATAATATATTTCCTTTAAACACGATTGGAAGCATCGTAAGTTTTGTAATGTTGAGAATAAAAACCAAAACAAATATTCCTATAAAAGGATACTACTTTCAATATCAGGCATGAAAAATATTTTCCACGAATAGGAAACTACCAAACTAAGAATTTGAAACTAATACTTTAAGAATGCCACTTACTTCCTTCTAAGTAACTGTCGCAGGATAAAGTGCAGGTAAATTTGAGTCTGAAATCAAAGTAAAATATGTCGATTTAAGCTTATACTTTAACAATAAAGTGTCTGCTAATTTCTGGAAAAATTCTAAAAAAAATCAAATTACAACATTTAATTTAATATTTAAAATGAAAAATAAGTGATCAAGTTCCAATTAGACACCGGTCAATTAAATCTTTTACTAATTTATGACTACTTATTATTATAAAAATGTTTAAAGTGATTATGAGCAGATAGGTAATGTTCTGAAATATAGTACTTTCTAGTTCAAAATTTCAAATCAAATGGTACTTTCTAGTTCTAAATTTCAAATCAAAGCTAACTAAACAACTTACATGTACAAATTACATTTTTCAAGTTTATTAAATCAAAAGAGAAAACATATCTTGAACTACAAACAAATAGTAACTGGGAAACATACTGTGCGTTCTAATGTTGAAAATGGTACATTCGTTGGTTGAAATGAATTCAGGTAATGGCTAAGTGTGTCAAAGTTCAAGGTATCATTAGCCGCTCCGAGTACGACTGCGTCTTCAAACAAAATGGCTGGCAAAAACAAAATTGGCAATAATTAAATTCAGTTACTAAATTTCGGGAAGGATAAGCTTAAAATAATTACTGAATAATACACTAATATCAAATCTTACCAAGAGGGTAGATTTTTAAATGGAAAGAAAGCATAATACGCTTAGATAGGAAGCCATGGTGCTTCTCATCACCATCTGGGTACAATGGAAGCCACACCTGCAACCAACAAGAAATTCAATATGATAATCAAACATAACATAGCAATAATCATATAAACTATATGAACAATAAATAACAATCATAATAAACAATAAAACCAATATTAATAAACATTTGTATATCTTACAGATAAAATTATATATCAGAGAATAAGATAACAGATACAAAAATATAATGATAAAAGCAAAGTTGGCAGGAAGTGACTACCTTCATCCCTGTCGCACCACATCCAAGCCAGAGAGATTCCATCAAGTGAGGCTTCTTATGGCAGACACCAGACACAGCCCACAAGTTTTCCACATTAGAAGCTAGCACAATGGGTGCACAGAATGGCATCTGAAAACAAAGACCAAGCAACAAATTTTGAATTATTTATCATTTAGTTGTCTTTAGTAGACGAGTTGAATGGCCGTGGCGCCGCAACTTATAGCCATAATAGCGGAGCTGGTTCGAACGGCATCCTCGCCTATGGTTCTGGTGGTAGAACAAGTCTTCTCAGATAAGGACTATAAACCATAGGCCCAGTGTATAAAATGGCTCGTGTGCACTATAAAGAACCCAGTACATCATTCAAGACGAGTAGGTGATACCCGATGTACTGGAATAGACAGCCCCTGTGGTGGACGACAAGAGTTGATGGTACCGTGTTACCAGGTAGCACAGACAAGAAGGGACATTTAGGGGCTAAGAAAGTCATTGATCGAGTTCCTAGTCCACTCATCAAGGGCACTGAGCATCCTATATGATGGATATGGCGCTATATAAAACTACACTATTATCATCATTATTGTGTTGTATGTTATAATATTGATATTTATGAATCATTATGCACACTGGGTGGGACCTCTGACACAACCCAAATTAATTAATAATGACAACACAATATACAAAACAAATAAAGCGATTAAATTAACAATGATACATATACCAATTGCATGATTAATTCAACAATGCCTTTTCAATTATTACACTTTCTACATAAAGCTAATTCATGTAGAACTTTTTTTTTGGGGAAAAAATTACCTCATTCCTTTTCTTCATTGAGGGTTCACTATTAATGACCTTTGCCCTGTCTCGATGAAGCATCAGCACACGGCCAGCAACATTAATAATTAGACTTTCTGCTTCTCTTGCATGGTTATTGCTTTTTGCTGTTAGTTAGAAAAATAGTAAACTTGAATAAACAAACAATTCAACAATCATGAAAAAGGTCACATGGTATGAAGTACTGATAAATGACATGGTGACTAAATACGAATACATTATATTCGGAGTCAATTTTAAAATAGGTTTCTTATACAGTAAAATTAGCATACAGAGTGCAACTTACTTATTTCCGACCTGAGAGATGTCAATGTTATACAGGTAAGTGATGTTGGATGAGGAACAAAATTAGAAAGAGATAGGTCCTGTATACGAGTAATAGAAGCGGTAGGATCTAAACAAAATAAACATAAAGATATCAAATTAATCATACCGGTAAGGATCACACTAAAGCCCTAGTATATGGATCCAAGGGCACGTAGAGTGTGATAAGCGCTTGACAAAACAAAATATTACATATTACGTTTTTTTATAGTATGTTCAAAATTAAACTTGCAAGTAATTTTTCCTCCCATTTTTACAGCAAATAAGACCCTGGAAGCCACTTTTAGTTAAGTTATTATGATATTTTTCTTTGTATTACCAATTCATTTTTTCATTAGTCATAGTGCCTATCAATTCATAATGCAATTTGGAGTTTGTTAACAAAGTCGGCGGAGAATGGTCAGTGTGTAGTGTTGACCACAAGGTCAAGATCTGAAACAGAAACTGCTGCACCAAACTGCTTCATCCAAACTTGCTAATTTATTTGATAAAATTTAACAAGAATAACTCACTTGGTTGTGTGTCTTGCCTGTGAATTTGGTATAATGATATATGATAGTCAGCACAGAAGATGATTAGTAGGTCTCTAAATACATTTAACAACAGGACCTGAGATGGCACTTTAATGGAAGTTGCAAATGCATTGTCCAGATTACATATTCTTGGGTACATACGAATCTAAGGAGATAAAAATATACAAATATTGATGCTTAAAAAAATAATGTAAGATATTGGCTATCAAATTTTCTTTGGCAAAAAAATGTGTATGTCCACATATGTTGTGGTTATATATGGTCTTAGAATGTCATCATAACCATATTAAGGAATGCTTAAATTCCAATACAGTATACATGCAGGGATTCCAAGTCTCCTGCAAGTTGGGGGTCTCCTGTAATTGAGACGGTCTATGCTAAAGGAGCTGCCACTGTTTCCAAACTCCCTTCAGAGGAATAAATGATTTATTATCATAAAAATTCAATTACCTCTTCCCTTTCATCGTAATGATTGAAACACGCCAGCACGATGAAATCTCTCCACCACGTCAAGCCCCCTGTTACAGTCATGTCGTTCTCCTGGGAGATGTTACCAAACAACTTCCATCGCTTGGTGAACAGAGCACAGTGAGCTAGACCTTTCTTGCCAGCAACACACACACAGTGCCCTGACCTATCCACTGCTGCAAACTATGAGAAAATTAATCAATCAATTAGAGTTATATAGTGCCCTCGTGTGTTCATTTTGTTATGATTGTAAATTTTAAATAGCATCTTACCTTTAGTGGTGAATTACTTGTTAAGTAACTGAAGGGAACTGGTACAATCTGCCATTGCTTATTACCTATTAACTTGTTTGGTCCTTCTGTTTGGGAACCTAAGATAGAAAAAAACTTAATGAGTGATTGGTTATGTTCTCGGTGTTTAAAATAGTTAATTACATGAACATTATATTAAAAACATATGTAGTTTTGATATTAGAACTATATTTATTATAACTGCTTATATTACCTATATATATATATATATATATATATATCTACATTTATTGATGATTCTATAATTATTTTAGGTCCACAGTGGTTACAGAACGCTTGTGATCTGTGAATCAATTCTGCTTCTGCTTCCGTGACCATTTTTTGTATGTAATATGACAACAAATAAAATTAATATGAAACTGTTGCCTTACCTATAGACCTAATCTGAGCATCATGCCTTACAGGGCTTTTGCCAGCTGCTGTGTCTGTATTGCTTGTCTTTAGTATTGTGTCACCTGTATTCAAATACAGTTTATCTTCCCCTTGTAGAAACAGGTGTTCATGGTTGGACTAGAACAAGAAAAAAAAATGAACAGGAAAATTAGAAAAATAAATAAAGACATGAAGCAATAGTACATAAAAGAACACAAAAAAAATTAAAACCGGAAAATTAGGGAAATTAATAAACATATGAAGCAATAGCACATAAAATCTGAATGGGTTAGAAAGTGTGAAATGGTTTTGAATGCTTGTAATGCCTGACTGATTTTTCATACATCTAATTTGCATATCACATCAGGTGTTGTACAAGAGCAATTCAACATTAAGAAACTGATTCCTATTGTCAATCTGCCCAAGAATGACTCAACACTATCATAGTTTTATCTGAACTCCTAAAACAAATGAAGGTACGACTACTTATACCATGCATGGATTTGTTGTGAGGGCGCTCTTTACAAACATCAGTTGCAAAAGATGAGTACTAGGTTTGTTTGATTCTTGCATTTGGTCATTTTCTGGACATGCTGGTTTCCTTGGAATGCCATTCACCATCCATAATCGGTACCCTTCCATACTCCAGTCCTACATTTAAAATAACAAAAAATTAGAAATATAGCAAAATAGATGTATTTTGGTCTTACAGATATGTTTTAATAACCTGAAAACTGTTTTATCAACATACAGTATAATTAGGGCCAATAATTAATTAATAATTGAGGCTAACAATTGATAATATTAATCAATAAATATTTATTAATACATGTTAAATAATACAAAATTTATGCCTTACCATTGCTTGCACTTGGAATGGATTTTTTGTACAGCACTGTGGTGACATCCTTTAGATTAAGAAATAAAGCAAGTAAATTTTTAATGGATGTTTATTATTATTATTGTCCTTACTTTTATAATTGCATAACTGCTCGTATTTGGTTAAATCACTAATTTACTCTAATTCTTATAGATTACTTTATTATATTATATCATTAACAATAGGGTCTTTTTGCTACATGGATATTACAGTAAGAAGTGCTTGATCAGTATGTGGGCTTAAGTCCTGTCCACACCATCAAATATTATATTTGACAAAAACATCATGACATCATCACATCATGACCATATATAGGCACATAATGTTTATATATGGGCACATCATGACTATATATAGGCACATCATGACCATATATAGGCACATCATGACCATATATAGGCACATCATGACCATATATAGGCACATAATGACAATATATGGGCACATCATGACTATATATGGGCACATCATGACTATATATAGGCACATCATGACTATATATGGGCATAAAACAGCTTTTTTTGTCAAAAAAATTTGATATTGTGTACAGAGCTTTAGAATCAAAAGCCTGGTTCTCACGAGAGCCGTTGTATCCGGATCGGGAGCTAACCGTTAGCGCTAACCGTTAGCACCTGCGTGAGAATGCCCGATCGGTTAGCACTAACCGTTAGCGGTATCTGGGTACCGCTAACAGTTAGCAAGCGCTATCGGTTAGCAAGTTGAGCGGATTTGTTGTGAGGGCGCTCTTTACAAACATCAGTTGCAAAAGATGAGTACTAGGTTTGTTTGATTCTTGCATTTGGTCATTTTCTGGACATGCTGGTTTCCTTGGAATGCCATTCACCATCCATAATCGGTACCCTTCCATACTCCAGTCCTACATTTAAAATAACAAAAAATTAGAAATATAGCAAAATAGATGTATTTTGGTCTTACAGATATGTTTTAATAACCTGAAAACTGTTTTATCAACATACAGTATAATTAGGGCCAATAATTAATTAATAATTGAGGCTAACAATTGATAATATTAATCAATAAATATTTATTAATACATGTTAAATAATACAAAATTTATGCCTTACCATTGCTTGCACTTGGAATGGATTTTTTGTACAGCACTGTGGTGACATCCTTTAGATTAAGAATAAAGCAAATAAATTTTTAATGGATGTTTATTATTATTATTGTCCTTACTTTTATAATTGCATAACTGCTCGTATTTGGTTAAATCACTAATTTACTCTATTTCTTATAGATTACTTTATTTATTATATTATATCATTAACAATAGGTCTTTTTGCTACATGGATATTACAGTAAGAAGCGCTTGATCAGTCTATGGGCTTATGTCCTGTCCACACCATCAAATATTATATTTGACAAAAACATGACATCATCACATCATGACCATATATAGGCACATCATGACCATATATAGGCACATAATGTCTATATATGGGCACATCATGACTATATATGGGCACATCATGACTATATATGGGCACATCATGACTATATATGGGCACATCATGACTATATATGGGCACATCATGACTATATATGGGCACATCATGACTATATATGGGCATACAACAGATTTTTTTGTCAAAAAAATTTGATAGTGTGTACAGAGCTTTAGAATCAAAAGCCTGGTTCTCACGAGAGCCGTAGTATCCGGATTGGGAGCTAACCGTTAGCACCTGCGTGAGAACGCCCGATCGGTTAGCCCTAACGGTTAGCAAGTTGAGCGCGTTTCTATCATCAACCAATCACACGTACGCGTTTACAATTCCCAGTTTTTTATTGGCCAGTGATTCGATCATCATATTTTTGGTATCCGGATCGGGATTTTCTCGTATGGACACACAGCTGCTAACGGTTTGCAGGATCCGGATCCTGCTAACCCTTAGCAGCCGTGTGAGAACATAGCCAGTGAATCACAATTAGTTAAAATTAATACTTGACAGGACCATCACAAAAAAAGGTAAATAATTTACCCGTACTCTCCTCCAACAGTACACAGTAACTTAGCGCCAAATGTGCTCCACATGGACAGTCCTCCCTTTTTCCAAGACATGGCCAGTGCACATCCATCTGGAGTCCACTTCATCATCGCAACTGGGCCAAGGGCCTGACACCCCTCTACATAAAAATCAATAAATATGTCAAATGATAAGCCATTCATTAAGTACAATTGTATTTAACAGCAATGAAAATCTGTTTAGAATGAAATATTTCGTTGATTGAAATGATTACTATCTGTAATCTTTCAGTTGCAAAAAATGCAATATTCAAAATTGATTTTGGTTTATAAATAAAATGGCTGTTTTGTATAATAATGCATTATTAACTGACTCTATTTTTATGTGAATATACAAAATTTACTGTTGAGTGTCAATACCATTATCATTGTTGAAGTTCAACATTAACATTCAATAGCTTTCAAGGTCACAAACACATATTGAGTTCTATAAGACCAAAATTTATTATCATCATCATTATTATAATGCCGTTGCCAGCTGTTAAAAGCTACTGAAATATCTTTGTCTCCTAATATACACTATACATTAATTAAAATGCAAAAAAGTAATGTATAGTAGCTTCTATATTTATATTAAACATCCATCTGTCTGTTTCTAAGTATAACTGTTATGTTACTTAATATATCCACTAATTTACCTGGATAATCATGAGTTGACAATGTAATGTGATGTGATAACAACATTCCTCCTGTTATTTCATCCACTGTGTAAACTATACCCTGTCCACTAAAAGAAAAAAAAAACCAGTACAGATATATTATATATTAGCCATACATTACTTTGTATGAACATAACAATGATAATCCTCATAACAATAATAATAATTAATGTACTAATAACAACACTCTCTTGAAAAAAAAACTTTTACCAGATTGAAACTAGGCACTGAAATTTGTCATAATATAGGTCTCCCTCTAATTAAAGACCCCTCTAATGAAAAACCACCTCCAACTAAAGACCATCTTTCTGAAGCCCCCAAATGAATGCCTATCTTCATACCTTTTGAATAATATTTTTTCCATAATTAAAGATCAAAGTTGCTTAAGACCATGGAAACCCTTGTACCAGAAGTGGTCTTTAATTGGTGGGAGACCTGTAGACACTTGTATCGATTAAATAAATAGTAAAATAAATATTACACTGGTCAACTTACTTTTTTCGACCAAATGCTAATAGTTTGTATCTATGGTTGATAGCAACAAAAGTTATATCCTTTATCTCTGGAGCCCACACAGCATGTACATGCTGTCACAAAAAAACACACAAATGAAAGAAAATGTTTGATTAGATTTTTAAATTTATATCTGAGTGAAATCATCAACAGCAAAAACAATCAGTATATTTGAAAAGCCTCTGTGAAGTAAATTACATGTTAGTCTAAAGCTCTGGTCAGATTCAGTATTAAATTTTCTTTGACAAAAAACTGTTGTATGCCCTTATATAGCCATTATGTGCATATATGAGGCATGTTGTGGCAAAATGGTTAAGTTGTCACACAGTCCAGTATTGAGTAAATGAGCTATAAAATATGGGAGCTCAAAAAATTACCTAAAAATCCAAATTTGTTTTTCACTATAGATCAACATCTTAATGTCTTATTAATCATGTCCCAAAGTATTAGTTCTGGAAGTGGTTTAACAAATTGTTTATTTAACGTTATTTTTTATAGTTCATTCTATTAAGCAATGTATGCACAAATAACTTTGAAAGGTAATTACTCAAAATCCTGTTTATCTTGACTCTAAGAGTAACTCTACTTTCACTTTCCAATAACTTAGGCTTGAAATTTCCAATTTGAATGAATGATCCCTCATTTTAAAGATCACATACTCAGGTATATGAAAATACCAATAACTTGAATTTCAATTTTTGCTACAACTTAACCATTTTGCCACAACGTGCCTCATATATGTTCATGATGTGATGTCATCATGACCACATCTAGGCATGTCACAAGTTTTTGTAAAATAAAATTTGATAGTCTGGACAGGGTATTAAATGTGGTATTTTTTATTATATAAATTTTATAATTTCTTTTTGTTTTAATTAAAAAAGGTTATTTTAAATTGGGGTATAATCTTAATCACTTGGCTTGAAAGGATACAGGAGTGGCTGAAGGCCGCTATCCCAACAAGGATGTGTACATTCATATCTACTATTTACAAAAAAAATATAAAAAGTATGTAATATAAAGTATGTTCAATAATGTATATAAAGCAAATACAAAGCCAGAATACTTATCTTTTTGCTAAATAAAATTTATATTATTTCATAAAATTCATTTAGGCACGGAGATATTCGTAACTAAATAAATTTATTCAAATCACATTATTTATGTTTTTTTTAAAGATTGTTGTGGTTCTACATGTTTCTAAAATAAAAAAGAAAACATATTAGACAATAATTGAAATATTAAAACATACTTACATTTGGTTCATATCGTTGAGAGTCTGAAGAAATAAATGCTGCCCTCCCATCTGATAAAACCACAGCTAGGCCACCAAGCAGATTACTGAACTCCATATGAGTGAAGTGAAGGCCTGGCATCTCAAGCAGGATTTCTAAAGAAAGTGATCATTCATTTAGTCTACAATTATATATTCTTTCTACAGTAGCTGTCTCTTATACACATCTAGATGTGTATAAGAGACAGCGGTTTACCTTTGCAAGATACGTTGCCATACAAATGTCCTCCATTTCAAAATAGAATATTTTTTTTTGTGTTCAGGTAAGAAACTTGAACAATACTATTTTAAAAACCAACATTACTACACTGAAAGCTATCCCTTAAACAATTCCTTGGAAAATAAGAATTCCTTCCTCTAATTAAAGACCCTTCCAATAAAAGACCAACTCTTCCTGCAGCCCCCAAATGAATATCTATCTTTTATTTTTATAAAAATAATTTTTTCAAAGAAGATCAAAGCTGCTAAAGACATAAAAATCCCAGACCCAAAAGGGGTCTTTAATTGAGACTTGTAGATAATAAACAGCATACACAAAAATATCAAACATTATTATAAAGCATAAATTCAGAGGGTATATCATGGTATCAAAGCAGGGTACATCACACATCCTCAATTGCAAAGTAAGTATTAATACACACATAATGTGTTAGTGAAATAAGCACAGACTTATAATTAAAATATGTACCTCTGGACTGCTGTAAGTCAACAGAGAATGGGATACTGTGTATGGAGATATCACTCCTCTCATTTGCATGACCTTCCCATCTGAAGCGCTTCAACAGCCCACTGCCTGTTGCCACTAACAGTTCATCTCTTAAGCAACATAACCTAAAGCATGAAAAAAATAACCAAGTGCATATACAATAAAAATCAATAACCAACATAACCAGTTAACTGCATGCCAACCCTATAACTATACTTTGTTTTTAACAACATATTTTAACCATTTTTTACAGCATTTGCTTCTGCTGTGGAATTGAACCATGTTGGTCATTAACTGTTTAAATAACCAAATAAAATCTTGCAGTAGAAACAAGCCCTATGACTGTGCACAATGCAGCATGGCTAGGTATAATTCGCATGGAGTGAAGGAATTTAGTTTTTTTTGCAGATTCTGCCAATATATGGATTCAATGCCCATTGGAAACAATAACATTGCATTTGTGCATTGTTTATCCATTGGATAAAGTTTAAACAATGTTTGTTTTTAGTCATTTGGATTCATGAATTTTGCATGAAGACAGCCAACAACTATGGATTTGGTGAAATGTTTGTAGTTTTGATTCTCAAACTTGAGTTCAAATCTTGTGTCCTTGGAATGAAGTGTTTCACATTTTTTGTCCTCCAGAATATAAATGGTATATGGTACAATTTCCATGTATTGTATTATTAAATGCATTTGGCCTTTATTTGAAAAAAAATATTAGAGACTAAATTAATGTAACTGTAACACTTGTGAAACTAGTACAAGTGGAGATGTAAATAGCAACAATATAGGTTATTCTTTTCTATTTAGTACAAAACAACTACATGGTCCCAGCAGATATTATCCATACTCACACAATATCACAACCTTTCAAGTACCCTTAATGACAAAGTCTGCTTCTAATGATGCAGCTGTTTTCTATAACACTAAAATAATGACATTCAACGCCACTATCCTCATATTATTAGAATTCGGATCTGAAATTTATAAGAACAAATATCTTAAATAATAGAATCATACCTTGTTACATCTCCTGGTATATGCACAGTATAGTTGTATGATAAACTTAAAGATGGTATTGGCACTGTATCTGCTGTTGTAGTCTCTACACGATAATGAACAGAACTAGAAAGAGAAAAATTCACAGTAAACATCCTACTGGGGTAAGCTCCTACCCTACCATCTACCAGGTGTTTTAGCACCCATTCTCATGGTTAAGGTGTGCTATGGCTTATTTAGAATTCCCCAAGCTGCTTTAACTCCTACATGGTTTTTACACCTCCAAAGATGATGGAGCCCACATTTATTATCCTGTAGGATGCTATTAGCTCAATAAATAGAATTACCATACTATTTTTGCTTTTTAAGCTCTGTAACAAATATATATTTATGATAGTACCATGCCCATGAATGGGCAATTCACAGACATATGACACAGGAAGCTTAATAGTGTGAATAGAACTTAATCAATATGTATTAAAAATTATAATTATTTCTTCAGTTGATTTCTAAAAAATTGCAAAATATTGTCCATTTGGTTTACAACTTGTAGATTAAACTACCCTCCTATACATAAAATGCATTAAAAAATATACAAAATATAGAAAACAGAGATGGAATGAAATTTATGTCTTAATTTCTTAATGGATTTGATGGCTATATAAATGTTGAGATTGAGAATGAAAAAATGTAACTTACTTTGTGTGCTTGCTACTATATAAGTAGGTGTCATCTACATTTACTTTGAAGAACAAAAGATGGCCACCAGTGGTCTGAAAGAAATGATATTGGGAAAAATTAGTTAAAATATGTGATATTAAATACTCTATAATACAAAATGGACACAATGTTTCAAAAAGATGTTAAATTAGATTTTAAAATATATGGTAAAAATAATACTGTAATTGCACAAGCAACTTGGCGCAGTGGGGATGGTTTGGTTTTCCAAAACTGACGTTGGGAGTTTCAACTCCTTGTTGTTCATTTTGCTTGCGTCCTTGATCAAGGCACTTTATTTGGATTTGTTCTTTCCACCCAGGATGGGGTTGCCTGCTCCTGTGCTAATTACAGCACATAAGCATGTGGATCCGATGACCCAGAGAAAGAAGCACTTTGTATCTGCAAAGAAAGGTGCAAATATATAGAAATAAAAATTAACTTACAGCAATGACCAGTGAACTGGAATCTGGTCGCCATGCTACATATTTATTTGTCCCTAACACCACTACTGCATCGTCTGCCCTTCGGTAGCTTGTGATCAAAACACAAGGCTGCAAAAATAAAACAGTTAATAAGTAAATTGCGGCCTAGAATCCACGCGATGAGGAGAATTTAACGTTCTTGCACACGCAGAAGACTTTTAGTAACATCATTACGTTCTACGTTCTACCGTCATTGTGCAATCGAAAGCTCCAAAATCAAGTTTGGGGATGTAACCTAGATTAGTAGAGAGCACTCTCCTTTGAGTTTCACTGAATAAAGATGTATACTCACATTGCCACTTATAAAGCTATTCCAAATGCACAAATCACTTTTTATAACTTGAAACCTAATATATTCTTTCTACAGTAGTATAGTGAATTAACTCCACATTTTTGGGGGTTTCGTGTCTTAGGCAAGACTTACTAATTATTATTTAAGCTCGTCCAGATTATCAAATTTTCTTAGACAAAAAACTGTTATGCCCATATATAGTCATGATGTGCATATACGATCATGTCAGGGATGTTACCACCGCTGGTCAGTGGTGGACGGGCCCGTCCAGCACTTAACATTTCCAACCAGGATTTACAGGCTCCTGACCACCACTATTATTTCAACAGTTTACAAATTGTAACAAAATAATTAGTTTACCTAAACACAATAGACAAGCTAAATTGATAGATAAAGACAAGAAGAATACAATAAATGTTTCCATGGTTACGTTAATTGTAACAAAATACTGCACTGCCCTGCTATTCATCGCTAACTAAACAGCCTAGGCCCAGTTGAGTCATAGTGAACGTCGTGGGCCGGCATGACACGGTTGCTCTGTACACATTCAAAGGTTAAAGTTGAAATCGTGACCATTCAAGTGTTTTATTATGAGAGCATGGTCCGGAGCAGGAAGATTATTAAAAATTTACGAAACCTGATTTATGTTTTATTTCTTTACTTTGTTTTCATTTTGTATTTTAAGTTTTTCACTTTTAATTATAATTGATATATAATGTGTGTAAATGGACAAAAA